GTATCTGGAACGTTCCCCAATAGTCTCTTCTGACGCCCTGGGTTCTCTCTGTCCTCCGTTCCTTTTTTTTTTTTGTTTAAACTTTCCTGGGTGGTTATCACTACCCTTCTCAGAATGCACCTTGGTGGTAAGTAAAACTAATATTAGGATATGTGCTCTAATACTAATATACCTTTTCTCTCTTTTTCTACATATACTCATTATCTCTCTCCCTTTTGACATGATGTCGTTTTATTCAAACGTATTTTTCTTTACGACAATATTTTATAAAATTAACGTCAATAATTAACAAGTAAAGATTTAGTCGGCTCAAATGGGCCGATATAAACTACATTTTTTTTTATTGGACAGACCTTCTCAGTTTACACGACGCGTGTGGTTACTACAAAGCTTAAGACCTGTATTTTTATTTTGTTGAGTTTTTTAAATTATTTTTTATAGTATTAAACAGATCTAGAGGTTCTGTGGATGCTGCAAATAATTTACGTGATAATCTGACCTCTTATCACGACATTATCTCAACCGAGAGATGGGAAATGCGCTTCTTTGGTTTCTTCTTGAGTCTTTGTGAAGCGAACGCATACAGTTCCTTCAGGGTCTTCTCTGAGGAAGGTGCCTCAAGGGGCCACTCGTCCTTTAAGGATAATTTGGCCTTCAACTTGCTTGAACATTGTAAGAAATTGAAGTCGAGATACAATGAAGTGGCCCAAGGCAGCAACCGAATGCTTAGAAGTGATTCTAACCATTCCTACGTCTCCATGAGTAATGCAGGCAACAAAAGAAAGAGATCGGTATGCCGTAAATGCAAAGAAAGCGGCACTAATGGCAAACGGGTTGAAAAATTTTGTAGCTGTGACCCCACAATCCCCTTGTGCTTCGACTGTCATAATCAACACTTGAAGGTTGTCTGACTTCGCCAGCTTTATTAAAAATAATTCTTCATGCTATGTCTACAATATTTTTATTTTTTTTCAATAGCAAAGCTTCAAGTTGCTATATCACTTTATTCATCAAAGGGTCAGCCCAAATGGGCCGATTGATTTTTTTGAAAAACCGACCAATTTCAAAACGATATAGCTATGAGGCAAAAGTGCTCACTTCTTTATAAAAACTCATCTATAGGCAGAATACATATTTAATAATACGTGTTGGAATGGATAGCAGCAGTAAATGATTTTTTATCTGATCAAAATATTATTTTATAGTCGGCCCAAATGGGCCGATTGCCAAATCTGTACTTGTTAATAAAAATACAGTAAAGCAGTTACCCAAAATCCGCGAAATTAACTTTTAAAACCCGCACTTTTTTTAGTAAATCCTTGAATTGGCAGTGGAACGACTGTAAAAGACAACAGCATTTTATACAAATAAATGGTCTTTTGTTCTGGTGTGTCCATAGCGTTTTCGCGTGTATTAGAAGAAAAAAATATATACGTCACACTAATTTTATTTTCGCGTGTGTTTTGACGTGTACGCAGTGTTTTCCTTGTTTTTTGTCTTCCCTCAATGACAACAGAAATAAATGATGAAGGTAACAAAAGCTTGTTGCAGCTTCTTTTTTTCTTTTCAGCATGTCGTTTGTTTCTCATATGATATTTTGTATACTTTAGAACAACTTTTACTGACGTTCAGGCTTCCACAGGACCGATTACCTGGTAGTGATTTGATCTCAAAATTTATCCTAAAAGAAAACAAAATCGTGGATCTCATCACTCAAGCGATTTTAGACGTTCCCAGCGGCACGTACACTGCAGTTGCCCCAACAGAGTGGAGTGATGGAACGCGTTCCGACGTTGTCTACATCCCACGTCTTTCAATCAACAAGTCATTGCCACCATTTTTAATTGAAGTGCAGCGAATTGTGGGGGAATCATTCATGCAACGGGTTATTCATTATTGCATCCATATCAACCGCGCATTCGACCGTAAGCCAATTGTTCTTATATTCGCTACCGATAGTATTTGCCCCAACAGCCTACTGGAACAATTCAAACCATCACCAGACAAACCATGGTTAAATACGTGTAGTGCTCATTATTTTTGGGCCAAGGACTGTTTTGTAGTCACAAAACAAACGTTGAACGTCACCGATGAAACTTCTATGGAACCCCTGCTGGCCCTAGCGCAATTTTTCATTGAGCAATAACCAACCTTGTTTGGGCACACTTGTGCTGCGAACGCGACAATCAAAATGTTGTATGGGCTAGCAAAAGACTATGTTCTTCAAGGAAAGGAGCATCAAGACAACTTTGCCGATGCCATAGATGTGATATGTGACACGCATATAAAACAGCTAGAACAAGCCCGCGCTGTAGTTAATGACCCGAAAAAGTGTGCGAAAATCATTGATCGGTTAGTTGATTACCACAAGAAGCTGAAGAGACGATATTCTGAAATGGATGAGAGCTCTAGCAGTCAGGAGCAACTAGACGAACCAACGTATGCCCCACTAACTTTATCAGCATCATCTTCATCCAAAGAGAAAACCAGTCATCAGGAAGAGAGAGATTTTGTCATCAGCTTCAAGGAAAAGTTAAATGGTGGACGCATGAGCTGGTCACGTTGCTTCGCTGCCGGCCGCAAAAAAGGCCTTTTTGCAAGATACTCTACCACTGAGAGCCTGCGGGTAAACTATCGCAAGTTTATCGCTCCTTAACTATCATACCCCACATTCGAAATTTTTTTCAAATTCCCTTATCAATGTTTATACACTCTTTATACGATTATATACACCACTGTCACGACACCCAAACTAAACAGCCATCGCATGCGCACAACTTGCCGCTCTCACAATACCCTCCTTTTTATGTCAGCATATAGGAAGAGAAATTATAATAAAAAACGCGCATACAGGCCCATTTTACTTTTTTTCATCTTTCTTCAGAGCGGTTGCTTACTACGACATTTGTCCAAAAATTTATAAGAATGTCCAGCAATCCCCTTAAAATCACTTAGCCTCAAGCTGTTAGAGGCTGCACTGATTCGGGTCATCAACATTTCCTTCTGTGGTTATAGTATGAATTATGCTCATTTTTACTGTCAAGCAACAGACATTCTAAAAAAGAAAAAGTGAAGTCTGCATAAAATATTTCAAATGGCGCTCGAAAATATGGATGGGTGCCAAGGTACGCGACATACTTTATATAATCCCCTTAATAACATAAATACTCACTTATATTAAACAAGAGATATTACCAGAGATATAATTTATTGGCGATAATAAAAGGTCTTCTGACAATAGAAAATATTATGAATACATGAATGCATGAAATGGATAAAAATAAGCCTTATATGGAGATAAAATAGCAGAAGAATAACTCAATAAGCCTTGGAGGAGAGCAATGTGATGGCAGAACAGCTTATCACTGTAGTAACAAATGCTGTCATTTAGTTGATCAAGCGTAGCCTTTAATTTGCCGGCCTTATACTTAACGTTGCTAAGGATACTTTACTTGTAAACACAACAGTGCATGCATTTGATATTCGCCTTATTCATAATCAAGTTTAATGTTGGTTCATCTCATTAAAGTGAAAGATGTTCTAATCAAAAGCCCAATCTCACTTGTTTTATTTTTTAGTCATTGAAATAAGCGGGTGAAATTGATTAAATTCATTGACCAATCCGAGTATCTTGATTTCCTCAGGTCTACAGCAGAAGTCCTACCTTGTCAGGCTATCAGGCTACTAAACTACAGCGCCAGATCGTTAATCATAACGATCTCCATCTGGATATTTTCAAATTGCAAAAGGGGTTTTTGCCTAGAATTCAACATATTCCAACACACACCACAACAACGAGCACAACCAACAATAGCTTTGGCTTCCGACAAAGCCAGCGCTGTTACCTCTGCCAGTACCTATTCTGTCGACGGCATGTGGACTGACCCCACGGCTATTCTTCGTACAAAGATAGAAGCACTCAACAAACAACGTAGAGATAAAAAACATGCCGTGGGCCGTCTCTTCTCCCTACCCTTGTCCAAATACATCTTTCTATCCACTCGCATTCGCGTCTCCATTCGTGAAATACGTGGCTCCCTTAATCGTATGTGTATCAACAATAAGCACATATTGGGTATACATAACCCAGTCTGAAATGAAGTTGCGACGTTAGTTCATTTGGTCTTTGTGGATACTTTTGTGAAGTAATTTCAATGATTTGATGTTATTTCGCTCATCGATTTTGACCCTTTTGGATCCTCAACTACTTCTGTGTCATTACCTATGACAATCTGAGTCAGCAAGACACATATTATTTGATTATGGCCACAAGGATAATGTTTGAAATTCTCTGCTTGTCATTATTTTGAGTCTACGTCTTCAAATGATATTCCGCCCAGCTACAGATGTATGTACTGCTTGGCCCTTGCTCGTTGCCACATAGCTTTGAATGATGAAATATCAGTTTTTGGTATATTAGGCTCTACTATACACACGATTTGTATTACTCATTGAAACCGTAGTTTTTGATCAATTCCTTTCGCAATCTCCATTGCCTATAACATAATTACGAAATCTTATGGATGCTGCATTGTTATGCTGCACCTTTTTTTGCTATGTTGTACTGCCTTGCTAATGTCTATTGTGATGAGTTTTAATCTTTTTTTTTATAAAAAAGTAATCCCTTATAAAGACACTGTTTAACTATGGGATGGATTATTTTGTTTCTGTTGAATAGAGTGTATCAGTCACCTATTCTACTATCCTTATACAAATGGTTTAAATGTATATATGGACAAATAAACCATACAACAGAAATTAGTCGATTGTTATACACGCCATTGAGTCCATTTAAGTTGTATCGTATAGGTAAGTCCTATATTTTAATACCTTTTATAAGCTAAATCTCTCTTATAGACAAGTCCATCTCTTATTCAAATGTTTTAATGGAAGAAAATTTTCAACTCAAGGAGTCAATTTGCGACATTGATTCCATAAAGGACTCCATTATACAGAAAAAGCATGTCTCCGTTGACCTGCATGTTAATTTACTAAATGCCTTACAAGTTATATATGCCTCGAATCAGCTCTTGAACAGTATCAATGACTCTATATCTACTAAATATGACTCTAACAATAAGGAACATGAAGACAAACTGCTTCAACTCTGGAACAAATTGATACCTAATAAGTCACTGCAATCTCGAGTAACTAAGCAATGGGTCGAGGTTTATATATACACACACAAATATATCAACAAGACATTTTAATGTTCATTATAGATCGGTTTCCAGGGAAATGATCCAGCCACTGATTTTCGTGGTATGGGAATTCAAGGTCTAGATGACTTGTTGTTTTTTGCAGAACACTATCCTGCTCATGCACGATCCATTCTAGAACATGCCAATGATCCCTTACAATGGTATCCTTTTGCTATTGTAGGCATTAATATCACCAAATTTAATTATCAACTTGTGGAATCAAAGAAACTTCAGCTCTACTTATTTGAATATGGCACAGACGAGCGTGCGTTCCAAGAGTTCTACTGCTACCTGTTTTATAAATTTGATCAGTTTTGGATGTTTACCGTAATGGAATTTGAGACGAGGTTTAATGAGTTTAAGTTTATTGTTGAAAAAGAATTAATGCAGCAGAAAGTAAAGCCATTTTCGATGTTAATACAAGATAATTTACAAATATACAAAGATGATAAAAAGTTAAATTAACAGTAATTTGATAATACGTCCTCAACCATCGCACTTGGTGCTATCACTGTGCTGGTAGCGCCCGTGACTGGGAATACACTATCAATAAACATAAATGATCCCTGGTTTTGTTGTTGTTGTTGTATTTGTGGCGGCGATGGTTCTTGTTGTTGTTGCTGCTGTTGTGCTTCTTTAGATTTTTTATGACTTTTTCTAGTATGGTTGCTGTTGTTATGACTACTTTCATATCGTTGTCTCTTTTTGATGATATCTGTCTTCATTGAAAGCGGACGACGTTCGTGATGTAATTTCAGACTATTCACACGCATTGTTATTTTTAGAGTCAAGGATTATTTTCTTTGTTACTTACTATAGACCACATGCATTACATAAAGGTGCGCCCTCGTCATCCCTTCTCCATAATGGTGTCGTTGTCGTAGAACAATTAGAGCATACCAATTGTGATCCTTCATCATCCTTTGATTCCTTTCTCGCATTGTGTGGTTTCAATGTTTTAGGTCTAGGCGCATTGTGTAATTTTTGGCTGATGATGAGTCAGTATAACCAATCTTTTCCTTTTTTCCCAATGAATGTTACACTTACTATAACCCACAGGCATTGCACAGCAATTCATCTTCTGCTGATCTTCTCCAGAGTGGGGTAGATGTAGCTCCGCAGTTTGTACACACAGGTTTGTTTTCTGATTGACTGTTGGAAGACTTTCTATATGATTTATCATGTGGGGAACTGGGCTCGCTTAATGAATAGTTGGCGTTGGGTTGGTTTAATAAATGACTATATTATTATATGTCAGTTTCCTTTTTTCTTTTTCTTTTTCTTTTTTTTACTTGCCTGTTGTCTTCTATATTAGTTGGCATGACAGCACTTGTAGATGCTGATATAGGTGGCGTAAACCCTTGATGGTTAAATTGAAGTGATTGTGTTGTCATATTGCCTAGCAACTTGTTATGCAGTGTAGCTGTTGGAGGTGGGGGAGGCATAGATGTATTGGCGACATAAAGAGCGTTGTTATCAGCAGGGGGTAGCTGAGTCATAATGTTTTCGAATAAGAGCATATTATTGTTGTCATTACTATTGTTGTTGGCTGTAGGTGGCGTCAAATGTGATTGTGTTGGTGAGTAGTATGGATTTGTGGGTGAGGGGTATCCAAAATCCCAGCCATCTGCCATATCGCCCATGGTTGTCGTATAGTTTGCTGGATTGAAGTCAGGATTATTGCTCTCTGGCATACTAAAGGCGTTAAAGATATCGTTTATTTGGACAGCATCACCTGTTGCTTGGTCTGAACTGAACTGTGGCATAATGAATTGGTAGTTTGATAACATCACTTGTTGTTCCTGTTGCCCTAGAACAAGATCGTTCATCTCACATTGAACTTGTCTTTCCTCACTCTTTTGCTCCTTGGGCAAGACTGTATTGACACTCAATTTTCTGGCTGTCTGCAGTGATAGAGCAGAGAATGTTTTCTTCTTGTTTGATAGCACATGCTGTCGAAACCACAGCCGCCATGACAAATTCTCCAGTCTGGATCCGTTCTCTAGTGAATCCTTTATCCTTGTACATACTCTCCATGTTTTCGATAGCTCGTCTTCAGACGTCAGCGCTGAGAAAGGAGAAAAGGTCTTGTTGCCCTTTATTGTCAATACAAGTGGTGCCATTTTTTATATTAGTTCGGGGCGGGAAAAAGAGGGTAAAAAATTAAAATGAGCTCAAGTGAATAAAAAAAGAAAAACTTTTTTAGGTTCCGATTAAACCAGCCAATAGATTTATTCGTTTCTATGTTGGATGATGGGTGTCAAGAACGTGCTGCCATTTATCATTTGTGTTGTGGCAACCAAATAGTCCCGTCCTAGAAAAAGATGCTTTAGATCTCAACACGTGAGCAGATCTCTCTGTACTGCCTTACCTTCATCATGCTGTGCTAGGAAACGAATGGCAGAGACCTCTGTATGTGTACATCCACCCAAGAAGAAGATAATTGTTGTCTTACCATGTTGTAATCCATGTCTCTTGGCTCTGGCCATGGCTGCATTTGTTTCCGGTCCGTATTCTACCGTCTGCTTTAAATCGAATGACTGTCCGGGTAATAACCTGAGGATATCCTCAGCGCCACGCCACCCAGATGTTGTCTCCTTTACAAAATTTGCTGTGCTTGTTCCCATGTAGGAAAACAGACTGGTTGTGCTCGTGCCCGTAGTAAAGTTGGGTGACTTTTGCATCGCACTCTGTACTAATCGTATGCTCAAAGGTGCATATCCTGAATACACATATGAGATATCATTTGGATGAAATTCGTCTACATCGTCTACAATCAACTTTAAAAGACGTCGACACTGTCCAAATGTGCTTTTGTTGTTTGTGCGTTTCATCCAAAGCCCCAACTTTTCTAATCTATGCAGTGTCTCTATATGCTCATAGCCATATGTCTGCACAATCTCTTTTTCGAAATGATCAAATAGTTTTTGCTTTAATCCTCCCTGAGCCAGCGACATGAGACAGAGTAAACGAAGGACTTGGACGAGCGGCTTCTGTCTATTAATCATCTCTTCGATATATTCAGGTTCCCTACTGCCATCAACACCAGCTACGACATCTAGTAAAAAGAGGATCAGCATTTTTTTTTACATAAATATACAAAAGTGATACAAACTTTGCTGAACTTCTAGCACTTTATTAAAATCATCTGTTACTGTATTTGCAATAATTTCCTCTGCGATTCCAGTATCTGTAAAACATATGGTTAGATTCGGCATTCGGGGAGAAACTACGTAAAGCCTACTTACGAACTCGCAAAGACTGATGTTCTTGCTGTAGTTCACCTAATCTGCCTACAAAATCACGTATCTGCGCCATTGTCTTTGCATTATGCCTTTCTTCATAATTTTCATTGATTCTTTTAGCTACTTTGTTGAGAATACCGCCTACGACTGCAAAGTTTTGATCTCGTAATTGCCCAAATAATTTATCTGATGAATTCAAGACGTATTTTTTCTTTTTCATCGGCGTTGCTGAAGTCGTTGGCGTTGAAGGCCCCTTTGAAGCTGCAAGTGTGATTAAGCTAGGGTCTAATTCTACAACACCTACATAAAACAGAGCTCAAGTTCCAAGCCCTTTCTTTCTTTCTCTTATTACTTACAGTGTTTGATCCCCATTGTCTCGTCAATCAAGCCCTCATAGGTCAACTGAGTGCATAAGGGTGTCACCAGGTCTACATTACGATCGATAATGATGAATTGGTCAATATGATTTGAAACGGTGTTTAATAGTGAAGGCGCTTTTGTGGATACTTGATCTGTCACTGCATGTTCTTTTCTCATACGTAAAAGCATATCTGCTAGTTGCTATTGAACAAAGACTATTGGTATCTTTCACCTCACTTTGTTTTTATATCTTAACTTACTCTGGCTGCGTCACCTTTGCCCATGATACGGGGAAATAGACCGTAGATAGACTGAAGTCGCATAATTGATCTTGCTGCATAATAAATAGCAGTTTGATCTCCGTCCTATGTACATGTATACAGGTCAGTCTCCCTCTCTTTCTTTGATATGCCTTTTTTTTACCAAATAAATCTCTTTCCATGTAGATGGATCTAACTCCATAGAGATCAAATCATCTTCATAAGGTATCCAATCCATAGCATAACTACCAATAGTAATATCACCCTTCACGCCTTCTTCTTCCAACACACGTTCACATATCATTGTACGTTCAGGCACAAAAAATAACCAACAGTCAATTTTGCTTGATTTGGAAAAATGCTTTATATGACCTATATATTGTTAATAGTATGTATCTTGCATATGTTAAGTAACTTTACTGGCAATATATCTCATATATTTTAGTTTTGGTCTACAAATGTAAATCAGGCCAGGACAGTCTGTTTCGAGTGTGTCTGATTCGAGATGATAAATCTTTTCGACCCCATGATTCTAATTAATACACATGAGTTATTTCATGTTCTCTTTGTTTATGATATTTAAATTACTTTAAGTAGGTTAAATTCTGCTATTAGACTAAGTGGTCCAGTCAAGGTGGGATCAAGCACAAGTCCTTTCTTCCCTCGTACCTACAATATATGAGTATGTTTAACTGTCTATACTGCTATTACCTTATCCAATATCTCAGGTAGCTCTTTACGCGATAGTTCTCTTAATTTTGCTAAATTCAAAGGCGTGTTTCCTAAATGAGTTCCTGGCGTGGTTCCGTTCATTATGAAAAATAGAAAAAAAGAAGCCAGTGTGTGGTCTCCGACCATATTGTTTCAAAAAGGCTTCCATAAAAGTGAGCACGTGATTCGCCTACTCTATCCTCTCCTTTCCTCTTTTTTTTTTTTTTTTTGAAAATGTCAAACTTGGCTCAAGATTCACTAGAGATCATCGAGTTTTTAAAATCATTATACTTTGACCAAGAATTTACATTTGTCAGTGATCAAGATGAAAAAGTATATGAACAGCTTCAACAGGAACAAAATGTATTGGATAAGCAATATATCGAAATGATCATAAAAGCACCTATAAAAGAACTCTTTTTGTGCTTTTATTGTCGACTTTCTTTGATCTCTGAAAATTATGATTTATCGTTACCATCAAGTGATAATCACTGGCTGTCTAGACAAGATCATAAACAACTGACAGATGCACTTGCTGCTGTAGAAGGAGACGATCGTGCTTCACGGATAGTAGAGAGTATTCAAACAATCTCGACTCTTGCTGAACCTATGTTGGAAGAATATGAAAAGCAGCAACAGAAACAATTAAAGAAAGATACAAGTGATGAACCTATTGAATTTCTAAGAGAATGGATATGGTTTCCAATGATTTACACAAGAGAAAAGGTAAAGAAAGGGGTATTTTTTTATAAAGACTAAATAACAGGATAGAGAGGGCATATTATCGATTGGGCACCTAGTTATCATATCACGGGATTTCTTTGCCCTGGAAAACCGGGATGCATGTGTCTAGAAGGGCCAAAGGAGAAAGTCAATCAATTTATACATGATATCAAGACTGTCAGCTGGTCAGATATTCCTTCTTCACATAAAAAGATGACATCACAATGGAAGGAACAGGCACAATGTTTGACTAGAGAAGAATTAGACAAGTGTAGATTATTTAAAGACATGACAGAAGTCAAATTTGACATACATGGAGCATTCTCTAATCATAACAATTTGGGTATGCTTCAAGCATGGATGGAAGAGAAAGGATGTGGAAAAGCGTTCAATTATTTATTTGAATGCCGTGAAACATAAAACCTTGTGCTTTTGTGTGCGTGTGTTTATGTTTGCATAAATATTAGAAATGTCTTGCTTTTCTTTTTCCCCCCCCCCTTTTTTTTTCTTTTCTTTATTAACGTGATGCTCTTTTGGACAAAGCTATTGACGATTGCCCATGCTACTACAATTAGTATTCATCCTTTTCTAATTCTATATTACATCTATCATTTACACTTGGACGTCTTTATCATTTACTTATTGTCATCTTGTGTTATCCTTTTAAAAGTGCCTGCTGCGATGGCATGGATACATATCATTGATCGACACCCTTCACTTCATGGCGTCCTTACCGGTTTATTAACAGCCATTGGAGCCATTGGTATATTGATCGTCCTTTCCATTCCACCCACTTGGACACCCCTCATTCTACCCGCTGCCATTATTTCCTGTATTCTTGATGGCTCATTCTTCCAGCCACTTGAAGTAGTTATAGACAGTGCCATCATTAAAATATTAGGTGATTATAAAATATTGTATGGTGAGCATAGATGATTTATGTAAAAACGCGTGTTGATAGAGAAAAGTAATTGATGTAAAATATATCTGTATATACACACTCATATTAGCAAAGGAAAGAAATTGGGGGAAATTTACCTTGGCTATAGTGACATTTGCCATTGGCTGTTTCTTAGAAGGAGACCATGATTTTGATACACTCATGGTCGTCCTACTAATAGGATCAGTTGCATTGTTCCTGCTCTCTCTATCAACAAGCGTACAAGCAGTAGACCCAGCATTATTGGTAGGAAGACAGCATCAGCCCCTTTTAACAACTGAAATTATTTACAAACCCTATCATGTATTTGGAGAACATCTTTCGCATATTTCTGAAGAAGATGCAAGCATGCTGCAACGCATGACAACAACACATTCAAAATATATATCCATCATAGACCAGTACGCTTCATTTGATCTCGTTCGACTGCCCTATCCACCTGCCTCTTCAGCATCCATCGTGTTAATGTCATCATTAAAAATATCTTGTCCGCATGAAGAGGATGCGCAGGAAAAAAGAGTTGCGCGGTTCATGCAGATATCGTTCTTTTGCTTAGGCATCGTTCGCGGAATGACTCAATCTGTCATTTACCTTTTTCTCTATGATAAATTGAAAATGCCAACCTATATCATTGGCGCCGTTGGATCTATGGAAATTCTCTCTAGTCTATTAGCTGATCACTTGTTAATTCATGTAAGCCGCCAAGCAAACAAACATTTGTGTGTGCGTGTGTGTATATGTGCCGATGGATTTATCGCATAAATGTTCATTTAGGTGATCGAGCATGTTACACATCTGTGGATTGTTACCTGTAGTGCCTACACCATATCACTATTGTCTACAGTTGTGTATATATACCTAACCGTGGATACCATTTTGACCCAAGTAAGCGCCATTGTATTAGAGCTATGTCAAGGTATGTATATGTGCGTGTATATGCAGCCCTGGGGATAGAATTTCTTAATTTTCTTTATAGGTCTCTCCTTTCACATGATATGGCTACTGGCTATAAATCACGTCAATTCTTCATTACTTACAGAAGATAAACGAATGATGTTGAAAGGATACTTGTCTACTGCGTATAGTCATGTTGGTTACGCACTAGGCGTTATAGCAACAGGTTACTTGATATCATCAAATCATGATTACACCCTTATTTATAAATCTTCATTACCTTTCATTCTTTTAAGTGCCTTTTTGGCTTGGGAATGGACTTTTCCCATCTAATAAATCCTTTCTTTACATTCAGGTAACATAGAATCCCCTTGATTTCTTTTTAAAGCAGTAAGTATTTGCATGAATTAGACACCTAATTGAGTAAAGTAACACGAGCATTTTTTTGGCCTGCAAAGAAGACTGATTCTTTCGTAAATTAAATCTTCATAATTATGCTAACGTCGTTTAATGTACCTCTACATTTCCGTTTGGCACAATAATCTCATATCCTAGCGTAGTCATAAACGATCATACGTAAACTAATTAAACTAAAGATGCATCGTTCACCACAACTAGTCAATATTTATTATCAATGCAAAAAAGAAAATGAATCTAATAAAGTTTGAATAACAGTTCAAATCATTGTAAATTGTATTCAGCCGTCAACGATTAGAGAGCTGATCTTTTGTAAAGATGGGGAGCAATGTAAAAGGTCACTCGCCAGTCCTGTATATATGCCCGTAGATAACAAAGCTTTCGACAAAGTGTATAATAGCAATCTCAATGTAACAGGTTCAACACAAGGTAAAGAGAATGTAATACATTGAATTAGTGATACTGAAACTTGCATGTTTTATATTATACTTCTACTGAGAGAAAAAAGAAATTGTATCGCTTGCTTGGATTTTGCTAGTTAACGAGCAAATGCGAAGATCTACAAAATTTGCTGCACAATCATTTACAAATCAAAGAAGAATGGGAAGTAATTCTCAAATATGACGAAGCACACATGGTCAACGCATACCATCGATATGCACAGCTAGAAGACCAACACGAGCTACTGAGGCAAAAGACAAAAGCCATATCACCGCTTGGCTCTTATGTTAATTTGTTAACCATACGAAGTTCGAAAGCTGCAACGCAATACAGTTATACAAGAGTGCCAAGCGATAACTGTTACCAGACACTAAGGTGTACAAATCCCTTATTCAACAGGCCACCAAGCACGCCCACCGGATTCCCTTTGGTTCGGCCAATAGCTACCTTTTTTTAAGAAGGGCAGCAACTTTAGCAAGGCTACTAAACCATAGTGAAAATATATATAAAAAAAATTAACTTCAGTGCAATTTATTTTAAGTTCGTATTTCGTTTTCGTGCTCTTGTATCATTCTACTTACTTCTTTCATGGCCCTTTTCATTGTCTAATTAAAGGTAGTATGTTGAAGTTGCTGGGGGAGAACATATTTGACAGACTCATTTCTATCAAGCACTGGGAGGATTCCCATCGTGACCCTCCAAAAGTTGCTTGGTCGCGCTTGTTAAATGTTAGTGCAGCTATTTCCTTTGTCTCGAAGTGCACAAAAACACAAATAATGAAATGTTATTATCAATTATAAAAAGGACGCTGGTTAAACTTACTCTAATTCTTTGATCTTGCAAACGTGCAAGGCCCCATCCAAATTTGATTCTTAAAAAAAAAAAAGAACAATAAATCAATGTCTTGCGAATTTAAGATCTTTGTTGAAAAGAAAAGATGAATATTGTTAAAAGAAGATGTATGGTAGTTTTATAGAAAGATTAATGGTGTCAATTTATTGTCTATAAAGTATTACTGTATTTTTATTAATTATTGACGTTAATTTTATAAAATATTGTGGTAAAATAAAAAAAAAAAAAATATTTTCGTAAAAAGACGACAAAGAAAAATATGTTTGAATAAAACGATATCATGTCAAAGGAGAGAGAGAGAGATAATGAGTATATGTAGAAAAAGAAAGAAAAAGTATATTAGTATTAGAGCATATATCCTAATATTAGTTTTACTTACCACCAAGGTGCATTCTGAGAAGGGTAGTGATAACCACCCAGGAAAGTTTAAACAAAAAAAAAAAGGAACGGAGGACAGAGAGGACCCAGGGCGTCAGAAGAGACTACTGGGGGACGTTCCAGATACACGCCAGAGAGCAGAGAGGGCGGGACAAGCGAGCCAGAGCAAGGACCATGAGGACAGGCTAGTTTTGATTGGTGAATCTTTGAACACTCAGAGGGACATTTGATAACTGCTGTAAAGAAGCAAAAAAAGGACTCAGTTAAAATGAGTTTTTATATGTCTTTCTTTTTCAAACAGGTTTCAGGATCAGATATCTAGGACAAAGAAACCATGTCAAATAAAAGTAATCTATATCGTGACCATTCAAGAATATGCATTGCCAGACATGACTACATGGAAAAACCGAATAAAGAATTTAAACTTTTACAAGAAGACTAAAGAGGGCGATTTCTAATATTAGGTTAGTTTCAGCTCCAAGACAGCCCACCTATTAATATTACTGTCAAATGGGATAGTGAGCCATATTCTTTTTGTATTTGTTATTACTCTGATAACATTGCAACGGTTTTAATACGACATCTAAATTTGGAAATACAGTATATCCATGGATGTCAAGGCTGATACTACGAAAATATTCTTGGTAACGGCGAATTTACATTTCATACAACATGAATTTTGTTCTCACCATTGGGTGCATTTATTTTCGATCACAGGCGAATTTACTTTCCGGAAAGACTGTATAACAATCCATAAACACGCTAATGATGATCTTTTTACATTGTTTTTGTTTACGCAGACGATGTTATTTAGACCGAACACACCGCTTTTCCCAGAGTATGGAATATTCTTAATGATTTTTTCATAATTATAAGCTATAGAAGGCATTTCATGGTTGCCCACTTATAATCACAAACAAGTAACTTACTAGTACAAGATCCAGCTATCACAAGACATAACCTGTCACAGTGGTAAAAGAAAGGGCAGGTTTGACATATTAAGCACCATGATTAATACTTGTTTACTAATCTAATCAAAAGCTCAGTATGTTCTTATCCAGTTTGCGATCTGTCAGGAGCAACACTTCTAGATCATGTACTAAACTCACAAAGAGAATACATGTTCAAGAACGAGGGATTCCATAAACAGTTGCAGCCTCGGGTACAAAATTGCTCTTCGTTTTATAGCACTATAGAACGAATGATTTGATCAGCGCTGTACTCTTCGTAAGCGAAATTCTTTGTAAACTTGATTTAGACGGCAATATCATCGTCATTGTCATCCATTACTTCTAAATGAGGAGAAGCTGGCGTAGCTGAATTCATAATCTTACAACTTCATTTCTTCAACATCCAAAAGTTTCATAAGCCAAAAGATGCTCCGGGTCATCATGAATATAGCCCATAGTGAAATAGTCAAATAAAAGGTAAAAGCACCAAGTTATTTGAAAAAAAAAGAAGACCAGGCTGCAGCCAAGAAAACCTTTGGCTATCCAAAAGCAACTGATTTGTTTCAGGGTCTGAAATTCAGCAAAAAACACTGTGCATTGACCTGCATATCCATTTCAATGTCCGCCGCCGCTCTGGGCGAAGAGACATGACATCCTTCCACTCTATACCTATGAACCTCCCTTCTTACGTGCTTCATCTTTAAGAATGGTAAATATAGATTAAACAATCAGACGTGTGTGCACATGTAGAGAGATGGATGGATAAATAGATGGATGGATGGGGGAGGATGGATGATAACAATGAAAAAGAGAGAAAAACCAAAAGAGAAGCCGAGATGCCATGAACATTGAATAACTAACAAGTTCATTATAGACCAAAGGTACCAGCTCATTCGGTAAGCGTCACACCAAGACTCACACCTTATGCCGACGTTGTGGCAACCGCGCTTTCCACAAGCAAAAGAAGACTTGTGCTCAATGTGGATATCCTTCTGCCAAAATTAGATCTTGTAAAATTTACTAGCATGTACAAAAGAAGAAAACTCAACGCTTTTTTTATTATAGTCAACTGGTCTGAAAAGGGAAAGAGAAGAAAGACCACCGGTACTGGTCGCATGGCTCACTTGAAGGAGGTTCATCGTCGTTTCAAGAATGGTTTCCGTGAAGGTACTCAAGCCAAGAAGCAAACTGTTGCTGCTTAAAATGGAAATAAACAGAATATACACAGTGACGATATGCTCTCTTCATATATATTTATGTGCGTGGTATATGCTTTTTTTATTATGCCTATTAATTAAGAAGAAGAAAAGGAGGAGGAGGAGAAGGAAAGGGGAGAACGTACAAGATGATGCAAAAAAAGGAGGGGTTATAATATGCCAGAATCTTTTAGTTGGCTATCAATAATTGTTGTTCGAATCACTTCGAATGTATGCTTGATCTAAAAGTTAAAAGAAAGAAATGAGGAAACCATATCATTTAAGAAAGAAAACCACTTACATTGGTTGTACTTGTTGCTTGTGTTAAGCTATCAAACAATGGTTATTCATATATACATAAAATATGTGTATGTGTGTGATCCTTACTGAGGAAAAATTTGTAATTTTGCCCTATTTGTTTGACTGATTCTCCATAGAATATACCTTGCTGCCTTTTCTTGATCTGGTCCGCCACCATAATCTGGAAAGTACTTTTGTAGTGGTATCTTCTTTATCTTTTTTCTAAAAATGTCTATTTTATTCATAAACAAGATGATACTTGTCCTGACAAACCATCGACTGTTGACAACTGATTCAAATAGCACTAAACTTTCCAGCATACGGTTCTAGAATAGTAATAGTGTTAAAATCTTGGCTATCATGTCATCATGCTTTTTGTATTATTACCTGACGAGATTCTTCAAGCAATACTTGATCATATTCAGATAATGAAATACAGAATATAATAGAATGTACTGCTTCAAAACAATGAATCCATTTTTTTCTTTCTGACCTCTGTCCTCCAACGTCAAACATGCTAAAGAGAACAATGAATCACTACTACTGCATGCATATGTCTGCATGAATAAGATGACTTACCGTATACTGGTTCGTTTGATCATGAATTTTGTTTCGACAATACCAGTTGTCTTTGCTCTTGCATGTAACACATCATCTACCGTAGGCACATAGTTGGGTTGACTGATCCTTTCGATTTCTTCAAAGAAACTGTCAATTTAAACAAAAGAGATAAAGTTATTAAATTTTAAGGGGAAGGGGAGGTTAAGAAAAGGCATCAACATACTAAGGCGCAGAATCCATTAAATAAAACTCACTCGACTTTTCTTCTAGCAGTCTACTCGTCACGGGATCCTGCCAAACAGAGATGATGGCATCAACAATCGCAGGGCTTAGACTATCTTGTAGCTTATAGTCTGATAAAAGTTCAGCTTCGTATTGATTCTTTTCAGTTGAAAGTTGATATTCAAATTGATTTAATGCATTCACAATAGACTGTGCAGACTGAATCAAATTTCGATAAACTGTCACTTTCCAACTTATGAGCTCTTCTCTGGTGTATCCTTCTTGATACACAATCTTCATCTGCTTAAAAATGGTCGATTTACCAGACTCGCCACTACCTACGATGTATACTAAATTAAACATGCTTTATGCAACCCTTTTTTATGTTATACCTAGTAATAATATCTTGTATTCACTGTCCAACTTTTTACCATCTTCCTCGATAGCACGATCGATAGCAAAACTATGCATCCTTTCAGCTCGTTCTTCGCTCGATGCACACACACCCATTATATAAATAGAAATTGAACTGAAAAAAGAAAAAGAAAAAAGGAAAAAAGGGAGGAAGATGGAACTATATAATAATTTTAAATAAGGAGTCAAGTGTAGGTGAGTGCGTGTATAAATATAAATTTATAGTTGAAAAGATGTATTTTTTTTTATTTATACGGCAAAAGGGGATTTGTTTTACTCTCCTTTTGTTTTTTCAACATAATCAGCATAACTACCAATATAGTTGTCAAGACTACAGGTATTATGTCAGCAACAACAACAACAATAATAATAATACTACAACTTACTTTGTATATCCTAACTTGGAGAGATATTCTACAGCTGATGTGCTACGGATGCCTTTTAAACAATAAGTAATCAACCGTTTATCCTTATTAGGCTTCTTAAATCCATATTGATCTTCAAAATCTTTATCTGAGAGACTCCAAGCATAGGTAAATTGTGTCTATGCACATGTTAACAATTCTCTCCTTCCCTCCCTTTTTATTCATCATTTCGTCTTCTTACCAGTGGAACGTTCTTTGCTGTGGGAATATATCCTGCTTCGACTTCTTTTGGCTCTCTTACGTCTAACAAGATATAATCCTGTTCATTTTTAGCTACACACTTTTATGTTGTGTTGATTATGTATCATTTCTCTATACCTGTTGGTGACCCTCCTTTATCAATTTTTGAATATCATTAAAGTCCAATACATTGTACACGCGGTCAGTGCTGTAGCATTGTGCTTTGAATAAGCCAGTAGCCGGAATCAAACAAGGCTTATTTATAACAACCGCAGGTCGAGCAACAGGACGTTGCAGCAAGATTCGGTGGTGTCTCAGGAATGTTTGAGTTAAAATTCTTCGAGATGACATAAAGAAAAAAGAACTGGTACAATAGTAAAAAAAAAAGCAAGTCTTAGAAATGATCATACATCCTGATTGGTTAATGCGAATGATCGCATCAGATTACACAAACACGACGTGCACTGTTGGCATGCAAAGTGCAGGGCCATCTATTTTCCTTTTAAGAAAAAAAGTGTTCCTAGCAGTAATAGCATACTAATTTCCAATGAAAAAAAGCGAGACGTGGGTTCAAGCAAAGGGCTTGTGACGCAAATATTAGAGTTTGATGCATTCATCAAGGTTTAATCCATTAATATTCCCCCCTGCCTTGAATAGGATATGAGTTACTTATGTCAAATTTAATGCACAGGTGCATATGTCACGCATGTTAAATATAATACCAGATTATAACTTTATTAACATAAAAAAAAAACGTTTGTAAAAACAGTTAAGGTCTAATAACGTTTTGTTTAAAGTATCTCCAATTGTCGCCCATCATGTTACCAGGAACCTTGTAAGAGCAAGTATACAATTTACATCCAGGGCAGAGGTTATTGCAAACCTTGGCACCACAGCCAACTTCAGTTGTTTCCTTCCAAACGAGCTGAGTGAAGTGGCCGGCATTGAATTGTGGATGGTCATAGTTGTAGTCCTTGACTTCACTGTACCAGTCTCTGATGACGCTTCCCCAATTAGGATAACCATAGGCTAAATTTTCACCATATTGACCTTGACTGTGTTCAAATACGCAGCGGTTGGACCAGTTTTGAGCATAAGTGGCCAACTTGTTGCTCCATTTTAAAGGAGGCGCATGGTGCTTTGCACGAAGCGAGTTGGTTACTTTGAGAATGTTTTTGACGGATGAACGAGATGCAGCATCTGCAGTGTGTAATAAAGTAGCCAAGATAACGGCAACAGTAACCAAGATTAGAGTGAATGAACGGTGAAGCATTGTTCAAAATAAAACTAATGTTGAAAAAGATTGGATTCTGCCTCTTTATATATATTAACAAGCAGCATAGTTGTGACACCAATTTATAAAAGATATATTCATTAACTCCCTGTCTTACCCTGGGATAAGTGCAAACGTGAACTAGACTGCCCTGACGAGTCATTTTCCTGGTTATTTCAATGAAGCAGGGTCAGCTTGATAATAAACAATTAATTGTATGTGTAACGAACATTACAGTTTTTGTAAATTGGCACGAGTGGCTGACTATGGATTCTGTAATGAAATGAAATATACAATCACGTACTTGCCCTACTGTCTCTCACATTTGTTCAGCAATCCTTATATTTAACATATGTAAAGTTTAAGAGAATTGCGTAGTTGTAGCAAAAGCAAGAACTGGTGGCAAGTCATTATTCCAGATCCTGTTATTTAAGCTGTCTTACATTTAGGCTCATATTGTGTAATACTTAATAGACACATGGAATATTACACATCACAATATAAGGGTAATAAACAGCAGTTGACAGGAATATTTTTTAAATTCCTATCGTATTTGAGGAGGAGAAGGAAGGAAAGAAATGATCCGATTTTACGTATTGACTGTTCTTTGATGGTCAATTGTATACAGCATTCTCTGCTTGTACTGGTATTAAGCAAAATAACCATGTTGTCGTTGTTGTTAATAGCCTTTCTTTTTTTTTCCTCTAAAACAGAAAAGAGTACATCCTACTATGTGCCCTTTTATCAAGACTATGGAAAAACATGCTGCCTGAGATTACAATGGCAAAGTTGACGTGATCCATTGCTCTGGCAAAACTTTTTACATCTTCTTTTATTTACCCTAGACTCAGATGTTCATAGAGGAAGCTTTTTACTACAGCCAAGAATGGTCTAAGCAAAACCAAAAGCAAGTGACTCAATTGCGCTCTTGCTAATGCTGTTCATTAGCGTCCTAGGGGCCGGTGAGAGCCTTGTGCTTTATGCATGATTTGAGCTCAAAGAACAGTTGAATGCTTATAATAGTCTGTTTTATATTGAAAATCATCACAATCAACGCTCTCAAGAGAAAATAATCAGCACATGCCCTTGCAGCAAAAGACCAGTTCATGAAAAAGAAATGTTATTATAAAGCGCAGGAAAACGAGTGTTAGATGCAAAAAGAGCATCTTGTTACGCCTATGCTGACGATGTAGTACTCATTGTCTAACGCTCAAATATGGTTGACCTACTGCGGCAATGCGAAAATCATAGTATACAAATGGGATACAAATGGAATCCATCTAAATGCGTGATTTTGGGCAGTAGCATAGATCCAATTACATATACCTTTTACGACCAGCCATTACCAAGAGAAACAACTTTTGCATACCTTGGTGTCCCCTTTAAACCGGATGGACATCTTGATCCAGAAGAACTAATTCAATGTAATACCCGTAAAGCTCTTGCAACGATGAACATGCTGTCATCTGTTGGTATGAATCCTTCCGGTTTCTCTAAACTTCTTTGCACAAGGTTTTACGCTCACATCGTTCGACCTCAGCTTGAATACGGCCTAGCTATCAATCGCTTCACGGTCTCTCAATTTTACGCTCTAGAGGAAGCCCAGAATAATTGCATCAAGAAAATCTACGGTGCTCGAGACAAAGCGTCCACTAAGGTTATGCTCCACATATCCAGGCTACCCCTCATGTCGGAACGAGTCAGTATACTACAGGCACAGTTCCTCTTTCATTCCTTATATTTGCCAGAAGATGCACTGCTTACTTGTCTGTTACCTTATATCCGCAATACCAGATGAAGCCAGTGGTACGCTCTCTCTCGTATATCGCTTTGGAAAACGGTGCTATCTACTACTGATGAACCCCGATACTCGCTCACTCAAGGCTGCTAAACAGCGCTTTTTACAACAGAATCTAGAGATCCGCCAACGATGCCGAAACTTCAAATTGCTTTCTAGCTGCCGTCGATCAATTTCTCTTGATCCTATACTCTGGTTGCCCATGTCTAAGTCAGAGCGCAGTCGCTGTATACGCTGGAGATTAGGCTGGCTTCCTGGTGGCAAACCTCGACCATGCCACAAGCACTCAAAGCAATATTTATCTAAGGATCACGCTATTAGTTGCCTTGATATGCATCGACGTCTGTTCATGCCTGAAGCAATACGAGATCCATTGTCATTCCATCTGAACATGCTTCCTTTACACCCTTCGGTTCCCCCAAACCTAGCCCTCACCTAGTCTCAACGATGGCCGATTATATGCTCCCTACTACATGAATTAGATCAGCTACACCATAACAAATTGACCTCTACTAAGCACCCCCATGGTCAAAAGCTTCTTGTATAGTTAAAGCAATTCATTTAACTTTTTATCGATAACCCTACTCATTAACTTTCGTTTACATTCTTTACCTTTGTACCCATTAGGGATTTTTTCGCTAGCATTCACTTCCAAACGGATTGAACGGGTCCGGACGGACGTTTATCTTATTATTTTATTTTTACGCCCATTTGGACCATCAATAAAATATCATGTTTAAATGAAAACATTCTTGGCGATGACGAATTTATATTTTGTACAGCATGAAGTTTGTTCTCACCATTGGGTGCATTTATTTTCGATCACAGGCGAATTTACTTTCCGGAAAGACTGTATAGCCTTCAGTCCATTGCTCTTGAGCATTCTCTGTCGGTAGAAATAAAGGACTGTGAGAATAAAGTTACAGTCTATGTTGCAAGTAATATACCAAATGATAGTAAAGAAACATACGCATGAGTATAGACCCACGTTTTGGTACCCTTTCTTTAACAAGGCTCAATCATTTCTCGAAGATTGATCTAGGCAAATTGACTGTGAGCGAAGAAATGCGCATCAGTTTCTATAGCAAACGATAATAACTGATAGCTATAGTTCCTTCGTATCCCATTAAGAAAGATATTTAGTAAGCGAAGGAAAGAGACTAATACATTCTTTAATTGGAGTGTTGACTATATGCTTCATGACACATTGAAAAAAAGTATGTTTAGTAAAGAAATAACACATATAGAATGGCTCAGTCTAAAAGAGTCAATAGAAAGAATGTTTAATGAACAAATACGACATACACGCTTCAAGCTGATTTCATAATTAAGAAATACAATTCACTTGTACCCCGTTTTTTTTTTTTTAATATACTCAATTTCACAAAATGCAACATGTCATACAACTCTTTCGCATGATTATAGTTTTGACACCTAATCAACGATGAAAGACGTCTCAGAATGCAATGATTTCCCAGCTCATTGATCTGGTTGTAGTCGTCTGATTGCCTGTTAAAGAATGGCAGTACGACACATTCTTTTTGAATAGAATGAGGTCACTGATCTTCTAATTGTCTGACCCCAAAAGGATGTTATTTCCCACAGGTTTTTTTGTTCTCGTATGACACTCGAAACAATTCCAGAAAAAAAAAAGGCAACATATTAAACCAAGAAAGATAAAGAGATACAGAATAAAAGAACAAATGATACGACTAAACATTTTTATTAAAATATGTTATCTTTAGAGATAAAGTATCAAAAGATAACGTCGCTGATTTTGTATGGATAATTCTGGAAAGATGCGGGCGAATCAATTACTATTTAAGTTAATGCGCAAAAAAAGGTAGTCAGACGAGAATTTTTGAATAAAGTTGTATGCCATTGTTGATCTACCATTTGACATCAAACTTGGTAACAAATGAATTATTGTTACCATAGTAACACTTGATCTACACCTTCATACTGTGTTGATTTGTTTCTATAGCAGTAGGGTAATGTATACAGCGAAAATATTGGCTATATTTTACTTTTATGTAACGTGTTACAACTAAGATAACGTTCAGATTCTTCAACTCGGTGTACTGTAGTACAAGAAAATATTGCTGATTGGTTCCTCTTTTAACATTACTAAATACTACAATTATGAAATAGTGTACAAGCAAAAGGTAACGCTGAGAATCTTTTATTACTGCTCCGTGATTATTTACAGTGACTTATTATGATTGATTTGTTACAATTTTACACCACCCATGGTTACCCCTTTTCAAGTAACAGTTTAGATAGTCACTTGAAAGAACAAAGTTACACACGGATTAAAAATCGAATTGTGCAACACTAAAACGATAAACGCATTGTTTCGTATTTGATCCCTGGGAAATACTATAAATACTTGCAATTCCTTTCTTCTTCATTTTTTCTTTTTTATCCTGTTTTATTCTATGGACGAAATTACCCACTCCCCTATTCATCGTCATGACACAAACGAAAGCAAAGTAATAGCTGGTTCTTATACTGAGCATGTTCATGATATAGGCGGGAAAGACAGAAGTCATATTCCAGAGCATCTTCGTATTCCAGTACCAGATCAGGAAAAAGCTGCCCCTACTTTCTTTTCAAGGGTTGGCGGCAAGATCAATTCATTTTGCAGCAAGTTTATCTTTTCTCCAAGCATGAAGATAATCCGCTTTTTGCAAAAGAGAACCAACCTCACATTCTGGATTGTCCTGGCCATGGTCATTGGTATTCTCATTGGTCGATTTGCTCCTGCTGCTGGCAAAGAAATCAAGCCATTGGGTGATGCATTCATCCAAATGATCAAGATTATTATCGTTCCTCTCGTCTTTAGTGTTCTCGTCATCGGTATCGCCGGTCACGGTGATGATATTGCAAAAGTAGGCAAACTGGCGATCAAGACAATCATTGTAAGTAAAAAAAAAATGCATTGCATCAATGACTTGTATTTACGTTTTATTTTCAGTATTTCGAAGTGGTCACCACATTAGCTCTTGCTGTTGGCCTTATTATGGCAAATATTATCAAACCTGGCGCAGGTGTTATATTACCTGTAGGACAAGATACGTCGGCCGTACAAGAAATGGCTAATAAGGAAAAAACTTCCATTACTTGGTCAGGTGAAATGTTTCTTATTATTCCCGAAAGCTTCTTCAAGGCTGCTGTTGAAAACAAGGTTCTTGCTATCGTCTTTTGTGCTGTCATGTTTTCTTGCGCCATGATGAAAGCAGACAAGAAGAGCAAGAAAGTCATGCTCGAGATTAATGAAGCCCTTTCTCAGGTAAAACAAAAAAAGATACATGTAAAGAAAACATGTCCTTATTTTTTTTTTTAACTTTAGGTCATGTTTAAATTTGTCGGTTTGGTCATGAATTGTAAGCATCACTTTATATATGCCGACATAGTATGCTTAACATTTTTTTTCTAATAGATGCTCCTATTGGTATTGGTGCTGCCTTGGCTGCTACTGTAGGCGCTAATGGTATCAGTGTTCTTGCCAACCTTGGCAAGCTCATTGGTTGTGTCTATGCATCCTTGGTTATCTTTTTAATTGTCATTTTGGTTCCCATCATGTTGGTTTGCAGAATTCCCGTTATTGGTTTCTTTAAAGCAATTGGTCAACCATGGTTGCTTGCATTCAGTTCAGCTTCCAGTGAATCGGCACTTCCTTTGGCATTTGAGCGCATGCGCGAATTTGGTTGCCCCAACTCACTTACTGGTTTTGTGATCCCTTGGTAAGTTTTTTTTTAAGGGAGCTCTAAACATATACTTACTTTCCTAAAATCAGTGGCTACTCTTTCAATCTCGACGGCACTACCCTCTATCTCTCCTTGGCCACGATCTTTTCTGCTCAGGCAGCAGGAATGGATTTACCCATCAGCACTCAACTCTCTATCATGGGCACCTTGATGCTTTCATCTAAAGGTGTTGCAGCCATTCCCCGTGCTTCACTTGTTGTCTTGTCAGGCACACTCAGTCAGTACAATATACCCCTGGAAGCCGTACTAATGATTATGGGTGTTGATGCCATCATGGACATGGCTCGTACTTCACTCAATGTACTTGGTAACTGTCTCGGCTGTTGTGTGATGTCACGTATCGAAGGATCCTTCAGAGGCGAAGAATGGCGTCAAGAAGAAGAAGACCGTCGATACAAGCGATGGCTTGATGAACAGGAAAAGTATAACACTGATGATAATCTATCCAACGTCATTGTCATCCGTGATGAAAAGAATGTATAGTAACTTATTTTTATAATTGTATCAGTATTTATCCATAATATTTTTAGCAATAAAACTTGATAGAAAAAAGTTTCTTTTTATCGACTCGTTTAGACGTTTTGCTGTCTTTTTATTTTATTAAATCATTATTTAATTTGTATGTTGTTAGTATTTACACTCGAGTGAATGCGTTTTCTATTAATGTATGATGCAGTTTTCTTTTCTTTTCTTTTCTTTTTTTCTATAAAGAAGTTGATTGTAAAAGAGCATTTTTTGGTGTTCGCATCAGAGGTAGACGTTTGCGGGATAGTTCTATAACAACACGTTTACGTGTTATGTTTTCACTGCATGCATCCGTACAGTACCATGACTCATCACTCTCTAATACGCTGCTACTTATTTCGTGATGAAAGCATTTTTGATGAAATGATTTGGGACAGCCATCGCAAAAGATGAGTCGATTATTTTGCCATGATTCTTTCTTTTGACAAACAGAACAGTATAGCTGAAGGATAGGTCGCGTGCGTTTTGCGAGAGGTTCCTTTAGATATTCAGTTAGATCCAATCTTGGAAGCTTACAGGCGAATCCATAGCCTTTATAGTCACACCCATGTTTACTGCGCGGTATATAAGGTAAGCAAATAATAAAAAAAACTTGGGGACAAACTTACTTGCAAAGCGTGCGTTTACCCCAGGGGCCTGGCCTCCAATTGATTCCTTCTGTTGTACCACAATAGCGACACCAGTCAATATTCTGCTTTGTAAATGTTTCATAGAGAGTGGGTGAAGAGGATGACCTCGCGATAGGTTCAACGATCGTGTCATTCTTTTTTTGGTCAATGGCTGTTGCTGACTTTGAATGTTCATATTGCTGGTGACATTGATGTTCATCTTTGCTGTGGGCAATATGAGATTGTGCAACAAGGATATATATATTTTTTTACTTTGTCTCATGATTTTACCTGTCTGATGAGTGTTGTATAGGAATCGCGTTTAATGTCGTCGCACTACTTTTTTTTTCTTTGGTTTTGCGCTTCTTACATGGTGCATCACGGCCTATAGCCCTGTTGCTAACAGTACATTCATTGATATTCCGCTTGATTCCCGAATGATTGTCTTGATCGCTTTTTTGCTCTGCTTCCAAATCAAAATCACAAAGGAACAGTGTGTGATTATCATCTTGCACACAGTAATCTTCATCTTCACTGGCAGAGCTACTGCTGCAAATACTGCTTGTGCGCTCAAAGAGACTCATGTTGAGTTCCGTAAGATCGCTGACATCATCGACTTTGGAAAAGCCAAGCTCACTTGATGGGCTCATCATCGCCGGCGGAGAGAAAAAGACATCATTTAACAGCTTGTTTTCGATATCGACTTGTTCTGCGTCTTCTTGCTCTATTGATGCTTGAGAAGGTACAGTGAATGGCGAAATGTAGTACGGATGCTGTTTATAATGAATGCGGAGATAATATAGTTAGGATCAAGTGTTCAAAAAGATAAACTGAGGAGAGATAAAGAAAGAAAAAGAAAAAACAGAAAGTATATAATTTGAAAAAAAAGGAGGAAGGAGGAAAAGGGGGTAAAAGAGACATACCAATGGTAGTGTAGCTAGTGTTTCATCAAGGCTTGATATGAAGCTTGATGTTTCCATAAAAGGTACCCGAGTTATAAAAGGAGATATTGCTAATCCTTCTTGAACCATATGTGTTGGCTTATCATTGTAGGAAGGGTTTATATGAAGATGAATAATAGGTTGCATTGTAGATTAAGCAAATAAGAGAAGCAAGAAGAAAAAGGATAGAAAAAAGAGAAAGAAATGGCTTTGTTTATTAAATGCTCAGGATACTTTGCTTTCAGATGATGTACTGGCAAACTCCGTGAAATAGGCTATTTAAAGTCCCGATTAAAGCTTCCCTACTGATATGTATATTTTTGATTTCTTGGCTCAAATTTGGCTTTAGGGCGATCTGTTTAAACCTCAGGTTATTCTGTTCTATAAATAAATAAATAAAAAGATGACACTTGCTTAATCCCGTTCAGTGATTGCATATTACTGCATACTATTAGAAAGGATAAAATCCTTGGCATATTGATACTTGTGATAAATTTATAAACGTGGCTCCCAGTCGGAAAGTTTATTTTTCATTCTAATGGAAACACAGGGCCCTCTGCTGGTAAAAAGAGAGAGAGGGGGGGGGCATCCCATAATTTAAAAGCCTAGAAGCACGCTTCAAAATGGGGGGAGAGGGAAGGAAAGACAAAAGGAGGCATCAGCTTACCAAATTTGGTAAAGTTCATATCAGAAATCCAAAATTACTCGTCGTTTTCAATTGCTATTGGCAGACTGAGATTCTTTCATTATGTTAAATGAAATAATAGCGCAATTATTCGGCGGGAAACAATGGAAAACACGACATATGAAGAATATCAAGATAAACGGTGTTCTCAAAATAGATGCTCTCAGTTATAAGGGATTTCGATAGTTTCGTCGAGTCAAAAGGGAATGACTATCGAATCCAAGACACTTCAGGCTCAAGAGAACAGTAAAAGAAAGCGAAATATCGCGCCATTCCACAGACAAGAATCTTTGACTATCGCAGAGCTTTCATCAACTTTATGGTTCATTTCTTGTCAAAGAAAATAGCGGTTTAATTCATTATTTTAGAGGACTGTTCATGTTGACACATACATATTTACTCTTTTCAAGCGAAGGTACTGACAGTAAGATAATTTGGATTTGCAAATTATGCAAGGTATGATATTTGAGCAAAAGAGCAGTTTCTCTTCGTATTAAGGATATTTAAGCATGTATTATGTTCATACATTGTAAAAGAACACCATCTTTGCAAATCCTGAGTTTCAGTTATAAAAAGGCATATTTAACAGAATAATGTAGTGCTTATAGATCTATGCAAATAGCCGCTGTGTAGCTATAGTAGATCCTTTTTCTTAAAAAAACAACATGTATGCTAATCTCATTTAAATCGTCTACGTGCGCAATAAGGACTTAAATGTGCTGTTTGTGTGGCATAATATATATTTTATTGTTCTAACTTTCTCTTCTTTGAATTCTTTTCCTTGTTCAAGAAATACTCGCCACTCTCCAGTTGTAAATCGATCTTTGATTTGACAGGTGCTGGAGGGAATGGTGTATATTCTTTCTTTGGTTTCTCGATAACCTTCTTCTTTGATTTAACATTCTTCTTCTTGAACTTGGGTAAGAATCTATCCCAGGATTCAGTTGCCAGTTTAGGATCCTTTGCAAGCTCTCGCTTAATCATGAGTTCCTATAGTAACATATAAGTAAAAAGAACCTATCAGTATGTATATGCTTACTTTTATGTGATAAATAGGGTGAATGTTCTTCATACAATCAATCACAATACGACGAAGATCCTTAAGTCCCTTATATGGACCCATGGCAGCAACTGTATTACCTTGAACCATCATATAGCATTTTGTCAAGAGTTCAATGGCCTAAGAAATCCACATGAGTATCACCATAGCCTTATACTTCAATTGTTTTTTACTTTCAGAGTTGAACCATTAGGTCCAATCAATCTTTGTCTACGCTTTACAAATCTTTCTTTGTTACGAGTGATGTTTCCAATCTTTATGATATCACAAGCAATTCCATCCTCCATAATTTTGACTGCCTATATTTCTTTATTTAGCAACTGTCTCCAGAAATTTCTCTTTTAAGTACCTGCGGAAAAGGTACACTTCTTGCTAATAGCTTTATAAGGTCTCTTGCTTTAATAATTGAATAAGGATCCCAAGACTTTCTTGTTGTCTTTACTGTCATGCTGCCTTCCACCAAATCTAAAACACATGCAATTCCCTTTTTGATTATGTTAGTTCCTTTCTCTCTCGTCTTTTTTTTTTCATACCCATTTCTCAAGAGCTTTTGTAACCAGTGGCCAGCATTCTTTCAAATAAGCTTCTCTGTATTTAGGAAATAATGTTGCAAATGAAGATTCTTCTGTGAATGGCTGTGAAGTAAATTCTGGTTTATATTCTTCAATCTTCCAATGATCAATGTCGTCGGTATCCCAAGCTATGATATAAATCAGTTTATGACTTTTCTTTATATTATTGTCTTTAAGCCTACGTTTATCTTTTCTAAATCTTTTGTTGTTTCTTTGTTGCTCTGGTTGCTCTGTTTCTGCCATTATTAAAAGTTTATTTTATGAAAAAAAAAAAAAAAAGTAAAATAGTTGAATGCATTATACGATTCTGTGGCTTATATTTCAAGTCACACCGATCCACCCACATTTGTTGTGCCATATAATCTGATTTTCAGGAACCCGGCTCTGTTTTCCTTACATTATGGCAGCTGAAAGAGCAACCCTAGTTTTAGGCGGTGCAGCCGTCGGCGCTATATCATTTGCAGCCTATCAAAAGTTCACACAAAAGCCTGTGAAGCCGCTTCAGCCGGCTGTCATGCCATCTCCACCTTCGCAACAGCGCCCCATGGCTCCCAGTAACAACAAAGCCTTGGATAACCTTGAAAAAGCCAAGGCTATTTTGCCATTTGGCTTTCCTGGCCCAGTCAATGATCTTATATACCGAAGTGCCTATGTCACTTCATACAATCGTCGTGACCGTAATCCCAACTGGGTCGCTGAACATTTAACTGTAGACAGCTTAAAGCGTGGTGATGATGTGGATCGCCAAAAGTCTAACTTCAAAGAAGACGACGGTGTTCCTCCTCAATTCCGAGCTAAACTCGCTGATTATTTCCGAAGTGGATTCGATAGAGGACATATGGTTCCAGCTGCTGATGTCAAGAACAGTCAAGTATCTATGGACGAAACATTTTATTTAACAAATATAGCACCTCAAGTAGGAGAAGGATTCAACAGAGACTGTAAGATAACAGAGATGATGGGAAAATGACGTATTAACATGTATCTAGATTGGGCCTATCTTGAAAACTTTTGTAGAACCTTGACCCAAAAGTTCTCTGATGTCTATGTCTTTACTGGGCCTTTATATTTGCCTCATCAGGAAGCCGACGGAAAATTCTATGTCAAATATCAAGTGATTGGCAATCCTCCCAATGTGGCTGTTCCTACACACTTTTATAAGGTCATCATGACCCACAAGAACGGTCGATACAGTGTCGGCGCTTTCGTGTTACCCAACGCACCTATTCCAGACAACACGCCATTGGAAGCTTTCAAGGTGCCTTTGGACGCAGTTGAGCGAGGCGCTGGTCTTGTGTTCTTTGAGAGAATGGGAGATAGTAAATACGCATTACCTGACCTTTGCAAGGAAACAGAATGCAAATTAGTCGTTAGAAAGTTCAATGATGCTCAAAAGAAGGCCTTACCCTCTCACTAATTATCCCACTACATTAAAATCAAAAATGTAAAAAAATCATAACTGCTTGCACATAAAGTATGAATGCCCTCTTTATTTTCTGTTTACGCATAAATATATTATTAGTATGAAAAAGTTCCTTTTTTTTTTCGAACGCTATTACTATGGCCGTTGTAAAGCTGACAAGTGCTTCTCGTTATTCCAAAGGTAGCCGATGGTGTTATTCAATGTACAAACAGATCTCTTTTCTTTGGCGTCATAGAGTAAAGAAAACAAGGATACATATAAGTGTACTGTTTTATTAAAAATAAATTTCAGAAAGAGGATAAAATTATGACATCTATTGCATACTAAAAAAAAGTATCTACGCAAAGGTTAAAAATAAAATGCGTACAAAAGGAGACGACATACAAATGAGAGTAATAAGTACCAAGGAAAGAATATAAAGAACTATACAGTTAGTTATGTAAGAAAATTATTATATGTATACAATTTACTCCGAAAGCATCTAGATATGTCCTAGCGATAACTAGGACGGAGAATCATCATCTAAGCGTGTTCTAGTTCTTGGTTGCCCCTGGTCGTCCACTCTTCTTCAACGTCTTGCAGGAGCAACAGCAACCCGGCGAAGCTTATGAGGAACCATGTCATTACGTCGAAGCCTACGAAGGATGTGCATGTAGTTAAGGCAAGCAGCAACATCCCTGTTCCATAAATGATATCTATCTGGTGCTGCCATGGCGAGTTTACAATATAGATTGGTGCATCTCCAAGCAATGTTCAATCAGTATAAAGTCATTCAAGTGGTTAATGTATTATTACCTTAAAAGACCATGACAGACAACCGTAGAGTATCGCTCTCGTTGATACGGTCGTGGATTTGGAACACGACGGAACGTGTGAAGGCTTTCGTTGTGGCATGTTGGACAGCACCTACTGGTCTTGTACTCGTCTATAAGATAGACTTGGAACCCATGTCTCTTGAGGAGTCTTCAGAAACCAAGGCCACGGATGGGCTCATGATACCTAGTATGGGGAGCGGACCAGTTTCCCATCACAAACACGGTGTCTTCTCCAAACTTGGCGTGTAAGCCTTGAGTAAGCTTTTGGTCGGCACGTTGTTTGTTGACGTACGCTGAAAGACGGATCTTGCGAAAGAGGGGGTATCCATTATCATGGTTTGTGATGGTATGTCCATAGAATCGACTGAGAGCGGCAAACTGTTCAGGTCTGGCTTGAAGGAAGCGGCCAGAGTCTTCTACGGATACGGTGCTGCTTGGCTGTTGAGAAAGGGTTTGCTCAGCTTGAGCGACATCAGGATTCTGGACTTTGAGATCTTGCAAGATTCGACGGTACTTTTTAGTTTTCCACGGCTTACCTTGCTGTTATTTAGCGTACCGAAATTGCACTGGTTGCTCTGATGTAGAGTTTTCGTGTACAGGATACAACATATCTCTTTTTCCTGGGCCCACAGCGATGCATCGACCAGAAATCTTTTGATGACTTCGACGAGTTAGATTGGTGATGTAGGAGGTAGCTTCATACTCCACTGTGAACCTTGCCGTGTATCTTGTTTGCCTGTCGAATCTCTTCTTGAGAACCGTGACATCAACACCATCAGTTTGAATAGTGCCACAGAATCAAGCTGTCCACCTTCTTGCGGTGTGAGGGCTTTTGAATCAAGGTTGACAATTCGGCGTCAATAGTCCAGTTTATCAACAGCATTAGACCATCGAATTCCCAGGATATTTTGAATGACAAGTTACATTCAGTTCTTACAAAATTGTAGACAGTGCTTTTAGAGACCTTGAAATCCTGAAGCTTTTAAAGTAGTCGCTCCATTACTTGCTCCAAGGCGGCTAAAGGATTCTCATCTATGTACTCCAAGATCACCTGCTTGTGTTCTTGAAGTATACGCGAGCGACCGGTTTTCTTATGCTTTATAAAAATATTATCAGGATCTGTTTTGCACATTTGAGCCTATCTTTGAGCTGTGCGAACATGAATACCTAATTGTTTTGCAGCAGCTGAAGCACTCATAACTTTCTTAAACATCAGTTTAAAGAATCTAACTTTGCCTTGATCCGTATAGAGTGTGTACGCTCGCTTACTCGACGCCTCCTTCATGCAAACATCTGGGTCATCTTTTGCATCTTCATCCACCATAGAGCTTACGTCGAAATTATTCTCCTGAGGCTTATTATGCAAATATTGGGTGTGTAATCTAACTGTTTCTAATGTATACCGCTCTTCATCAATAATGTACTCCATAGGCTCAGGTCTACCGTATTCACCAACTACATTATCATGCCCATCTTCATAGAAAATTTGAAAGCTCATTTTGTAATACTTGGATTTAATGAGAAAGAGAGTAAAAAAAGAAGAAAGCAGAGAGCTGATGATGCTTTCATGCTTAATATACTCATATTTTGTACGATAAAGCTTCTACATATACGACATTTAATTTATCAGCAAGCGAAATCAACCAACGGTTAACGTGACATTAGAATCTTACAAGCGCGAATTTTACTCTTGGCATCAGTGTCAGTAATTTTTGGAAATACTGTATAACAGGCTCACAGCCGCTCTCCCATGGTCCATTCGTTGGCCAGCTATATGCGCTCTTCTTCACGAACTTGACTACCTCCATCATTAAAAGTGTCTGCCTTCCCCACCCTCTCACCTCGGGCAAAAGCTCCTCGATTGGCTTCTTCCTTTCCCTCACTAGTGTATCTTACACTTGGTCCAACATCATTTCTTCCATAAATTTTTTACCCTTGATCCCATAAGGGTTTATTAGTTACCAATTCTTTATTCTCTTTTGACCTGCCTCGGGCAAAGAAGATATATTATTATTATCGTGCGTCCACTTGAGGCTTTAACTATAAATAAAACTGTTTAACCGTATAACAGGCTCACATTGTGAAAAAAATATCCTGTAGCAGCAAGAGCATTGTTCAAAGCTTAGCGCGCCAAACCATAATGAAGATCAAAAAATGAGCACTTCCTCGTTACACTTTAGTTAATTTTCTACAGAAACGAGGAAGGTTGACGTAAAAAATGCTTGTAGTTTATTAAAAGCAGAGAAACTTGTTTTTTTTATTCATTAAATCTTGCATTCGTTTTTCCAAGATCTCATGTGCCCTTTCTGCTTTTTGCTTCAATTTCTTTTCCATCTCAAGCTCTTGCTGTGTATCCTTTAGTTTTTGTTTGGAACACATTTGCTGTTCCATCAAGGCTTCTATTTCCTGCTGTTGCTGATGAACCTTTAGTTCGAGATGATGTAGACTGTCATCTCTCGCAAAGGTCTGTTTCTTGACCGGTGTGTCATTGTCATTTTCTTGAGGTAATGGAGGGATGGGTTCACTAGGCGGTTCGCTTGGAGGAGGTGGTATGACCGTATTGGACTGTCGAAGTTGCTTTGGCGTATCTGAATCCCTTATTCTGCTTTTATGGGATGAGATAGAGGTTATGCTCTGCATCTTATGACTTGCTCGACTCTCCATCGACCCATGACTGCCTTGACTGACTCGATGAAGATCCCTCTCAAGTTGTTTCTTGACAAGCGTTAATTTCACAATATCGTTTTCGAGTGCACGAATTTGTTCGGTAAAGTCATCACGCTGGCTCGTCATTTGTGATTCGAAGCCTGCGAGTGTCGATTTCAGGTTTGAGTTTTCGAGCAAGAGTCGTTTCATGACCTCTTCTTTATCGGCGTCGTCAATGTTTTCTTGTATCCAGCGCATACATTCCTCTTGCGTCTCAAAGTGGTTATAATGACCATATGCTGATATAATGCTACTGCTGTCGCTATTACGTCTTACTCGAATCGGTCTGTCTATGATCACTGGTTCTGACAGTGGTCTGTCGGGCACACCCTTGTTGGTGTTCAACTGACAATGGAGTGACTGAATACTTGTCTTTAAGCATTCGATCGTCTTGGCTTGCTGGTCCACCACCTGTTTCATTGACTTGGACTCATTCAGAGCATTCTCATAGCTGATTTCAAAGTCCTTTTCGTCAATCTGTTTTTGATGCTTGAGTGCAGACAATTCAAGTTCGAGCTTATGGATCAGTCCGGACGCATCGTGCTGTTTGATCATCGCGCGACAGGAATCAAGATCTGCTTGTAATTCAGCGACACGTTTCTCAAGCGAATTGCTCCTTGCTGTCTGTAAGGCCAATGTATGGTGCGTCTTTTCTGATTCCTGGAGATGTTCCTGAAGCTGAGAATAAAATCTGTCCCGTTGGGAACGAACATGCTCGACTTGTTCCTCTAGTTCCTTGATACGGTTCTCAAGCGCTGTCGTCCTTTGTTGATCGAGAGGATCGTCTTTGTCGTACATCAAGCGTTCAATCTCGCTATTCTTTTGTGAAAGCTCCTTTTCTTGTCTCTCAAACTCTGATCTAAAATAACCCAATGCCTCCAGGGCCCTTGCGCTGTCTTGATCTTGCTTAAAGATGAGATTTTCTACTACGCTAAACATCTGTCCGAGCTGATGTCTGTCGAGGCTGAGATGATCTAGGTCGCGAATGATGTTCTTTAGACCGTCCTCTAGCCGCTGATTGGCACAGTACGTGTTTTCATAAAGGGTCTCTGTTTCCTGAAGCTTGGTCTCTAGAAAATCAATTAGCTGATCCTGTTTTGCTTGTATAGTGAGTAAGTGATCGGCAAGGTCAACATATTGTTGACGTGTGGATATCATATGCTGCAGTTCATGCTCCACATGCATGTTACGGTCCCTGGTGACGGTCACCTGGTTCTGAAGTTCTTCAATTTGACGGTTGAGATCGGATAACAGTACCTTGTCCTCATCGGCTTCCGGTACGGTCAGATGGGTAAAGTTGGAGATAGACGAAAAGGTCGAGCGTGCCTTGTGGTCTTGGTCTGAGGAGACAGACTGCATGGAGCCTCGGTTGTAGGAGCGGAGTGAGTTTAGTTCTGAACTCATTTTTAGAATCGTCTGGCGTAAATAAGCCTCGCTCTCAGATGAGGGTGCGCCATCCCTTTTTTGACAGAAACTTGACGTGATGTCGAGCGCTCGTCGAACGAGGTCTAGGTCATCGGCTTGACTGATGGATGTCAAAAGAGTCACATTTGTGTTGATGTTCAATAGGCTGCTTATATGTTCTGGATCCTGCCCAGAGGTGTCTGTGATTGTGAACTGAGATGAGTGGGTTTTTTGATGGATGAAGATGGTAAATGATGAAGTGGTGGATGGATCATGATGACTTAATCCAAGTTTATAATATCTAAACCATTGTTTAATAAAAAATGTGAAGTATATAATTGTTGATCTAACCTTAGCATGTCATTTATGCTGGTTATCTGCATTGTGTCTTTTTCATGGGGTAATAGATTAAATGGGGTATCATCCCTTAATGATTCAGTGAATTTGATATAAATTTGATTATCTGTGCAAGAAAATATAGGTGCCAATGATAATATCAGTCTAGTATCCAATAGGCTATTTCTATTAAGGGAAGGATCCTGTTGTTTATAAAAATTATGATGAGTGTGTAACACGATTGATATATATTTGGACTTACAAAAATAACGATATTTGCATCTTTGCCTAAAATGACACATGTGTATTAATAGAAATTATTTAAAAAAGGATAATAATATTAAACCTTTTAGTAAATGGTGGGGTATTTTGTCAAAATAGTCTGATAGTTGATTAAAGTCAAGGACATGATCATAGGAATAAATAGGAGTATTGGTAATTGAAGGTAAAATGACTTGAGTTTCTGATATTTTCAAGACTTGATTATTGTCATTTGTGAATAAACATAAAGCTATTGTTTATTAATATAATTATTTTTTTTTTTTTGAATATAATAAATTTTCAGTTACCAATTTGTAAATGATCAAGATTCATTACTTATAAAAAAGAGTGAAAAATGAGGGAGAAGGATGTGTTTAGACAGTTTATAAAACAAAAGAAAGAAAGAAAGAAAGGAAAGAGAAATGGCTCCCTGCTTAAAAATGTTACCAAAAAAAAAAAAAAAAAAAAAAACTTTTTTCTTCTATTTTTTCAGTATTCGAACAGCATCTTTTGAGAATAGATAGCTTGCCCCTGACCAGATAGTCGTGCCTCCAACGATCCATCTATTTATACACAATCAACCCTTTGTTTTGTAATTTAAGGATATATTACTTACTGTAATGCAGTCATTGCTTCAGCTGAAGGTATATTCACTGTTACAGTAGTCAAAGAACATCCCATTAAAAGTAACTGTAGTGCTGTATTGACTTTACTAATTTGTGTTGGTTTCACTTCTGCTGAAGGAATAGATCCATCAAAATAACGTGCAATTGTTTTCTATTTTAAGGAGAGTAAATAGATCAATCTCCATTATCTTTGCTTTATCTTTTTTTATTTTCTTACTGGCTCAGGCAAAGAGATGTATCTATAGTAAAATGCTGATATCACCAATCCAAGGTCTCTTCCTAGTATAACCGTTGCAAGTGGCACTATCGTATGACGTTAAAATCACTTCATGAGCACAACCTGCGAATTATTCCTATACATGGTATAACTCCTTCCATAGTCAATGTCACTGTCATCACCGTCATGAGTGCTTTATCAGCTGCTGGATCAATAATGGTCCCTAAAAGCGTCCGCATGTTGTATTTCCTAGCAATATAACCATCCAGCTTATTAAAGTTAGTTGCCATAGAAATAAATGATGGGTTGTGTTACCATATCGGTGAACCCTGCCAGGGCAAACAATCCCAAGGCCATATTATAATCGCGTTCGAGTATTAAATAACCAATATAGGGTGCTGCTAACAACCTGCCAAACGTTAACAAATTGGGAATGGTGTAAATGTTCTCTCGAAGCTCCTATTTATTTGATAAACATAATAAGCCCTTTTGCCCCCTCCTCTTTTCTCTCCTTACTTTTTTTATGCCTGTAGGAAATGTAAGCTTTTTTTCTTTCCTTTTCTCTTCCTCTCTACGTAAATTATAATTATGCTTAATTGAAATAAATGTACGCTGAAGGGGTACAAAGGTATCGAGTCTATAAAAGAATAAGTCTTGAGGGGGTTTCCACAAAAAAAAAAAAAAAGAGGGAGGCTACCTTGTTAACCTGATAGAGGATGTCTTGGATAATCCAAAATTAACGTGCAGAGGCTTCACTGCATGCTTTATTTGGGAAATATTATGAACCAAAATAGGTCTCTTTATGATGGAAGTCAACAGACAGTGAGATTGCAATGTCATTTTAAGAAAAAAAGGACCATGAAAATAACACTCGAAAAAAAAAAGTAATATTTGTGACCGTAATTTGATCACAGACTCATCCCTTTTCTTTTTTTTTTTGTGCTAAATGCAACTTTATAACTTGAAGGGAGTGTCTATTTGCATTGTGTCATTTCCTTAATGAAGCACATTTTCATTCACTTTTGAAATACGTGTTCATGATTAACAAAAGCGAATGATGTGTATTTATTAACCGCCTTTTAATATTTAAGAAATTAATATGCGTAAAAAAGAAAAAAAAAAGTGTACAAAGTATTAATGATTATTGCTTAATAGTAGTCACGGATGATTTCCAGAACATCCATGATTTACGTGATTTCACCTTCTTTTCTGGCTTGATCTCTTTCTTTTCAGATACTTCTTCAATTGTTGCAGGTAAGCTAGGCATAGGAGGTGTATTCATGTTGTCCTATTTATTAATGGTTAATATTCATGCATATCCCTTTATTATGTATAATTACCTTTTCATTACGCTTGAACAATCCCAAAAGTTGTGATTTTCTTTTTGTCACATTCTTCTGGGAACCGCCAAGTGTTCCAATGACACTTTTACTTCTCTTGATGAATGACTTGTTTGATTCATTAGCAGTGGTTGTTGATGATTTGATAGTAGAGCTTGCTCCTTCTGTCAGGATACTGTGAGACTCCTTGATAGAAGACTCGCTTTTAGTGACTTTAGTTTGTTCATTACTCATTTGAGATTGGTCACTCGTTACAGCGGTCTCGATCGTGTTTTCTTCTTTTGGTAATTCCAGCTGCTCCTTGTTCTCTTCAGAAGCAGGGATAGCTTCATTGTCTTTGTTTTCCTTGACAGGAGGTTGCTTCTCTTCCTCTTTTGCAGAAGTATTGGCTCCTTCAACCTCTGCTTTTGTAACCTCGGTCTTTGACTCTTTAATGGTTTCTTCAGTCTTGGTTTCTTCAGTCTTGATTACTTCAATCTGGACCTCTTCAGCCTTGACCTCTTCGGATTTGACTTCTTCAGATTTGACTTCTTCAGATTTGACTTCTTCAGACTTGATTTCTTCGGACTTGATTTCTTTAGCCTCAGCTTGTTCAGACTTGATTTCTTCCACCTTCAATTGCTCAACTTGAGTCTCTTCAGACTTAGGAGTATCTTGTACCTTTATTTCTTCAATCTTGGCTTCATTGTTAGATCGGACAGTTTCTTCAGCCTTGGCTTCCTCAACTTTAGATTCAGCTACGTCTTCCGTCTTTACTTGCTCAGACTTGTCTTCAATAGGCTTGGCTACTTCCTCTTTAACTTCAGTAGGCTTGCTTTCCTCAGCCACAACAGTCTTTGTTTCAGGTGCAGGAACTGTTTCGGCTACGTTCGTTTCATCAGTATTCTGTACGATGGGCTGTGTAGCCTTAGTCTCGAGTTGTGGTTCCTCTGGTACGACCTTTTGAGATTTAGATTCGTTTTCCTGATTGTTACCCATATTTTCCTCCAAAGGCTTAGTCTCTTCTTGTCCCAAGATTTCTTCCTTGGGGTCATCAGACTTGACCTTTTCGGAATCAATTGGCTCTGTGTTGACCTTGGGCTCTTCAATTTGAGGAGTAACTTTTGAATCAATCGCGTTGTTTTGTTCTAAAGGCAGCTTCTCAGTAGATGAGCTATTGGATCCAGTCACAGAAGGTGTTGTAGATTGAGTAGGTGTCGTCTTCTTATTGTTCTTACGGGCGTTCTTTTTCTTGTTGCCACCGTTCTTCTTTGCCATGATTTTGATTCAAAAAGGGGAGAAAGAAATGAAAAAAAAATAAAAAAAAAATAAAATAAAAAAAGGGCGCTATTTTTTTTTATGAAAGTGTGACATTGAAAAGTTATTAAAAGAGGCAGCGGACACATCTTTAAGGGGCAAGACAACCAGTTGCTGTTTGGGTCGGTGTGACATCGTTTTTAGTTACCCTTTTGTATCTTGGCATCACTTTTATTTCCAAATATATACAACACACCTCCTTTTTTCCCATTTTTCACATGGAGAGAGTTATAAACTAAAATGATATGAAAGCGCGCCTAAAAAATAAGAGAAAGAAGGAGAGAGCTGATCTCTACTGCATGTGCATAACAATATGCTGATCCCAAATAAATTACTTGACGCACCCTTTATTTTATTAAGTGGCAAAAAAAGGAGACTTTAAAGAATGGTAAGAATAAAAATAGTAAGTATCAGGAGCATCCATGAAGGCATCGGTAGATGAGAAAGAGCGCTGTTGACATGAAGCATAACAAAACCTGATCGCATGGTAAGAACTGATCCCTGAAGACTGACATTAGCATGTACTGTCAAGTATACCAATTCATCTAAACCATGAGGCACAGTCCAGCTGTAAGTTCCATTCATAGAAAAGTCATTATGAGTGCCTGATATATTTCCTTCGGGAAGAGAGACCCCCTTTGCCACGTTATAAGCCAATTCTCTTGCTCCACTATCCTTCCAAAGGTTTATATCTAATGTATATTGACCTGATCCCATATTATTGTATCTAAATTGTGTATTAATTTTCTCTCCAGGAGTGATTGTAGCATTGTTTTCAGGATAAAATATCTCTGCTCCTAATTGTGCTGCACACTGATGAAAGAATATACAGAAAGCGACTAGTTGGTATAGACGAACCATGATTAAGAAAAAGAAAACAATGAGAATTGACTAGGAAAAAAAATCAGTTTTAAAAAGGAAGAAGCAAAGGCTGGGAATCACATATGAAATAGTGTGTGTGCAACAATAAAAAAGCGCTGTTGTTATTCTTCTAAACTCAAAGAGTCTTCTTTCTATGCAAGATACTTCTTTTATATTTACTTTATGCTTACTAAAAAGAAAGAAAAAGGAACCTAATGTAATCATTGAACATCGTTCATCAAGTATATTTTAATGGAGTAGCTATTTCATTGGTTAATCGTAGTTTCTGCAAACAGAAACACTGAGATTGAACTGTGACAACTTCCAGAGAGTTGGTTGCGCCACACACATACACAGAGAGAGCTTTTATATCACGTCCCCCTTCTTTTTCTTTTTTTTAGAGTATTTATCACCTTTTTTTCTTACTTTCATTAGAGCTTCTTATTATTTGCATATAAATCACAATCATGGTATTATCAACAATTGACAACGATCGACAAAGGAGAATATCCGATCTACTTGCCTTTGTTCAAGAAAGAAAAAAGCAAAATGAGGAAGCAACTAGAATAGAAACTATAGAACAAGCTGCAATTGAAAAAGATCCAGCTGAGGCACCTGCCGTCATCACAAAAAAAGTGACAACAGCACCAAGACCCAAAGCAGCATTAGCAGATTATAAATTCGAAGCAGACAAAACCGGTCCCATTCTTGACATGGATCTTAAACCTGACATTGAAATACGTCCTTACCAGCAAGAAGCGGTCGATGCCATCATTGACAGATCGAGCGAAAACAAACAAGACCATGTTGCTCACTCTGGTATCATTGTATTGCCTTGTGGTGCAGGAAAGACCTTGACGTCTATCCTGGTAGCCACTGCGATTAAGAAGCCTGTGCTCGTTGTCTGTTCCACTATTATTGCTGCCGAACAGTTTTCTAAAGAATTCTTAAGATTTACAACTTTGATGGCCTCAAAGACCGGTATGTTTGCTGGTGCTAAAAAATGGCCTTATAATGGTCCCACAGGTGTCTTGTTTACGACTTATACCATGCTTGTCGACAGTAAAAATCGAACAGCTGATTCCAAACGAATGAGTACCTTTATTGACAAAACTGAGTGGGGGCTTGTCATTCTTGATGAGGTTCACTGTGTGCCTGCGAACAATTATTCAAAGGCAATTTCAAAGATTAAGACCAAGGTCAGACTGGGTCTCACAGCTACTATGCTGCGTGAAGATGAAAAGATTGGTGATCTGGATACTCTGGTCGGACCGACTTTATATCACGCCAAATGGAAAGAACTTGCTGATAAAGGTTATATTGCTAAAGTCATCTGTACTCAAGTCGAGTCTGATATGAACCCTATTACTCAGAGCGCTTACGATTCTGTTCAGATGGGTAACAATCTCTTGGGCCAGGCGCATCATTTAAAGAGCTTGTTAGCCATTCTTAATCCCAAAAAGATGCAAATCTGCCAACGTTTGATTCAATATCATGAAGCTAAAGGAGATAAAGTGCTTGTGTACTGCGACCATATTGATGCTCTTAAACTCTACGCTGAAAAAATTGGTAGACCTCTCATCTATGGTGGCACTCCTGCAGACGATGCTCGTCAACTCTTGGCTAGATTTCAAATAGAAGTACCCAAAACAGACGAAAAGCTTACATGGAACCAACTTGCTGCCCTTAGAACACTCAAGTCTAAACAAATCAACACCTTGTTTCTCTCACGTATTGGTGATACCTCTCTCGATTTACCCGCAGCAACAGTTCTCATTCAGGTCTCTTCCCATTTTGGCTCTCGTCGTCAGGAAGCTCAGCGTCTAGGCCGTGTTCTCCGTGCAAAGAAAAGAAACGAAAAGGGCTTTTATTCTAGATTCTATACACTGGTTACCAATAATACACATGAAGTTCAGTTTTCTGAAAAGCGTCGTCAATTCTTGGAAGAAGACTGCGGCTATGGCTATCAAATCTGGAAAGTAGGTCAAGAAAAAGATGGTGGTTGGGAAGTTGAAGTATACCGTGACGAGAGTAGTCCTAATGACGATGAAGTCAAGTCGGATCCTATGACATGTACAATTCACGGGGCAGGCGAGCGTCCATATGCCACAGATGAAGAAGAGAAAGGATTAGTGAGCTATTTGGCAGGACTTAAAAACTTTTTAGTAGAAGAAGAAGAGGAAGAAACTACTACTCCTGTTAATGCTGGTACCAAAAGAAAAAGAGATAGCAAATAAAAAAGTCTTTTTTTTAAAAAAAAAAAAATGATTTATATACATTGCAATGAGTTTGTTTTATACCCAAGAATTAAGAACTGTCACAAAAGGAACAAGTGCTTCTGCAACGTCCATTACTTTTTCTACAAAGCCTTCAGAGATCACTTCTTGATCTGTAAAGTTCTTGACTACGACAAAACTCTTGTATCTCAGTAAATCGATTTCAGGATGATCCTTTGCAACATTTGCCGGTGCTATTTTTAATTTATCTTCATCACTTAGAATCTCTGTTACCGTCGCTCCATCAAATACGTCTTTGATTGCCTCTGTCGAGAGTGCTTCACGTAATAGGCTAGCGTTACGAATGATACTCGATCGTAAATTTGCCAGCATGTTCTTGTTTGGCTGCCACAGACCTGCTGCAAAGAAAGTTTGATTGCCCGGCTTGACAGATAAATGGTACCCTGCGTCCAAAAATTTGCGGCCTGTTCGAGAGAATGAGGCAGACAGGTTGGACTTGTAAGGTCGCTTGTCATTTGTGAAACGCAAATCCCGATGCTGTCTATAAACTGCCTTGACTGCATTTTCCATTCTGACCGAAGGATCGACCTGGTGGATCTCCTTCATCAAGAGGCCCACAAAGTCAATAAAGTCCCTCTTGGCCTTATCCCATTCTTTGGCTTTGACTCTCATAAAGTCACGATCGTTGTTTTCGGCAAGTTCTGCGAGGAACATGAGAGTGTCTGGTGATAATGCATCAGCAAATGGTCCTCCTTTGGGTTGTGGTATCTTTATTTTGGCAGGGTTGAATGAATGAAGAGAGATAAGTTCATGATCGCTGTCTTGGAGATCTGCTTCGTCAGTGTCGGGCGTCAGCTCTCTCTTTGACTTTTTATGCCTTTTTGAGGTATCTTGTTCAACAAAGTCACTGTCTGATGCTTCTTGATCATAGTTGACAGCCTTTCTTTTGCGTGCTGCGGGCATTGAGTTTGATAGAAAAGAGAATAAAAAAGAGATTGAACAATTCCAGTGCCAGTCTGGTTATCTTTGGTACTCCGCCTGAATCATCAAGTGTAGCTTCATATAAAGATAAATAATAAAAAAGAAACGAGCTATTGTTTAAAGAAATCTCTTTATTTATTTTTTCTTTCCTTGTCTCTTTTTACTTGTCTTGATTAATTTGAATTTATTACCGCTATCCTTGGTAGCACGAGTACCTTCATGACGCTTTGGATTAGGTAAAGGTTTACCAGCCTTACCAGATGCCTTGACAGGTTTCTTTCCTTTCTTTTTTGGTTTCTTTTCAGGTATACCTCCCTCGGATACGGAAACCTTACAACGTTGGATACGAATCTTGACCTTATCACGAATCTTTTTCTCCAAATTCAATGCGGCTTCAACGCTATCACGATCTTTGAATTGCACATAACCAAACCCTTTGCCTACATTCGTTTTAGGATCACGAATGGTACGTACAAATTCGATATCGCCACACTCTTTAAAGAACTCCCACAGTTCTTCTTCTTCAATATCAAAAGGTAATCCACCAAGAAACACAGATCGTTTACGATCATGCTGTCTACTCTTTGTTGCGGCATCAACACGTAAATGTTTTTCCATAAATACAGTACCATTCAACTCAACAGCCTTGTCAACTGATTCCTTCTTTTCATAGACAATGTAAGCGTTTAAGACATCGCGATCTGAATGAAGTTTACGAGCAAGAAAGGCTGCTTTACGGTTCATGGGTTGTGAAAATGCAACGGATCGGAAACGAATGGATTCGATTTTACCAAATTCTTTAAATTTTGACTTGAGCTGTCTATATCCTTCCTGTATATGAAAACTGGTGGTGAATACAGCTGTGTATATGCATTTAGGTGTCAATTACCTTCTCAACACAAGCAACTGACAGGTTGCCTATAAACACTGTTCGTTCTTCCTTTTCTAACTTTTCTTCTTCTGTCAGGACCTTTTTCTTTTTCTTTTCTGGTCCTTCTTCTTCTACTGTTGCTTGTTCTGCTTTTCTCTATCTATAGTGTAAGCACTCTCACTTATGCTTGAACTTTATTTCAATACCTTTTGTGCTAGTAATTCTTTTGCCTTTTGAAATCCTATAAACGCTCTATTTCCTTCCTTCTTTTCTTGATTTTTTCTCTTTTTCTCTGCTTTTGCCAGTAGATCTTGTGGTAATATAGGCTTTACGGCGATCTCGCTTTTACCAGCCTACTAAAAGTGTTAACCATGGCTTTTGTGCATATAAGTGTATATTTACAGAGTGCTTAAATAAGTCATCTAAATGGTTGTCTATTTTTTCTGCAGCAACTAATCCGCTCATGGTTTTATATGTGTATCAAAAAAAAAAAAAAAAGCTGTCAGTGAAAGTCTTTTTTCATTAAAATGAGAAAAATTTTCAGGCGATCTTATTGGTCAAGAAAATAAAAAGAAAGCCTGAAGCTCACAAATGGAAAGCTAAAGCCGATACGTGCCAAAGAACGATTGATGGATATAAAATGGCTGTTTTGGTAAACTACCTTGTTTTCGTGCTACAATATATTGACAATGTAACATTTTTGCTTCAGAGGCTAGGAAAGTCGAAAAGAGCAATATAGCAAGAACTGAGAGCATTGTTGCAGGAGAAAGTTAACTTGCCAGCGAAAAGGTTGACGAGGGTGATACGGAAGAAGAGTTAATCACAGATAACACCACAGGCTTAATAAAGAAGAAGATTATGCTGTTTAAAATTTGCTCTAAAGAGCCTACTTCTCGATGACAGAAAAGATGCGTTTAGTATTGATGACTTGAAAAAGGAAGGTTCTGACATTGAAGAAAAAGAAGCGCCTCCTTACCTGTTTATTTTGAATGCATTAAAACTATATATCCCAAAGAAGAAGGAACGACTTATCATAGCTCATCAATTATCATTTTGCATCCTAGCAAATGGCGGCCTTTTGTATGCTGGCAACAATAAGTTTTACATAAAGCTTTGCCCCCAGCCATCTGCTTCTTCACTGCATGCTCTCAGAGTAGATGAACCATCGTTATATCAAAAATTGACCAGAGTTCCTTGTGCACTGGCAATCTTCAGCTACGATAGCTATCTCATAGAATCAGTTAAAGAAGCACGCCAACACAAAGATGCCGTCTTTAATTCATTGTTTGACATGAGTGTTATAGCAATGGTGTGCAAGCCCAATGGCCTAAAGTTTGCTCAAAATATAACACTGTTCCCTGGAATCAAGGCTGCCCTCTTGCTTGGGACAAAGGTTTCTGAGGGTGACTTAGGCAAGAAGAAAGGTCCTGCCTCATATGAATTGACAAATCATCTGACTGTGAAAGAGGAATCCAAAAAGCCAAAGGAGACTCTTGGGCAAAAAATTCAAGGCTTGTAAGCTGAAACCATTCAGGGAGAAAAATTGCTTAAAGATGTATTGAAGAACAACAATAACAGGGACTTCTTCAAGGATATCAAAGACTTGATGGCCAAATGGAGAAACAGCAGCCTTGAAGAAAAGGTTTACTTATACAACTCCATCCAACAAGTCAAAGATGAACGAAATCAGCCGTTCTTGTCTGTGCAAGCAGTAAGAGATAAACTGAAGTTGAAAAGACAACGGTTGCATTTTAAAAGGGTAGCGATGAAGTTCAAGCCTGCAATCACCCACAAAACAGCCACTGCCTCCCAAAGCAGTAACACTCAGTGGCATGTTGTGCAGAAATATGACCATGGGATTGCCAAATTGGAAGTTTGTCGACCAAGTCCACAGGTTAATCCTTCTGAAGGATTTATTTTTTTCTGTCACAGACAATGGCCTGAAGACTATGACAAGCACTGATCAGCTCACATTGAAACGATTCAAGTACAAAGCATTGGAGAATACCAATGGGTGCAAAGGAGAAGCTCAGAAAATAATGAGCAAATATAGCAGCAACGAATCCAGGGTCAAATCATTGCTTCAGATACCATCTTCTATGATAATTAAAGCAAGCGATGCTGATGTTGGCTCTGGATACTATAATGTCCGAAGAAAGCTCCAAAAAGCAAAAAAATCATCACAAGGCCAAACAATACAAGACACTGAAAATAATCTTTCAAATTTAGACTTAAGGACTTCAACAAGGGTTGAACAAGCACTAGAAATACACCAGCAATATGTCAGTAACCGTTTAGCTCCAAGAAATTTTTATAATTCGAAGAAGAGGGCTCAACTGAAAAGGGCGTATGAAGTGCAAAACAGCCGCTTTCGAAGACGCTTGTGTGCGAAAGAAAGAACGTGTTTGATAGGCAAGAAGGGTAAAAAGCACAGTAGTATACGATTGATGAATACTAAATATTATATAAACTATTTAGTAAAAGGTAAAAGCAGACTATGTCCTGTCATGTTCACAGGAGATAGAAACACGAGAGTAGGCTCAAAAACAAAAGGATTCAGACGATATGGTGGAAAATGGAAGCAAGAATTACATGGAATGAACGTCAATGTGTGCATCACAAATGAGAACATATCTCGAACCTGCATTTACTGCTTCTCCAAACTAGACAATCCCATTCATCGGAAGATGATAAAGGACAAAGAAATCAAGACACAAATCAAAGAGTCCTTCTTGTGCCAAAATTCTGACGATGTGTTGGTGTCAAACAAAAAAGCCGTCAAGCCGAGAGATGACCTTTCTCCACTCGTCAGGCCATTCCGGTCTATGCTCGCTGCTCTTTCAGGGGACATTTCCTGAGTTATGTGCCAAAATCAGTCAATCCAACATTGGGTTTATAAACAAGACTGTATCCTTCCTAAATGAAAGAGAATGCTGAGAAATTAGCTTTGATACCATTAATGGGTAAGTCATAGACATTTGAAGAGAAAGGCTGCTAAAATTCCTCAATAGAATTTGTTGTGACTTCGGTGGCAATCTAACGGTCCCATCTGAGTCATTATTTGTCCAATCCAATATTTAATCTCCATTCATATCACCCTTTCTTTCTTCCTTTCCATTCTTTTGACTCTCTCTTTCAAATGACATCAAAAGAACCTGACGTCGTAAAGGTTCCTATTCTTGGATCAGAATCCATCATTGTCGGTTTCCACCTAACCGAGTATCTCATACGTGACGTGCTCACAAACATTTCTGCTTCCAATTATGTCCTTATTACTGACAGTAACCTCGCATCAATTTATCTTGATAAATACGTTCAAGTATTCAAGAGCGTGAGTGACGAGTTATTTATATCCAAGGGACTTCAAGCGCCTCGTCTCTTCACTCGCGCCCTTCCTCCTGGAGAAATGACAAAGTCTCGTAAGATCAAGGCCGATATCGAAGACTGGCTTCTTTCTAATGCGGTCACTCGAGATACTTGTTTCTTGGCAATGGGCGGTGGTGTCATTGGTGATCTCATCGGATTCGTGGCTGCCACATTTATGCGTGGTGTGCCCTTTGTGCAGATCCCTACGACCTTATTGGCCATGGTAGACTCTTCGATCGGTGGAAAGACTGCAATTGACGTACCCGCGGGAAAGAATTTGATCGGTGCCTTTTGGCAGCCCAAGCGTATCTTTATTGATATTGATTTCTTACGTACCTTGCCTGAACGAGAATTCTCTAACGGTATGGCAGAACTTATCAAGGTTAATAATAGTAAAATAATGTTCTCTTTTTTCACCACTAATGCCCTTTTGTATATAGACTGCTGCCATTTCTAATGAAGATGATTTCTGCAAACTTGAAAATGGTGTAGAAGCAATTCGTGATGCTGTTCTCAACAGCAACAGCTCAGATATTGCTAATCAAGGTATATTCAAGACACAAATCAGTCCCTTATTTTTTACTTATACCTTTTATTATAGGCCAAACATTAGAAACGCGAACTCCACAACAATCATTATTAATGGACGTGATCTTAGCTTCTGTCCGTTTCAAGGCATTTGTAGTCACCAATGATGAGAGAGAAGGCGGTCTTCGCGGTCTGCTGAACTTTGGTCACTCTATCGGCCATGGTATTGAAGCCATTGTCTCTCCCATGATGCTTCACGGTGAATGTGTCTCAATCGGATGCATAAAGGAAGCTGAATTAGCTCGTAACCTTGGACACTTGAACCAAGTCGCTGTTGGACGTTTAGCCCGTTGCTTTGTCTCTTATGGATTGCCCATCAGCTTAGATGATAAAAAGGTCAAGGAAAGAATCGGAAACCTCCACTGTCATGTAGACGACATCATGGAAATTATGAAAGTTGATAAAAAGAATCAAGGCGATAAGAAGCGTATTGTGATGCTCTCAGCCATTGGCAAGACACTCGAGCCTCGTGCTTCGGTAATTGCTGACGCCGATATCCATAAAGTGCTCGCCCCCGAACAACTCGTCCTGCCCGTGACAGAATCTGCTACAGGACCCAAGAAGGAAGTGACGTTGACGACACCTGGCTCCAAATCGATTTCAAACCGTGCTCTGTTAATAGCCGCCTTGGGTAAAGGTACAGTTCGAATTAAGAACCTGCTTCACTCTGACGATACACAGTACATGTTGGCTGCCCTCAAGGGCTTGAACGCTGCCGAATTTGAGTGGGAAGATAATGGTGAAACCTTGGTTGTTCATGGTGGCGGCGGCAAACTGGTCGTTCCTGATAAAGAACTCTATGTGGGCAATGCTGGTACTGCCTCTCGTTTCCTGACCTCCGTCTTGACCATGATCCCTACGAACGAAGGCGCAAAGAACACGGCTGCTGTTTTGACAGGCAACGCTCGTATGAAGCAAAGGCCCATCGCGCCATTACTGGATGCTTTAAAGGCCAATGACGCCCAGATCACCTCTCTCGAAAAGGACGGTTTCTTGCCTATTGCCGTTACTCCCAACGGTGGATTCAAAGGTGGGCGCATCGAACTTGCTGCCTCAATCTCATCTCAATACGTCTCTTCCATCTTACTCTGTGCTCCATATGCCAAGGAGCCCGTCGAACTTGTGCTGGTGGGTGGCCAAGTCATTTCTCAACCCTATATTGACATGACAATAGCCATGATGGAATCATTTGGCGCTACCGTCGAACGTCTTCCCGAAAACACGTATAGAATCAAGCAAGCCATTTACCAAAATCCAGACACGTACCTTGTCGAATCCGACGCCAGTTCAGCCACATACCCTCTTGCAATTGCCGCGATCACCGGCACGACATGTACCGTTAGCAGCATAGGATCTAACTCCCTTCAAGGCGATGCCGGTTTTGCTGTCAATGTGCTTCGACCCATGGGTTGTACTGTCATCCAAACCGAAACAGCCACAACTGTCACAGGTCCACCTATCGGACAACTTCGACCCTTGCCCTCGATCGACATGGAGACGATGACAGATGCATTTTTGACAGCCACTGTGCTGGCTGCTGTGACCTCTAGTGACGGTAAGACGGAAAACATCACGCGTATCACAGGCATTGCCAATCAGCGTGTCAAGGAGTGCAACCGTATTGCTGCCATGGTTCATGAACTGACCAAGTTTGGCGTTCAAGCCTCTGAGTTACCCGATGGTATCCAAATCCACGGCAAGCCCATCAAGGACCTGAAGGCTCCCAAGGAAGGCGTTCACACATACGATGATCATCGTATCGCCATGAGTTTCTCTGTCTTCTCTACTGTCGTTCCTCATGGTACGATCATCACAGACAAGAAGTGTGTCGAAAAGACCTGGCCTACCTGGTGGGACGATCTTGAACGCAAGTTGGGTGTTCGCTTAAACGGTATTGATCTTGGCGCTCGATTGGCCAACAAGACAACACTTGGTAGGAACAAGCCAACTAGTAAAACTGACCAAAGTCAGTCATTGGTGATCGTAGGCATGCGAGGCGCCGGCAAGACAACCCTTGGTCAGTACGCAGCAAAGGCTCTTGGCTTTAACTTTATTGATGTGGACCAACACTTTGAACAGACGCTCAACACGACCATTACCGAATTCATCAATACTTGGGGGTGGGACCAGTTCCGTCTGAAGGAAACAGAGATTCTCAAGCAACTCCTGGATTCGTCCTATGCTCGCCAGCATGTCATCTCTTGTGGAGGCGGGATCATCGAGACCGCAGAGAGTCGTGAAGTGTTGAAGAAGCACCATGCGAACGGTGGCAAGGTACTCCATCTTGTTCGTGATCTTGCTCAAGTCGTCAATTACCTCAACCGAGACCAGACGCGGCCCATGTTTGGTGAAGACATGATGACCGTCTGGCGTCGTCGCCGTCAGTGGTACAAGGAAGTATGCAACTACGAGTTCGTGGCCTATGCAGCCAGTCTCACCGACCGTGGTTTTGTTGATCCTCCTGAATGGGAAGCGATCAAAAAAGATCTCAAACGGTTCCTATGGTTTATCTATGGACGTAACACGAATCATGTAGACATCTCTCCGAATATCGAGTCACCCACGACCTTTGTTTCTCTTACCAGCAAGAACCTCGCAACATGTGCTGATACGCTCAAGGAAGTATGCGAGGGAGCGGATGCTGTTGAACTTCGTGTGGATCTCCTTCAGAAGCCTGATGACAAGGAAGAACTATCTCCAGTAGAATACGTTGGTGAGCAACTTGCCCTTCTTCGTCGAGCCGTCTCAATTCCTGTCATCTTTACCGTTCGTTCCAAGGGCCAAGCAGGTGCGTTCCCTAATGATGACGAAGAAGGTATGTTTGAACTCCTTCGCTGGGGTCAGCGTTGGGGGTGTGAGTACATTGATGTCGAAATGTGCTGGAGCACAAACAAGATTGAATCTCTTGTTGCTTCCAAGGGTCAAAGCCGTATCATTTCCTCCTGGCACGACCTTCAAAAAATCACTCCCTGGGACAGCGCCGCGATCGAAGCCAAGTACGAGTTGGGCGCCAAGTATGGTGATATCGTCAAATTGGTAGGTGTAGCTGAGACGATGCAAGACAATTTTAAACTCGAAGCTTTCCGTGCGACCAAACAAGATAAAAACTTGATTGCAATCAATATGGGAGTCGCCGGTCAATTGTCACGTATTCTCAACGACTGCCTCACTCCCGTCACACACCCGGCGTTACCCAAGAAGGCCGCGCCTGGTCAACTCTCGCTTGCAGAAATCAACCAGGCGCGTCATCTCCTCGGTATCTTGCCTGCCAAGTCATTCTGGTTAATTGGTACGCCCATTCAACACTCCATGTCACCCACCCTCCACAACACGGGCTTCCAAACACTCGGTCTTCCTTACACGTACGGTCTGCTCGAGTGTCACATGGTAGAGTACGCAGAGGAGGCTATTTTGAACGACCCTCATTTTGGAGGGGCGTCCGTGACGATTCCTCACAAGGTGTCTATCATGAAGTATCTCGATCAAGTGTCAGAAGATGCCAAGATGATTGGCGCAGTCAACACGATCTATGTTCGTCAAACGACGGTCAATGGCGAAAAGAAGCGTCTGCTACTGGGTGAAAACACCGATTACCTCGGTATGAAGCATCGCATTCAAGCACTCATGATGGATCCTGATCACCCACCTCAACAGGGCCTTGTCATTGGTGCAGGTGGTACCGCTCGAGCCGCTTTGTACACAATGCAACAGATGGGTATTCAAAAGATCTATCTCTGGAACCGAACCGTGTCCAAGGCATATGACCTCCAGCAAGCCTTCAAAGGCAAGATTGAGATTGAAGTGATTGAGTCGCTTGAGACCAAGATTGGTCCTGGTGTCATCATTTCGACCGTACCTGCTGATTCGAGTATTGAACTACCTGAACATCTCTATGGAGGCATCAAGGGTATTATCTGTGATATGGCATACAAGCCTCGTCGTACAAAACTACTTTTACAAGCTGAACAAAAGGGTTGGTCGTGTGTCGAAGGTATCGAGATCTTGATTGCTCAAGGAATTGCTCAGTTTGAGATTTGGACGGGCAAACGAGCGCCGGTCGATAGAATAGAAGACCAAGTTTTGAGAAAATATTCATTGTAAACATTTAAATAAATATATATTTTTGCAAGGGGGGATTATGATGTTGACCCTTTAAACAAAGATTTAAATAGCGACATTTGTACGAGCATATGTTCGTTTTCCTCATGCTAAACAATGTCCCACCTCCCCTCTATAGTCTATATATCTTTAAGGAGTTGAAGCGCGTAGTTAAATATAGATGAATGATATAAAGAAAGAGAGAAGATATATATATATAATGAAAGAGAGAGAGAAGAGGGGAACTAAATAGATATGAATTGTATATAGCAGTAAATTAAAATTTAATTAAATAAAATAAATATTCCCTTTTTCTCTTTCTTTCTTTCTTTTTTTTAAAAAAAAGGGAGAGAAAGAGGAGAGAAAGAAAGAAAGAGAAAGAAATGAAAGTATTAAGTCAACTATTGGGAACTTATTCAAAACACAAGAAACCATTGATTCTCTTTCGTTTACCAGACACGGATACATTATTCTATCGACTATCAGATATTGTACCATTATTTGATTTACCTACCATATCATTTAAAGAAGGAAATTATGAAAACTGTTATAGAGATCATGAAGACACTTATCTCAATACAAAAGTATTATCTGAACTAGCTCTTAAACATAACCGTTACATGTTGGCCGAACTTTGTAAATTTAAGCCTGACGACTATCAAAAGGGACTAGTCGATGCCATCCTACAGACATTTCCTGATTTCACTAGAGCTCCAAAAGAAGAACATATTTGGGAATCAGTACAGTTGCCATTAGAAAACTTCCAAGATGTGATTGAACGTGAAGGAGAGATTGCGATAAAGGCAGAACCACAATCACCTCCATCTATACATCAAGCTACTACTACTACTACTAGCAATATTCCAGAAACAAGAAATGCTATGGCTCTTGATAAAGTACTGTTGAGCTCAAATGAATTAAAACGTCAAAGGTATTTATTTATATCACATATTTGTATCATGACTCATATCTATTCATAGCATGATTGATCAAGCCAACAAACGACAGCGTATTAGTGGTACTTCACCTGGACAACAATCGGACGATAAAAGAACTGTAGCTTCTTCTTCAACAAGGCAGCTGGCAAGAAAGATACACTCATATCCTGCTGGAGAAGCTGAACAGCACTCGTCCAATAAGAAACGACTATCGATCAAACATAAGAATGCTTTGAATCTGACCATCTTTGCCCCCTCTTATCACGAACAGCTGGCTGGTATTCGTTCGGCTCCTATCAATTCCAATTTCAGTCAAGCCGTTCTTCAACAAGCTCATCATCAAAAATCAGGATTAGGTACACATACAACAACAACAACAACAAAAAGATACTAATGACATATTTTATTATAGGTCGAACGAATGGAATTCATACTACTCAACACAATGTACCCATCGCACCTGCTCCCGCATCCGCAACGGTAGCTAGGCCTGCTTTTGCCCACCAGCCGTCACCGAGAAGACAAGAATTTGCCATTCCTCCCATCGTTCCCTCTCAACAGCAACCGCCTCACTCGGCTCATCCTACTAGCCGAGAAAACCTGACATACCAGCAATATAGTGCATCCTACAATTCCAAGCATTACAACACACAACGAAACCTCGAACCGATCGCTGTATCAGCCGCGAACGTACCGCTGCCTCCAAAGACACCCACGACAAGCTCATTTGCAGCCCTTCAGCGTCAACAATACCTTCAACCATTTGAGCATTTGTTTGATACCATAGAAACGACACGTACGTTGAAATCAACCCTGGACGACCAGATCAGACGTTCATCATCACTAATGCAGACACTCCAGGCGTCTGCCACGACCATTGAGGGTCTCGTACGAAACCAAGTCAAGGAAGCTCAATGGGAATTTGTGTCTCAGTTTGAAAAAAAGGTGGATGAACTCCTCAGACGGATTGAGGCTGTTGAACATCGCATGAGTGAGACAGTGGAACGACAGCAACAGCAACAACAACAGCAACCAAATCACCTTGAACCCAGATCATCAGCCAACCATTCGTTACCTTCACCATTGCCAAGTGCGACAAGAGAAGAACGTGCGGTAGCAGAAGACTTGGTGGCCATGTCTGAAAAGAGACAAGAACAAGATGAATTGCAAACGCCGCCTACTATCGTTCGGTCTCAGAATGATATTGGTCCCCATGAATACCAGACCATGTTGAACACACTTCGTGATCGTCTTGATCGCTTAGAGAGGCAAATTGAGACTTGATTCATTATTATTATAATAATAAAATCTTTTGTACTTTTATTTATCGTAATCGTTTTTACAAGGGGAAAAAAGGCTTGCTTCATCTCCTTGCATAAACATGTCTTTTCCCAGCCAAAAAAAAAAAAAAAAAAAAAAAAAAAAAGCGGCACCCTTTTTTAAGCTTTAGAGTTTTGATTTGTTTTCAACAAAAAAGTAACCCATGTCTGTGCTCTTTAAAGTTTTATAGAAAGAGAGACAGAATGCCTTTCTATAATGTTTTACTTGTTCCTTTTTGTTGTATACCTAAGGTTGAATGTTGTCACACCCATATAACAGTTGTAGACTATAAATAAACGTGTAGAAGTAGTGAAGATAAAGGTGCTCTCTATTCGTGTTTTTAAAACTAAAGACGTCTTGGTGACATAAACTACCAATATGTCTTTTCATGCAGAATGCAACTTTATTTTTTTTTTAGGGAAAGGAAAAAAGCTGCATAAACCAGACCGTTTGAATATAAAAAGGGGGACGAAAGACCAGATAAAAAAAAAAAGAAAATACGTAATTGAAAACATGCCATCTCGCAAAACATTGAGTAACTATTTTATTTTTACTTTTTATAAAGAATAAGAACGCTTATCGTCTCTATAGAATCGTGTCAAGATCAACTTCAAAAGGTAAAAGAACTTGCTGAAGAATTATCGCACAAGCAATACTCGCAAAAGGACGTCCATAAGTTGCAGCAAAAGCTTCATCATATTGATGCTCAGTATAAGGAAGGCATCATTGATGATCGTAATGTCAATGACCCTACAGATGATCCCTATGAACATGAGGGACAGGCTCAGTTGGCCGAGGATTTATCGGCCACTCACGACATGCTGACAAAAATGTTGGCAAACACAGATTAATAATCTTTTTGTTTTCTTTCTAAAAAAAAAATAAAATGCAATATTTCTCTCTTTTTCTCTTTATTTCTTTGCGGGCTTGGGAGCAGGCTTAACATAAGGAATGAATGTACGGCCATCCATGTAAGGAACCAAGGGAGGAGGCACCTCAAGGCCATCTTCACGTTGCCAGGTTTCCAACAAAGCACAGATAGCTCTCTCTGTTGCACACAAAGTAGAATTGAGGCAGTGGACATACTTCTTTTCACGGTCAGACATCTTCTTGACACCACAACGAATTTCCAAGTTACGAGACTGGTAATCTGTACAGTTGGAACAAGAGACAAGTTCTTTGTACTCGCCTTGGTAAGGGAACCAAGCTTCCAAATCGTATTTTTTGGCAGCAGCGTTATTTAATGCACCAGAGACGATGGCAACTACACGATAAGAGAGACCAAGGCTTTGGAAGAATTCTTCAGAGTGTTCAATCATTTCGTTAAACATCTCCCAAGACTTCTCAGGGGCAGTCAAGACGAATTGTTCGATCTTTTCAAATTGATGGACACGGAAAATGCCCCAGGTATCCTTACCGTGGGCACCAGCTTCCTTACGGAAACAGGTGGAGTAACCGGCATACTTGATAGGAAGTTGTTCGCTGGGCTTTTCAAACCATTCACCCGAGTGGAATGCAGAGATGGGTTGTTCAGAGGTGGCAATCAAGTACTTGTCATCACCATCACCAGTGACCTAAGGAGGTGTCAAGACTATACTCTCTTTCTATTTTTTTTTTTGTATTACCTTGTAAAGTTCTTCATCAAATTGGGACAATTGAGCTGTCTTGGCCATCATATCCTTGTTCATGAAGAAAGGTGTCTGAATCTTCTTGTATCCATATCTACCAAGGAAACTGAGACCATAGTTGATCAGAGCCAAATTGAGATCAACGCCAGCACCAGTCAAGTAATAGGCACGGTGGCCAGCCACCTTGGCGCCACGTTCTTGATCGTAACCATCTAAACGAGTGAGAACTTCGTGATGGGACATGATATCTGTTCGCTTGACAGGTTCAACTCCGTTATGGTTGTAGGTACGAATGATCTCATTATTATCTTCGTCCATCGAGGTAGGCACTGAAGCATGAACGATGTTGCCAAGAAGGTTCAACTTGTTCTTCCAAGAGGTTTCCTTTTCTTTAGCCTTGACAATCAGGGCTTCCTTTTCTTTTTGCAACTCGGCCTTTTGAGCAAGGAGTTCAGAAGGATCTTCCTTGGCCTTGTATTTTTTAGCAATGTCTTTTTGTAAAGCATTCATAGCCTTGTTCTTTTGGTCACTGTCAAAGGCAACTATTTAGACAGATTAGAGCTTTTAAAAACCCCTCATTGGCTATAATCCGTTACTGGTAGTCCATTCTTTGTATTCAGCAATAATTTCGTCCACAATCTCAACTGGAGCTCCACGTCTTCTTTGAGACTCCTTGACAGCTTCAGGATTACCACCACGATCTTCTAGAAGTAAGTTGATATCAATCATTTTGTTCGAGAGAGAGAGGGAGAGAAAGAGAGAAAAGCGAGTCTTAAAAAAATTTATTTATCTTGACGGAGTTTCATTGTCAAGAAGAAAAAAAAAAAACCAACCTGTAGCCACTGCGGCGTATGCACAACTTTTACAGATGAATGGTCATACTGACAAGACTAATGTTGACTTGAACTACGCAGCAATACTTACTAATCTAAGTAAAGGGCAGCTTGACTCACTCAATGTGGAGGATTTTATAGAACAGGAAAATATCAACTTGGGTCAACATCAAAGTAATAAAAAAAAGAACCCAAACTAGAAGAAAGAGACAAAAACTTATTGTATGATGTAGAGTTTTATCAAAAACAACAACAGCTAAATGAGGTTCATTTGCCTAATATTGACGAAAGTAATACACTTTTTGTCGTGAATTCTTTCATGAGTTTAACCGAGACAATACCAGATACCAAACAAACATGTACAGAATCTATTGAAAGGATAAATGCAGCCATGTCCATAGTCAATCAAACAATTCAATCTATTGAAAATGCCCAAATGCAATAAATAATGATCATATTTACAATTGTTTATCAAATGAACGTAATGGCGAACTATGATTGATATCAAATTTAACAAGTGATGTTTCATGACTATGTACACCGACATCCTTGATTGTATTAAATACATGTTCCCAATTTTGCATTGAATTAGCTGCGGATTCAACTTGATCTGCCATCTGTTTTACTTTATCTCCCAATTGACCAAAGAACTTGACCAACTGCTCAGAACTCTGTCTTAGCTTTGCAATTTCTTCTGCTTCAAGTACTTTCTCTTGAAGGAATTCTGATTTCACTTCTTTATTGTCGGTCTCTTCTCTTTTCTCTTCTTCTTTTGTTTCTTGTACATTTGTCTGCTGACGCATTTGACGCATATGGGAAGGACGTTGTATTCGAGTCGATCGGGCTGATATCTTTGTACGTGCTTTGCTCATAAAAAATATTGGGAAAAAAAAAAGGGAAAGCAAGAAAATTTCTTTTTTAGGGTTAGACCTTTTTGTAATTTCTGTTACTTGTTTAAGAGTCTGTGTGAAGGAACAAGGCAAACCATGAATTAAACAGGCGTACAGCTTGGTATAAAATCTTAAAGCAGAGTGATTGGCAGTGTGTGTACTATTGTCATTCAATCTCTCTTCTCTTTAATTAAAATGTCAGCTGAATCCCGCATGTGTGCGTGTGTAGAACCACCTTACACAGGGTTAATTGTCTTACTAAAGTATATGCTGTGGTCCATTACGTAGTAGATATTACTAACGAGAGGAATACGTATAGATATAAACCAAAAACAAAAAGAGTAGACCTTTTGTCTACCTGATTTAGACGCGTATATCGCCGAATGATAAACATATTCTGACGCCTTACATTGATATTTTAAATCAAACTCACTGTTTGGATGTAAAAGAAAATCAATTGGATCGGTTCACTTTAGGAACGTGGGGCCTTTTCATACAAAGCTTAAACATTAGCAGTTATATTCATATACCTTGGATAGGCAAAGATATATTCCCATCATTTCTTTTTTTTTTGTGTTGCATTGATCAAGAGTCTGTATACCGTGTTAATCTTTTGCTAAATATTGAAAAAAGACACCACATAATACACACACAATGAGGGCATATATTATGTTCTTGCACTGCAAAAAGCTTTAAAGAACAAGATGAATATAGACTACGGCCTTGATCCATTAGTAAGCCTGTAATACGTATACAATTACAAAGCTGTGTGGCTTATTTTAATGAATAAACTGACGTGTAACCATGCAACATTGCTCTTAGGATGAGACATAATAAAATAGAGTGTCACCGAGACTAAAGAAAATGACTGGCTGGAAAACCGGGTATCTATCCTTTAGTGATCCATGAATACACTCCCCGAAAGGTAACAATTCAAAAAAAAGGGAACATTGTGCAAAAAGGGATTTTTTTAATTCATTTGTCATCCTTTGCTTTCTAAGTGAGGTTGCGTTTTTATTGACTAAGGATTCAAGTAAGAGTAATACAATGGACTTTGCGAAATCGTTCTAGAATTGGTTGTTATTTGATTTGTACCGGCTCTAAAACAACATAAATAGAGCCCCCTCTTTCCTGTCTTATTTTCAGATCAACTGAAATCAACATGAACTCCAAGATATTTGCCGTCCTCTTTGCTGCTATCTTTTACTTTACTTCTGTCTCTGCCATGACCTGTAAGTGCGCCAGAGGTCCTACTGTTATTACCAGACAAGTCTGTCAAGAATTAAGCTTCATGGTTGGTACTGACAGCAAGCACACCGATTACGGAAGAACCACTTGTTACAATATGTCTGAAGACAACACCACCACGTACTTTATTCCTCAATGCAAGAAGGATGGTGGTGACAGATGGGTCTGCTACTAAAATATTTTATCTCTTTTTGAAAATAAAATCCATGCTTAATGAAATGCGTCATCTAACGCAACTACTTATCCTATGTGTGTATCGTTACATGCAGTCCACAAAATCCAGTGATTTATAGATCTATAGGACGCGTTGTACATTTGATTTAAAAGAGTATTTTTTTTTAAAGAAATACCCTTCTTGTCTGAGCTTGCTTTAATGCATTCTTTCTTTATAATCATTCAGTAAATGATATATGAACACTTGATATAATAAGGAAAATGTTTTCTTGACCACAGGCCAAACCCACTCTCTGGAAAACTGCGGAATAATTTTAGCTGTATCCTTGGTAACTTTGTGAAACGATGGTGACGATCTCTATAATTATATATGGATCCGGGAGTGGGTTACAGGTTATACACTTTTATGAAAGAGTACAATTTTCTCTCAAGTACTGCATAATTTAAAAATTTAGAATATAAAATATACAAAATGTGTCATCTTGAAAGGACATCACTTTTATGAACGAGCATTATACGCAACGCTAAAAACAATGCCTCTCTATCTATTTGGCTAAAGAACCATCAATATCTTGGCTGCCTTGGTTTTTTAAGTTTATGTTTAAAAGAAATTGCCTCCTTTTCGTGGATTTGAATCTATCCTTGGATTTAAGAAGTTTTTTTTTTTCTTTGGGTATTGTATTCCTTGACCTACTGTAGATATATATTGTACATACCATAGTCGCTTCTGGTTGATCTTTCGCTTAGAGATTACCCTCGGTGCCAGAAGTATTAACATAGGCTCTGCGAGCTTCAGGCTAATCACAGTTTGGAATAGTTATATTGTATACAATCAGATTACGGATTGTGATAGCTTCAATTCCAGGAAAGCATTTCAATTGATATACATTTGCAGCTACAGAAGTTTCTTCTACACTCGGATCAAGAACACTGACGTTGCATTGTAGATAATTACCCTTGTATCGGCCAGAAACGGATACGTATATATCCTTTACGTCTTCCCTTGTAGTTCGCTGCAACGTGGTAAGGTGCCTGTATGCTTCTGTCTTGTTCAATAACAGCTTTGCATATCAAATAGAAGAGCAAAACGATCAGTATGGCTCAAATATTTGAACATGTCACTAGTAGCTCCACAGTTTTTGGTTTATACAAACCATATAAAAGCAATAGATTAACTATTACACAAACAGAGACGGAAGCAATGCAGACTATATTGTATCTTAAAGTTTTGAACACTAATCATTTCTTGTTAAATCTGCTCAACTATAGACCCTGTAGAATTATCGATATTTTTTAACGAATCTCGAGAGAACAAAGAAAATAAAAAGTAGAGCGACTTTATGATACATTTGATGAGTCTATAAAACATATAATTAACTATCTCTCCGAGCACAGACCCAACGTGTATATCAAAAAGACAACTGATTCTGCTTCACCTGCTTCAGAAATCCTAATATGACTACATGTAATGCGCTATCGTCTTTAAAGACATCAACTTCTAAATATGTCATGAATCCTTAGCTCATATTCCTCGACATACTCCTCTACTGGCTCGTTGATTTCACTAAAATTCAGTGACACGCTATATTCTCCTGGATCAGAAAACAAAAGTAAACTCGACTCTACTTCTATGCAGAGGCTATTTTCACATGTTCAAAACTACGTCTAACCGGATCAAAGCTGTTTATGGAATCCTAGTAACGTCGTACCGTGTCATTAATAAATTATACAATCTGATTTTGAACTGCAGTGATACCAATGTCTTTGGATCTTTATCTTTAGGAGTCAATGACAAACGCTCAAGATATTTTTGCGCTTTGAATTCATTTTCGTGCCGAGAACATTGATACTTTGGACAAAGACCTTATTTGACCGTTGTCAACCAATTAGAGGTTCAGTTCTTTCCTTGAGAAGATAACGACCTTAAAATTATAAACAACGTTGTTTATCAAAACTAACTGTGTAAAGTTATAGGAAGAGCCTCATTGAGTCATATTGACTTGGACAGCATATCTGCGACTAAAACGTAACGAGGAAAAAGATGATTAGATACTATGACGATCAACACTGTTTAAAAAGACCAAGAAGGTAAAGTCTGAAGCTTGACAAGGGATAAAAATCAATTATAGATAGACTAGATAATAGCTTTTGCTTTTGTGTAGTAAATAATAAAGGCTCACTCTTTTGCTCCTTTTCTCTGATGTTGTTTATTTTGAGTATAGAAACCAAACAGCTTTGATTTGACATATTCATTTCAGTGGCTTATCTTTGATCATTAAATGGGGTTAAAATAGGGGTGTATATATAAATCGATCGCCCCTGAAACCGTTTTGCTGAGGTTGCTCCGTTTTAACTCACGTGTTTTACACAAACAAGCGAGTTACACCATCTTGTGAAAGGGGTTTAGCAAACACAGGTCTTTTCCGTATCAAATTATGACAAGTGTGTATATTATTTTACTGTTTCACGCGTTTATAACCAACTTTTACTTGAGCGAATAAAGGAATACTTCTTTCAAAGCACTTTTTTTGGTTATCTTGTTGAAAGAAGATGGTCGACTAGTGGCCAATCTGTTTATAGATGAGTGCATAATTTAAAAAAACAAGTAATTTTCAATCTGCGACATAGATTAAGAGAGATAGAAAAAAATTTTTTTTAGTAACAGAAATAGTCCAAAAGAGGAGGAATTACCTAAAGTATGAATACACACATGTATGAACTAGTGAATGAGCCGAATATTAATTAGAAGAAAGCGGAACATGCTTCGGCCTTAGTTTTTAATACGGCACTTTTGTACCATGACTCTTTTTTTTAAAGCTGCAAAATTCTAATGCAAGTACCATTTGTGTGACATGAACATTACAATGATAACAATTTGTCTAATTTTATGTAAAAACATGATCAAGACTTCGGAATGATCGTTACGCTACTTTCAAACTTGCTTGCGTCATAAATCGAAGGTCTATGCTCTACATCTTCTCTAAACATGTTTGGTTCATATTCAACATGCGTCTTTTGATTGTATCTTTCGGACGACATTACCAATTCACTCTTGGCTTCTTTTTTTTTCTTGTTCTTTTTTGATTGTCTGGTTGATAAATCAATGGAGGGTTCAGCCAGCTCGATTGTAAGGAAATCAATGAGTATCGGAGGTGGTGGACAGGTGTAGAGTAAATTCTGTATGAAGCGTATAGCATAATCAATGGCCAATAGGATACTAAAATTATCCCAGTTGTATGATGCCAGAAACCATATGTAACAAGAGACTTGTAGAATATAACATGTACATTGTGTGCTAAAAAACCATATCTATGTGTTTATTAGTTCATCTTTTTATTGTCAGCTGTAAGTGGAAACTTACGCCCAGGGCCGTTGTCCTCGAATACCCTTCGTGGGACCTTCTTTCCTTTTTCCGATAGAGAAGTGGTAAAAAGGTAAATATGAAAGCACAGACATCGCTCAAGATAGCAGATATTAATCCAATAATAAATTCATAAAACAACGGTTCGTAAGCAGCATATCTTTCGTGTGTGCAAACAGCAATTGTTTCCAATATAATAGCAACGACGGTGCAGGTGAGGAAGAAGGAACCAAAGAGGATGAGTGGATGTTTCCAGATGCCATCATCCATACGTAATCGATAGCCTACGCTGACGATCATTAAAAAATGGGCAATGACTTTGATCAAAGTGGATGTCGTAAATGAAAGAACATTGGCCACAGGCGGTAGGATTTGATGAACAGTAAGTACATTGATAATGTTAGCTGGTAATGTGATGATGCTGTAAAGTAATACAAATAGCCTTAATCTATTTGGATTTCTAAAGACTTGAATGGAAATAAATACAAATGCAATGACACAGAATATGACAGAAATAAGGTAACCAGGTCGAAGTTCTGGTAGCATTGAACTATTTGGGATATGGATGGGATCAAGCTGGATGATGTATTATCATGTCTATTACCTTCAAAGAATGAGAAATGGATGAATTTAAATACAAAAGCAACTTATTAGCTGCTTCTAAGCCCGCGTGTGATCAGTGATATATAAACTGGGTTGGTTCAATAAAAAAAAAAGTATATATAAAAAGAAAAGAAAGAGAGCCAAATGGATACAGAAGATGCGACTTTAACTTTTTCTTTTTTTCTACCTCAAGAGTAACACCAATGCATGCTTTTCTTTTTTTTAGCGTCAAATGATCTTATTTTGCTATCTCATTTCTCCTCTCTCTCTTTCTTTTTCTATGCCTTTGCTTCTCTTTTTTTCTGTTTCTCTCTTTCTCTATCTGTCTGTCTGTCTCGTCTACATCCGATGGTGATACATATATAATTATCGAAAAATAGGGGACTCTCCACGTGCTTTTTTCGGTGGAAGATAGAAGAGAGAGAGTATAGGAAAGATCAGATAAATACATATACCCTCACGTGCACACGCACGCACGCACGCACGCACGCACGCGTAGCTCTTGCCTAAACGATCCATCGTATATCATTTAGATCTTCCAAGTATTTGTAACTCATGGTCACCAACCATAGATGAACGGGCACAAAAAAGTATGACACAATCTCTAGTTGCGTATAGGTCACACAGTCAAAGGACCTGCATTTTTTCCCTCTCTTTTTTTTTTAAAAAAGTCATTTACACAGAATGAAGCATCCACTTGATGATTCCTCGGTAGAGTCATTCTTCATTCCAGGAGCAAAGGTTTATGAAAGATACTTTGACTGTCCATTAGGTAAATTAGTCTGTACTCAAAATAGAAACACTTATTAAACATTCCTAGATTACCAAAATTCAAACACCAGCTCCAGAATAAAGGTCTTTGTTCGTCATTTAGTTCCGCCTGAGAAAACAATTGATTGTATGAAAACAATGCCTTTTATACTCTACCTCCAGGTAATTATCACATATTCTTTTCATGTGTAGTCATTTTTATTTGAGATATTATAGGGTGGACCTGGATTTGAGTGTGCCTTACCATCCAATGGCTCGTCTGGCTGGATCAAGGTAGCATTCGAAAAGGGTTATCAGGTACTTTTGATGGATCAACGAGGCACCGGATTATCTTGCCAGATATCCGCCGAATCGCTCTCGAGCCAATTCAAAACTGATGAAGAAAAGGCAGAGTACCTCTCCCACTTCCGCGCGGATAATATTGTCAGAGACTGCGAAACTATTCGTGAACAACTCACTGCTGGTAGATCAAGAGAGGAAGATAGACGTATTCATCTGATTGGTCAGAGCTTTGGTGGATTCTGCATCACAACCTATTTATCTCTCTTGTAACTTTTTAAAGAAAAAAAAAGGGGGAAACAAAAACTCATTTGTCATAATTGTAGCCCCAAGTCTGTAGCAAAGGCCTATATCACGGGCGGAGTACCACCTTTGGTTGACACACCTGACTCGGTCTATAGGGCCCTTTATCCTCGCATTCTGTCCCGAAATAAGACATATTATAAAAAGTTTCCCCGGGACATTGAACGTGTACGACAGATCCACAGATACCTTTCCACCAAGACCGTCACTTTACCCAACGGTGGTACGCTCTCTCCACGTCGCTTCCTTCAACTTGGCCTGTTCTTTGGCGTATCAGGTGGATTCGATAGGATTCATACACTTGTACAGTCCGCTCATGATGATCTCGAACGTCTCGGTCGCATAAGCTACCGTACACTTCATCACATCCAGAACACCCAAGATTGGGATACCAATGTCCTCTATGCCGTGCTCCATGAAGCGATCTACTGTCAAAATGGCCAGGCCAGTGGCTGGGCCGCTGAGCGTGTCCTTCATGAAGCTCCGTTTGACTCTCTATTTGAATGGAGGCTCGACCATTTGAAAGAAGATCAGCCCATTTATTTCACAGGCGAAACCATTTACCCCTTCATGTTTGACGACTATTCTGAGCTACGTCCCTTGAAAAATGTCGCCAATTTATTAGCCGAAAGATCATGGCAGGGTCGTCTTTACGATGCTAAAGTACTCAATGCTCTTGAAAATGTCGAAGTTGCTGCCTCTATTTATTATGATGACATGTAAGTTCATTTGTATATGATGACTCTTTTCTCATACATCTTTTAGGTTTGTCGCTCGAGAGCTTTCAGAGCATACTGCCGCACAAATTAACGGAATTCAGTCTTTTATCACAAATGAATATGCTCACAAGTAAGTGTGTCTTGTTTTTTCTTGTTTCTATATCAACCCTATTTTTCTTTTAGTGGACTTCGTGAGGATGGTGAACGCATCTTGTCGTACTTGATGAAACTTGCAAGTGGAGAAGTAGCCTATAACCGTTAAGACTTATCTATGGATATATAATTAAAGCATGTTTATTTACAATATGAAAATATTTTTTTTAAGCTGAATTTAAAGCAGCTGTAATCTTGATGACACTTTCACCCTGACTTCGATCAGATTCAAGAAGACCAGCTGCTACGAGCAGATAAATGGATTGACTTGCCTTTGTGGCTATTTGACGTTCTTCAGCAAAGGCCTTTGTGTACTCTGTCAGATCACTGACCGTTTCTTGTTTAGTCTCCAAAAGGCGACGAATGATAGCAGCCAACAGCACAGAATCATTCTTGAGCACCTCTATGGACTCATTCAACGTGAATGCCTGCTTGAACTCTTCTTCATTCAAATGTGCGCTGTTACTTTTATCCAACGTATAATCAATTAACCGTGTATAGATATCCCTAAAGAAAGCTTTTTGTTAGCCTTTCTAAACTGACATTACACGTATCATCGTATACTTGAAATTCTGTAGTCTGTGGTTGACATGCTCTGCCGTATTGAGTTTACCGATCGTCTGTCGCAGCTGTTCAACAACATAACGAACCTGTTCGATCAAGCTGTCTTTACCCGGTGCCTCTACTTGACTGTGTTCACTCACGAGCTTATCAAATCTCGCCTTGAGTCCCAAGAAGGCATCCTGGGTAGACAAGGCTGTGACATGTGTTGTTGGCTTTTGCTGCAATAGGTTATCATATTCCTTTATCCTTTCTTTCATCTGTCTAATCCTGGCCTGAAGCGCCTCAATAGATGGATCTCGTCTGCTTTCCTGGTTCGAAAGTAGCAGTCTTTGCAACTCCTCTTGCTTTCTCGCTCTCTTCTTTTGATTTTCTTCTCGCTTCTTATCGATATTACTGAGCTGTTGTTTTAGATTTCGAATCAAGTTCTCTTGATACTCATACGACGGCATTTCTGTGGCTCGACTCTTTTCAGCGCTGATACGGTCCTGTAGTGCATCGATATGCGCGTCTGCCTATATATTGGGAGTTAATGATACGTATTCTTCTCTCTCCAATACGTACTTCATTGTATTCCGAATAGAGTGTGGCCATATGGCTTTCTCTTTCTTCAATTGTCTTGGTATATTCTTCAATCACTCGTTGTATAGATTGATCTTTACTACAAATAGGATATAATGTTTCAGTCTAAGCATTATAATAATGTAAATTTCTTTACCAAATGCCATTAAGCTGCCTTAATATATTTAGTAAATGCTGTGCTTGGTGTGCCTTGATATGTGCATTTCCTTTCAAAGTGGGTATTTCTGAGGTACTGTTATATGATTAGTGCGTTGTTTTTATAGGGACGTTCTTTTTACATTTTTTGAATTGATTCTTCACCAAAGCAGATGGAATGTATTGCATTTTCAAATGAATCTGCTTCTCTTAAACGCTTTCTGAATCCCTCATTTGATATCAGCACTGTATCGTCGTTTTCAACAAAGGCTACAGAAGCAATACGCTTTGAACTGTGAATTAAACTCTTTAAGCAATCTTCCATCAATAATAAATAAAAAGAAAAAAATGTTTTTTATTTCAACAATATACAAAAATAATAATTACACAGATATGATACAAGTATTAATACATTAACACATTAAATAGTAATAATAACAATATTAGCCAGGAGCTGATGATAAGATGATTGGATGAAGAAGTATGTGATACGGATATAGATGAAGTAGATGTGATGGGAGCATGCGCTGGTCCATTTGTATAGGACACAAGCGAAGGAGATGGATTTTGACTTGTGTTGACGAGTCCCTGAGGAGGCATCCAGTAAATGAGTTCAGGTCGAATGGTCGTCGCGTTAAAGAAGGATGTATTGATTTTGTATCCAAGGCCAGCCAAGACCTTAATCAGTTTCGGTCCAAAGGGACCTCGATTTGTTTTGTTCAGGGATACGCCGCGATCAGCCATGTAGACCATGAGGAACTCGGTAGAATTAACATAGGTCTGTTGGTCAACATGACACAAAGATGATCCCTGACTAAATGGATTCAGAGAGGTCTCGAGTAGCAAGGTCGGCACATTGTTTACCACTGCCAAGACATTATCTGCAGATACTGTCCTACTGTAGGCGCTTGACGCGATCTTGTACGCATCCGAGGCATACCAAGCATTTGCCCAATCAAGAGCGCTCTTGAAGGTTACATTTGATCCGTAAAACTGGTTCAGCTGGTATGTGACTGTTGTGAATGGAGAAAGTGCATTGGATGAGTTGGCATATATGAGCTTGTCAAATGGAAATTCAACAAAGCCCCAGAATGGCTGAGGTGCATCATAACTTGTAGTTGAGCTTTCCTTGACAGAGGTCAGAAGCATAGGCGTAATAAATCGATCGATGCCATCCACAAGCGGTGCTAGTTTGGCATAAAAGCTATCGGACCATGAAGAGACAAAGCCAAGACCATGGATGAACTCATGTACGACATTTCGCAAGAGATCAATTTGGTCATTGCGAATAGGGTTAGAGCTATTCTATAAATTACACAAAGTAATTGAGTCAAAAGAGAAAGTGATCAAAGACAATTTATACTTACAAAAAAGTACCAATTCACTTGGCTGTTAAACTCGGCATTGATATCATAATAAGCCCAGTTTGGCTTGACTGACAGGTTGGTAAACTGTTTGAGTAATGCTTGAGGATATAATCTGGTCATGTTGTCTGTTTGATCCACCATAATATACGAAATTGTCGGATATGCCTGACCAATCGCTGACATTCTATTTTCCGTACTGCAGTTATTATCTGATGATGGACAGAATGGACCATAGGTTGCATTCACTCTCAGTGAGCTTTCAAACTGAAATACAGACGAAAGAATGTCTGTCGCCTTTTGTAGTGTTGCTCGTACGCTTGCACATTCATTTGGGTCTGCTGTGCAAAATAAGTCAAATGATAGCTGCTGCTTATTGTCAATGAGTAGCGTATCTGCGACTGCTGCTGATATTGTGTGACTCTTTTGGCAGGTTTTTAGAGATTGCGAATCGTGATGCACACAATATAAACTTGAGGCAAAGACAACCTTGAAAATGAGTATAAGCTCAATCAAGATTGTCCAGTTTAGTGAAAATAGCATGTAAGTGGCCTTAAGGCTTTACAAAGAAGAAGAAAAAGAAAGAGAAAAAATAAAGAGAGTGAGAGAGAGAAATAGAACTGGAAACAAGCTAATAAGCTTGTTACACACATCACTCAATTGCTGTTCGGATATTCAATTTTAGTGTCCTGCCAAGACATTTTGCTCTTTTGTTTTTATTTGATAGTGTTTTCAATTTGGCCTGTATTAAAAAAAAAAAAGATTTGCACGTAGTCTACAGAAGGATATATTTATTCAACAGTCATTTAGGCGTGATACAGAACGAGTAAAGATTGATTTATGAGGGCTTGTTTGCAAAAGCTTTAGTAAATTTCCTGCAGCTGAACCAAAGCTGCTCCGTAGGATTTGACTGTTAGAAACAACTTGGAGCAGTCATATTTCACTACTGAATAAAAACTAGTAGGATACTTAAGACAGTGATGAGAAAGATGACTCTATTTTTCTCAACTTTAACTAGTAGTGTTTCATCCTTAGAGGAGCTTAAGCACCGCCTCAATTCATGTTGGCATGGAAACCAGATTTATCTATAAAGACACAAAGTTCCTGAGAGAATATTTATGTCCGAATTGATCACGTTTACTGCCCAACTGTCATTTTGTTTGATACTCTCAAAATACAGCTCTCTTAAACGTGCATCCCCTATATCGTTTCTTTCAAGCCTCAAAAAAGTGGATCCTGTCTGTATTGATTCCGTCCAATGTTTGTTTATTCATCCATGTTGCTAGACAACGTTATCTTGTTAACATAGATTGCATAGTCTTTTCTTTTCCTTTTTTGTTAATGTCTCTAAATTTGCGTGCCCTTGTAATTTCAGAAGGCTTCATCTGCCACAGGAGTCTTAATGTTTAATTGATATTGTAAATCTCGCGTCACATTGTCAAACATCTCCTCCATAACCCTTGGAGAATAATTGTCCCCTTTTTATATTAATGCACTTGGATCCAGGGATAAAGGGAAAGTTTCCTTTTGTTTGTTTAAACATGAGTAGAAGCTCGGGTATTGATTTATGGAATGCCGGTATAAAAAAAGGGGGTACATGGTCATGCATATTTGGGATATTTGTCATATAAACAAAGGTTTACATTGTGAAAAAGCAATTTCAATAAACCCATCCAAGCTTTAAAGTGCTGCCATTATGATTCATATGCTACTATTTATTTTCCATTTTCTTTTTCATGAATATATATATACAAACATGTTACTTTGTGTTGTTTTGGTTATCTACTAAAGCAACAATGCCATAACTAAATGCGGCTGCAACTGCTCCTATAGCCAGTGTTTGAATAGCTCCCAAGAGTGCTTGTTTTGGCCTTAGGTAGATACTTTTGAGGTATCCAAAACAGAACAAGGTGAGAAGAGTGACTAGACATGATATATAGAGTGCATTGTTCGTATTTGTAATAAACACATAAGGCAACAGAGGAATCAATCCACCGAAAAAGTATGAAAGGCCGATAGTTAAAGCAGAAATCTATAACATGTGTCAATGAAATAGCCAATCTAATAAAAGTAATCTCTTACCCAACTACGATTAGGATCAGGCAATTCTAGATTCAATTCAAACTTCATCATAAAATCCACAAACTTCTCTGTATTCTGTCTGAACCTAACCATCATGGGTTCCATTGACTCACGATCTAAGCCATAAGGTTCAAATAGCTCTATGATCTCTTCTTCTTCCTCTTCGGGGTATAATTCAACTTCTCGTGCTACATAAACTCAAGAATGAATATCCATATATGGATATATCGTTAATGTTGACGAATGTACCTTCTCGCTCCCTTTCTGTATGATAATGATCAGCTTCAGACTTTGCTGCGAGATAACCACCCAATCCCATAGAGATGGCTCCTGAGACCAGCTCTATTTCGGATGGTGTTTGTCAATATATGATAAATAGTAGTCATTATTATTATTATTACCAGCTAATCCACCAAAGATAACAATTCGGCTATCACCCAAGCTTGATAGACCAGCAGCAAGAGCAAATGGTACAGTCAATCCATCTGATAAACCAAGAATGCAATCCTTGATAAGCTCTGGTCGATCAAAATGCTCTTCAATGTGTTCCTTGACACCTTTTAAGTGTTCTCTATGAGGAATTCTGGATTTTGTTGATTCTTCAAATGAAGTAGATGATGATGCTGATGATGATGATGACAGTATGAATTCTTCATCATATTCTTCTATCTTGTGTTTCTCTTCTGAACCATTATATTTTGGTAATAAATGATACTCTTGTTCATGAACCATTTGAGGAATTGTAAAAAATAAGAAAGAAAAGAAAAGAAAGAAAGAAAGAAAAAAGAAATAAATAATTAACGGTTATTTGCATGTGTGTACAACACCATTGATTACGAGACTAATTAGCATCTTAAGCAACCAATTTAACTAATCAGAAATTACCTTAATTACATGCGGAACACTAAATGAATCCCCGTACACTTGATCCTGATTTCGCAAACAAGTGTACTACCTCGGCGGAATTTCTTTTTCTCTTTTTTAAACCAAAAAAGGATGTTTTTTTCTTTTATAAAATGTCTCTTTAGATAAGCGATGTATCACTTTATAAAATTAGAAAGAAAGAAAAAAAAGAGCAGTAAGATGTCCATTATGCAATTTGATATCATGTGCCCCTCTCCTTTGGACTAGATTGAAATCACAAAGTATCTGTTTATATCCTCATTGCAAGACGAATCTATTAAGAATACGAAATGCATTCAGATTAAGTAATATATAGTATACGCTGTAAAAGTCAGAAATTGATATAGCAACAAGAGCTGCCATAAAAAATATACAATGCTAGATGCAGTCTGTATCTCAGCATGGAAAAAGTAGGTGCAGCATTGATAATGCAAAAGATATCATCAAGTACAAAATAGGCATACGTTTTATTGACGCTTCGTTCTACATCTTCTCGATTATGTCTCTCTAGAGCAGCTAACGAATAATCAGTGAGACGCGCCAAGGTGACAGTCTTTGATCCGAGTACATGTCATTCAGATAAATGTACTATAGGCCCTCTTGTGCTTGAGATATTTTGACTATCCTTTCAACCACCATTCATGTCTTTAAGATACTTGCATCTACAGGCTTAATTATTTCTCTTCATTGTTTAACAAGCTTTATAAAGTACACTCTTTTGGTTACCTAAAACTCTCTTGATGCATGATTAAGTCGCTTCGGTTGTAGCTTAGTCATGCCCTTTTCTACTGAATAACTTGTGTGTCTCACCAAAACTTTTATTGCCCGGCTTTGTACCGCATGAATAACAGAAGATTAGGGAATACTCATCGTCTGGTTACAATGGAAACCAACAGGTTACGCAACCATCTGACAAACCTGGCTGTTACACAATTCACTCTTTGGATGCACGTGCGTTAGAGGTAGAGTCTGTCATTTGTGCTTTACGAAATTGGAATAGAGATAGCTTTTCAGAATTCTGTGGATGAAAATGATATTGATACTAGAACATATTGTTTATCAAGAGATGTTAACCTATTTATATACTCTCTCTTTTCAAAGACAAAAAAAAGGATAAAAACGTTTGATGCCTTGCAATGAGAGAGAGAAATTGTATAGCCAATCATTTTACTGTGTATGCTCACAGTGTTTTAAGCAACCCTTGGGTTAGTCAGTGTTCCTGTTTAGGAATAGCACTTCAACAAACTTTTCAGATTATAGGCCTAGCTATAGCATACATTATGAGAATTATGGCTTGCAATATAAAAACAGGGTTTATAAACAAGAGGTTACTATCTGTATAGTATTATCTGACTTGTTTAAGAAATTAATGTCTTCTAAAGTCACTCCTTGATACATTGAACAAAGTAAGTTGATGATGATAGACTACATCCTTTCTACTAACAGCTTCTGTCGTCAGTCATTATGAAGTACTGAATAACACTGTAAAATGAGCAGTTTTCTCCATTGAGTATAATGTACTATAAACAGTAACTACATTCATCTTTTACCCTTACTGAGTTAAAAAACTGAAAGATGCCCTTATACCAAACCACAATATGTTGAGAAACAATAAACTGTTTAGGATATTATATTAAATTATGCTTTGTATCAGGAATAATGCATCAAGCACTAAAAGTGTGCTGCCTGGAAAAGGGACGCACAAGTTACAAGATACAGCAACAGAAATACTGAGTTGTGCAATGTCACTTTACACATACAACCTATTGTGCATTATAAATTAAATTAAAAAAGGTACAAAAGAAACAATAACCGAAATAGCCTTGAATATACTCTTGAGCTTGTAATGACTAATATAAAACTCTTATTTTATATACCATCATATACTGATCAAAGAACGTTGTACTGCTACATGTAAAAGTTAAATTATTCATTGTATGTGAAAATGGTTAGAGCAATACAACAAGTTACACTAATACTTGTCTCTATCCCTCTCTCTCTTTCTCCTCCCCAATTAATGGACACTGATCCAGTCCTTTTTTTTTAAAAAAAAAAAAAAAAAAAAAAAAAAAAAAAAAAAAAGCTCACACGTGTGGCGTTCTATAGCACTAAAATATACATGACCTGACCACTACACGAGCGAAAAGTTTTTATAAAGCTAGCTGTGTATACCATCGGCACAACTATCCGCCCCTCCCAGTCCCTGTAATAAAAACAAGATAACCAGGGATCAGCGCTCAGATTGCACAAAAAAGGGCACAACCAATCACTTTACCAATTTTACTCACGACTTATCCAAGCAGTACACATCCATACCATGAGCAGCCTCCCCTTCTTACCATATGACGGATTATAATCATTAGTCAATATCATTTTTACTGGAATAGTAGCTTGTCATCATTAACTCAGAGGGGAACACCAATTAAATGAAAAAAAAAGGCTTCAATTGTATAAATAATGCTCATACTCTCTCTCTTTTTTTGATAACTAAACTTGTTACATTATGAAGTTGGGATCCATTGCCGCTGCTATAGTATTGTGCGTAATCTCATTTAGTGAAGGGGCTCCTCACAAACCAACAATTAAAAGCTCTCAGCGCATTCCCGGCCTTGAGAAGATCAAGCATGTTGTTTATTTTATGCAGGTAAATAAAAAAAAATGTATGACAAGTGTATGGTGCATATATGATAATAACTTCCAATTAAACAAAGGAAAATCGTTCGTTCGATATGTATTATGGTACCATGTACGGTGTCCGTGGGTTCCAAGATCCTAACGTTGGCATTCAGGACAACGGTCTCAGCCTTTTTTACCAGCCATGCTCTGCTAGCCCTGATATCAAGAATGGTACCAAGTATCTCTTACCCTATCAATTGAAGGGAGCACGCGCTGGCTGCACCGCTGGTGGCTCTAACGGGTGGCCTGCAAACCACAAAGCACTAAACGGTTACAAGAACAATAACTGGCCAGACGGCAACTCTCCCCGATCGATGGGCTATCTTAATCGATCACAAATTCCCTTCCTGTATAAACTTGCCGATGAATTCACCATTGCTGACATGTACTTCCAATCTGTCACTGGCCCTACTGACCCTAACCGTGTCGTCTGGATGTCTGGAACAAACCGTGGAGATCCCAATGATATGGTTCTCGAGGATAACACAGAATCGACTCCTCTGGGCTGGTCGACCTATCCAGAAGCATTGACCAAAGCCAACATCACTTGGCAGCTCTATCAAGATAAGGACAACTTTGATGATAACCCACTTGCCTGGTTCAAGTACTGGCAAGACCTCCCTAATGGTCCCGAAAAGCAAAAAGGTCTCGGATTCCTTGGTCTCCAAGCTTTCTATGATGCGGCAGCAAAGGGCACACTTCCTCAGTTCAGTATCATCGTCGGCCCTATGGAACTCTCTGAGCATCCAGAGAACACGCCCGAGGCTGGTTCTTGGCTTCAACAGCAGGTTGTCAATGCGGTGATGAACGGTAAAAATTGGAACGAGACGGCTCTGTTTATCAATTATGATGAGTCTGGAGGATACTTTGACCATGTGATTCCACCTCAAGAGCCTCAGAGCGACTGGGTAAAGGATAAGTTTACTGGAGGTAAATCACCCATTGGCTACGGACCTCGTGTACCTATGGTCGTCATCTCGCCTTACACCCGTGGTGGCAATGTCTTTAGTGAAGTATCCGATCACAGGTCCACTCTGATGTTTATGGAAGAATGGGTTGGTAAAGACGAGAAGGGTAACTATTTAGCTCCTGCTGTTCATGTCTCTCAGTTTGCTCGTAAAACCTCTTCCAATCTTGTCAACGTCTTTGACTTTGACCATCCAGATTTCTCCATTCCCAAGTTTGACCCTCTTCCAAAGCCTGCTCAAGTCTTTGGCAAGTGGTCCCCAACAGAAATGTGTGAATTAAAGATAACAGCTCCCAAGACAACTCCTCCTTATGGCAAGCAGGTCTTCCCTACCGTAGAAGCAGGTTCGCGTCGTATTCGAGGTGCCATCACTGAAGGTCGTAAACTCTCATTCCGAGTCAACGGTACCGTTCTTCGATTGTCTGATGATAAAAAATCGCTCCAATCAAAGAAAATCGCCAAATCGTCTTCTGGGAAGAACACCGATGAGGTTCATGCTCTGGATACGCAAAACCTCTTCCAATTGATTGGCACAGGCACCCATTCTCAATACAAGCTTCAGTCTGTTCACGATTCTCAGCTCTGTCTTAACGTCTGGGGAAGTACTCTAACATTAGGCGAATGTAAGGGTACCTCTTGGTACTTTGAACAAACCAAAGGCGGTCATTTTATTCGTGATGTTGGAACCGACAGTTATTTGTCTGTCAAGGACAAGGTCAATCTCTCTTCATCCTCTCAAACAGTGTTTGAAGTTTATTCTGTTACAGTCTAAGTGAATAAAATTTCTCTTTCTCTTTTGTCTATGTTAATTTGCTCTATCAGCTCAACAAGTTGCTGCCTTTTTTGTAAATGCTTACTGCTCTTTTGATGTCTTTTGAATAGTTGCACAAATGGACGCTTCACAAATGTACAATAATACGAACCTTGTAAGGGCTCAACGTGACACGGATAATAAAGATTAGCGTAACAGCATTGGCAGCTTTGCACGTGTGTTTGCCTACAATGTTCCATATGCAAAAAAAAAGAAGAAACTACTTGAAGTAAGAGAAAGATTTGCTTATAATTATCATAAAGAGGTTGAATTGTTCAATTCCACAAAGTTAATCCCTTTTACAAACACATGTACTGCACTGTTTTTTCGTATTCGGGCTTACCGAATGGGGTTGTCGTATTTCAATCAATAAAGAATTATTTGAGCTTTAAAAATCACAAAGTAGAAGATACAGTACTACTCTTACCATATAAAAAAAGATACCAAAGTGGAGCAACATAGAAACATATAGGTACTATACACAATATAAATTTAAATGGCTATATGGTACTCTATTGACGAAAACGGAGAGGTGGTTAATTTTGAGCAAATAGTAGATGCATATGGGACAAAAGAGAGGCCCTTGGTGATACGATATTTTTGTGCTGCCTGGTTACACTGATCTATGTAATATGCACAATGATACTTTATATTTTTGTCTGGTAACGCTGCACAGACTCTATCTTAAATTCGGTAAAACTGATTAGCAAATACAATAAAAACAGATTACTTTGCGATATTTTCCTTTCTTTATCTTTTCCACTACACAAAATGCGCATCATTCATGTCGCTGCTGCTACATCCTTGCTGATAGCATCATTAGTTGATGCTGCTCCAACTCAAAAGGTGCCCGGAAAGCAGCTACCTGGTCTTGAAAATATTAAGCATGTTGTGTTCTTTATGCAGGTAAAGGAGGATGAAGACGGTAGAGCTTCAGAGAAGATGGGCTGACCTTAAAGTTTAGGAAAATCGCTCGTTCGATATGTATTATGGTACCATGTACGGTGTCCGTGGGTTCCAAGATCCTAACGTTGGCATTCAGGACAACGGTCTCAGCCTTTTTTACCAGCCATGCTCTGCTAGCCCTGATATCAAGAATGGTACCAAGTATCTCTTACCCTATCAATTGAAGGGCGAACGTGCTGGTTGTACAGCTGGCGGCTCTAATTACTGGGAGCCATTCCATCGCGCTCTGAACAATGGTAAGAACGACAATTGGCCAGACGGAAACTCTCCCAAGTCAATGGGCTACTTGACTCGTTCACAGATTCCTTTCCACTATGCACTCGCTGATGCCTTTACGATCCATGATATGTACTTCCAGTCTGTTGCTGGCCCTACTCATCCTAACCGTGTCGTCTGGATGTCCGGCACCAATAAGGACCCTCATGGAAGCCGTGTCTTTACAAACAATATTGATTTCCCTCCGCTCACCTGGTCGACGTACCCAGAGATGTTAACCAAGGCAGGTATCACATGGCAAGTGTACCAAGGACTCGATAACTTTGACTGTAACCCAATGGCATGGTTCAAGCAATGGCAATTACTCCCGCTTGGAAGTGCTGAAAAAAAGAAGGCCCTTGGAAAGCTTGGTCTCGACGCTTTTTATGAAGCTGCTGAAAAGGGTACACTTCCTCAGTTCAGTTTGATCATTGGTCCCAGAGAACTTTCTGAACATCCAGACAATACACCTGCGGCTGGTGCCTGGATCCAGCAACAGGTTGTCAATGCGGTGATGAACGGTAAGAACTGGAACAATACGGCACTGTTTATCAATTATGACGAATCCGGAGGCTTCTTTGATCACGTCGTACCCCCTCAAGCTCCCGAAAGCGAGTACGTCAAGGACCCTTTGACGGGTAAAAAGGTGCCTATCGGATTTGGTCCTCGTGTGCCCATGGTCGTCATCTCACCTTGGACTCGTGGTGGCAACGTCTTTAGCGAAGTATCTGACCACACATCGGCCCTCCGTTTCTTGGAGGAATGGATCGGTAAAGACGAAAATGGCAACTACATTGCACCAGCAGAAAACATTTCCAAGTTTGCTCGTCAGACCTCTTCCAATCTCGTCAACGTCTTTGATTTTGACCATCCAGACTACTCCATTCCCAAGTTTGGCCCCGTTCCAAAGCCTGCCCAAGTCCTTGGGCTCTGGGCGCCAACAGAGATGTGTGAAGCGAAAATAACTGCCAAGAAAACAGAACCTCCTTATGGCAAGCAAGTGGTCCCCACAGTCGAATCGGGATCCCGTCCTATTCGTGGCAAAGTCGTTCTCGGTCGCAAACTTGCCTTTGTTACAGAGGATGCTAAAGTCATTCACCCTGACTCGGCCGCAAAATCACTCCAGGTATCCAACGCAAAGATTGTCAAGCGACAAGATGGAACAATATCTTTCAAGTTTTCGCAAGATAGCCTCTTCTTCCTCTCTGAGACTGCCAAGAAGGATCATTTCAAGGTGCATTTTGCCGGTCATCCCGATAAATGCCTTAACTTGAAAGAAGGTAGCATCGTCTTGGGTGAATGCAATACATCATGGTTCTTTGAACTTCATGAAGGCCATCATCATATCAAGCACTCAGAAACAGAACACGCCTTATCTATTAACGCCGAACGCAATGTCGTCTTGAATCCCACTCATGGTACTCACTTCAAGCTCCATTCTGTTACTATCTAAGAATATGGAAGCTCCCACACGCTTATACGCAGCATTCTCATATCCATATAACCCATCTAATATTAAAAAGGTTCATCATGTGACTTATCGTTCATACTTTACGTGAGGCTCTCCTTTTTTTTCTTCTTTTTTTTATGCGTTATGCGTACTTCTGAGGAAACAGTATCTGCTGTAAGGTTATTTTAGATACACTGTATTGGGACTAATCCTTATAAAAAAAGTTGAAGCAACGAGAATGGTTACTTTATGATGTCATCCCCATGATGCTTGACCGATTTCTTCATGAACTCAAAGTAAGATGCACACATTTTCATTTAGCTAAACAACTCATTTCTTTCTTTTACTCTGCAGCATAGTCGAGACTTAATAACGGGCCAAAGTATGATGATGATAATAAAATGATAAGCATGTAAAACTGACTACATTGTTTTAGCTAAAGCTGACTCGTTACCACTTTCACAGTTTTGTATAATTTATTTACAAAAGGAGACATGTGGGAGGAAAACGAACAAAAGGATCTAATCTATTAAATAATTAGTAATGATACCATCAAGGGGTTTTTGTCACTACATGGTTTCTATATCAATAAAGCGGTAAGTTTTACACATTATAGACATGCTATGTGCATAAATAAAAGGTTACTTATTTTCTGAAAAAAGGAGCTCAGCATAAAGTTGCCTCATCAAGAAGCACAGATGAAGGCGGGTATTGTTGCATCCGCACCTTACTTTCTTGAACAAGTAAAAGAGAAAAAATGGTTAAATTTTAGACTGACATTTCACAAATGAAAGCTACAAAGAGCGCATAATTACCTATCCTTGGCCATAGACCAAGTAGAAAGTTTTAGTAAACCTTCTGATAGTCAAGTGACGATTGAAGTAATAGAGACAATCTCTTTGTGTCATACTTCTCATTCTTCTTAATTTTTAGCTACTAGAAGATTTGTACAAGTATGTGGACCACGCACTTCATGCTTTTGACTACCCAAACGAAGCGTCATTATTTCCTTATAAAGTATGCCATCCAAAGGTAAAAAAAAGAGGGCATTTGCTTTATTTATGAAAATTGACACACATCAAGTTCTTTCAGCCACCACTCAAGCAGGATACAGTTATCGAATTCTGTGTCCAGGATGTGTTTATCACTTGCAACATCTACACACTGGATTATAGCCATACAAAGCATAACAATAAGCTAGATAAGAATAGCTCGGTAGTGTATGTGCCTTTATAGTCTTATAGTCTTCATCATATTTACACATCAGATGTAGGACATATAAGGATAAACAAGTTTTGATTGTAGATCAAATCAAGACACAGACTCAGTCAGCGATGTTAACCGAACTCAAAGGGTCACTCAAGTTAATGCTTGAGTTATGTCAAACGCATAAACAGATGTTACTTCAAGCCAAGTAACATCAGAGTGTATATTTGTTTATTTTCAGGAGTCTCATGGGGTTGTTTTGTTTTTTAATGAATCATTTTTCCACTACACAAAGAAACAACAAGATGAAATAAAGCTCCGGTTTGCAAATCCATAAATAAACGTAACTAACCAATCTATATTTGTTTACATTAAAAAAGAGAGAAAGGAATCTACATAAAACGTTCCTTTCTTTTCTCTTCCCCTTTTTTTTCTTCTTTTTCAAAATGACAGAATCAAACCTCTCAATGGATTCATACATGGACGACAAGGATGATATCATGACTTACCTTGATGAAGACTACATGTCTACTACAAGTAACAACTCTTCTTCCTGGACATTACCTCTCAGCCCATCCATGACGCCTACTCCTCCTGAACCATCAGTGTTTCCAGAGCCACAATATTTTCCGTTCATGAATTACCTCCAAGGATGCTATCAACACGACGTTTCACAAATGAACGCGTTTAAGGAGATTCACTTGATGTTACCTTCTTCTACACTTGTGGGACCCAAACAAAAGCGAGGACGAAAAAAGCGAAATGCGAGCAAGGATACAAGCGCAGTATCTCTAAAGCCACCTGTTCCTATCCTACCAGCGATCAAGCAAGAAGAAGATGGACATAAAACTGACGAGCAACTGAACCATGAGAAGATGGCGGCTTCGCTTGCCAAAAGACAAGAAAGGCTCATCAAGAATAGAGCAGCGGCTTTGTTGTCACGAAAGAGAAAGAGAGAACACCTGTATTCATTGGAACAGGAACGAATGAAGCTCTTGGATGAAAATTCAGACTTGAAAGAACAAATGAATAGATTAGAAAGAGAAAATATGCAATTAAGGCAGAAATTAAAAGACAATAACCATAGTCATAGCAGCAGCCATGGTAGCCATAGTTGTGGTAACCATGGCATTCTTTTAATGGTAACTTGATTATGGTACTTGTATAAAATAATTAACATCTTTTGGTTCTTTCTAGATCATTTTATACTGCTTTGCACTATTTATTTCATTTTTACCAAAATCAAAAACAATGACAAAGTAAGATATAGCTTTTCTCTCTCTTTTGTTTTGCCTAATTTTAAAATATGAACAGTAGAACCATATCCAACATTAATACCCTTTCTTCCTTTCCACCAAAAGAATTTTGCAAAGAAGACGCTGACAAGGACACAAAAAATAAATCGAAAAGGACATTATTTGTTCCACTAAACATGCATAAATAACATATACAAATAAAAGAATATATATAAATTCTCAAGCATATATCATCCCTAGCTATGAAAGCAGCAATTCAACCATTGACATAAGGGATAATAATACTCAGACTCTGTTTTACGTCTACTTGTTGTTTCCAAGAGAGCACGTCCTTCATCATCGTCTTGAAATGATTGTCCTTCATCTTCATCATCTGAAATGGGTATAATATTATTATAGTTTTGTTTGACTTTATCTAGTTTTGCTTCTATTATAGACTTAACAATATTTCACATAGGATCATGTTTATGGTTAATACCAAGTTTACGAATGACATTCTGTTGGTCATGTTGTTCTTGATCTGTTTGAACTGTATTCCATTTTATTAATTGTTCAGTAGACTTGTCTGGTTTCTTTTGATATTCTTTTGGCAAAAAGGGGTCAAATGTGTTCATAGCAAATAAAAAAATAAAAAAGGATAGAAAGAGTGTGTGTGGCTGAACTTTATTCCTTATAGGCCAATTTTTGATTCTGGAGGATCGTCAATATAAATCTGGACTCATATTTTATCCTGACTACGCACACATACAGAAAAAAGAAGTTTATTCATCTTGCGTCTTTCTAAAAGAAAGAAAGAGAAAGAGATAAAAGAAAATAATAAAAGGGAATGCAAGGGGGGAAAGGTATATTCATATCTGTGCGTGTGTGTGAGCGTATATCTTCCATTTTATTCTTTTTTTTTGATCTTCAATTCTGAGCCAAAACGCCGATGTCTATAAACTTTTTTTTTGTTCCTTTCTTTTTTAAATCTTTTTTCCTCTTCTTTTTATTTTATTTTTGATTCTCTTTCTCTTTTATAAATAATACACACAAAAGAAATACAAAAAGATCTATGGATAATACTTTAAAAGAATATGACAGAAACTTGAAAGAGTTAGAGCGACAAAAGGAAAAACTTAAAGTTGTCATGCAAATGATGGGACAGGAATGGGAAGAAAGGTAATCGACATGAATGAGTAAATTACTTAAACTAACCTTTTGTTGTTATAGTGGACCAGGTATTGGATGGCTAGGTTCACTTGATATACCAGATACAACAGTTGAACCATCGTTAAATGATAAAAAAAAACAACCCGTGTTGGCATCGAATTTACTACAACCTACAGCAGGACCATCACCTGAATACCTTCAATCATTACTTCATATAAATGAATCTCTGCTGGCTCAGAGCCTTGCCAATGACCCCACACCCATGCTATCACCATCAGAAGAAGATAGTTTGATTGACCATAAACCAATAAATATTTCATCACCGTTAATTACACCAGAAGATAATCAAGTAAAGCAAGACAAGGATACCCTGACTGACGATTGCAGCTTGAATAACACTCAATTGGAACCATTTGATCAAATAAAAAAATTTTGAACCTGAAATTTTTTACCAACCCTTTGGTACACGTCCTAACTAAAAATGGAAAGATCTAAATAGTTCCATCAGATCGTGTTTCCATCTTTAGTACTTTCTTTCTTTTTCTGTTTTTCTTTTTTTCTATGTATATGTAATAGGCTACATGTTACACGCCTTAAACAATAACCCTGACAGAGCTTTGATTTATACAAAACGTTATTTGTCATCCTTGTATTTTCGATGCACATATAGTCATAGTAAACCAATGTTTGCATTTACCCCCCTTCTTTTATTATTATTACTATTATTATACTCCTTCTAGAGTAGTAGTTCTAGACCCTTTCATTCTATTTCCTCTCTTTCTCTTTCTCTATGCTCCTTTGATATAACAAGTCTTGTTCAAGAGTTGAAGTACAAAAGTATATTCTTTCAATTCCTTATCATTTAAACGTTTTGCTTCCCCCTTTCTCGTCTCATTCCCCTGTTATTTAGTAATTTTTTTAATTGATGAAGGAATTTATTCTACAAACAAGCTTACCATAATGATCTTAGCATATTTTCCTCAATAAAGGACTTCCGCTTGTGGCACATACAATGCAGGCAGGTGGCGTGACATGTAAGTTTATACCATGAGAAAGATGAATGTTGCGCATACTGAATGATGTACCTTTAGACAAAAGTGTAGTCAAATAGGACAACAAATCTATTGTGATATATATATACATATTCTATGAAACCATTCTCGCTATTTCATCAATCAGTCATTTCATCACTCTCACAGAAGCAAATAGAATTATAATCTACCAAAAAGAGAATATAAAAAAAAAAAAAGAAGCTTGAGTCACCGCAACCAAAGTCAAATGTCCCCACGCTTACCATCTAAAGTTCATTGAACCACAGCATTGGTACCTTGCTAAAATATGCTCTACACGTGACGAGTTGCTTTTTTTTTTTTCTTCTTTGTTTACAAGTGTGTAACAATAATTGATAGCTCATGCTACAATCATACTTATGACATTATCTACAGAATATTATGAATACGAGTAATAACTGAGAAAGATTGCCTTATATCTGCATGTACTCCGCTTCTGGGGTGTATACTTCATTATTGACTTTCTCCTTTTTGCTTATCAGTTAAGGAGTAACTCTTTTTTATGGATCCATTTGTCCCACTTTCTTTATTTTTCTATTTTTTTCTTACTCCTTCCACACACTTCCTTCTCCTTCTTTTGTCTAAAAATGTTAAGTACACATTCTGTGTAACAGCGTCCATTGTCCATTTATGTCGTCTTTGCTGGGTGTTCCAACAGGTCAACCTATTCCATGTACCCTCTTCTGAAGGATCAGGATTGTTTATATGTCCCTTTTTCATTTTTTTTTCACGTATAAAACGTAGTAAATACGCGAGTATATCTAGTGTTCCACGACGATTTCACTCATATCATTATAAAGGGTGCTTGTGATTTTAAGGTATCCATTTTCCATTGATAAGCATGTATAATACACTTTATTCTCAGGTATTAAACAATGAAATGAGATAAAACATATCTCAACGTTATTAATTATTAAACAGTAAGACATTCTACTAATTTTTTTTGTATGAAAGTGTGGACTTTATTTAAGGTGCCAAAAAACCAGACTTAGCTTTACTATCGGACAGTAGATGCTGTAAGTAAGCCATGTGAAGAGCCATATTTGATCTTCTACGTCGACTAAACTGATACCACCATGTTTCTTCTTACGGCATAGAGTTGACCAGGAAAATGCAGGCTTGAGTGGTACGACAAAAATACGCACAATCGTACAGATCTCTTGTAGCCATTGCTTAGGAGCGGGAACTACTATCAAGACATGCCAGAGTTTACTTAACAGCAGGGAATTGGCCACGATGCTTGTTCCTCTGGTTGATAAACCTCGCGCTTTTAGTAGGAAGCTATGTCGTTGCACCTTAATTTTAAGCTCTTGCAGGAAGGCTTGCAACTGATGGTTTACCGAATGCAGAGGATAACCAAAGTATCAGGTATATGATATGGAGGTTGAACAGCACCATCTTTCATCAAGATGCCACAAAGAACAATACCAGGACGCTGTTCATTGTTAACGGCCTTGATCGTGTCTTTCAATTCGCGGCATAATCTAATCAAATCATTTACGCCCTTGGCCTTGTTCGATTTAGCCTCAAGGGAAAGAAGCATGCACTTTGCTTTGTTTAACGCCATGGAGAAGTCAGCACAGTTACCACAAGTATTGAGAGATGGGCCCAGTTCAGTGGGTCGCTTTGCAGAATCACGAATCATAGAGTCAGCACCAAGAGATTTAGTCAATGTAGTATTAGGAAAATACCCCTTGAAAAGATGTTCGACAGTGTCTCTTACAAGAGTAGCTTCGTTCACATTATTTGTAGAGTAAGTTCTTGACAAATTGTTGAAGATATTACATAAGGTAGCAGTATCTTGAGTGCTTTGTTCATCCTTGAAATCCTTAATATATGCTTCTATCTTGACTTGATCAATGTTCCTAACTGCCATATCACAAGCAAACTTTGAAACTAGATAGGTATGAGCTCTTTCCATTTCCACAAGTTTACAATAGTCAATGGAAAGCATTACATACACGAAAAAATTCATCAAAAGTTCGATTAATACTATGGACGCAACCTCCAGATTCTACCTATGATGTCGTCAGCAAAACTTTCCAATGTGTAGCTTGACGCTACATGTAAGTTTATATAGCTATCATATTGATTGTGTTTCCTTTCAGGAAGAATGAGATAAAAAAAAACGTTATTGCTGTATTTAATTTTATGTTGTTAGTTTGATCAATAAAGAACCAAGATATTTAAGTGTAATTATGATAAATTCGTATTTTGGTCGTGTGAAGTCGTAAAATGAAATCACAGTCAGCGCCCTGAGGAAGCACTCATAACATTAGTCACTTTGTCGTGAATTTTTTCGTGCATGCAGTATTTCCCTAGGCTTACTTCCTAATCTTGATCACACACCCTAGTTGTGTTACTCTGCCAAACCCCCCTTTTTTTTTTCCTTTGATTTTTAACTAGTAAAGACTAGATAAATACTATTTTTTTAGTAGTTGTTATATGAAGTAATAATCTTGTATAAAGAAACGAGGCAATTTATGCATAATTAAAAGAATGTCGCCACCGAAAATGGTAATAGCCGAATAAAGATACACACAGTATCATCGTACTTTCTACCTTGTCTGATTCTATTACAAAACTAAACCATTAAAAACATTGTTCACGACTATCACGAAAACAATATCAATAATTTAGCAGTGCTACATTCTTTAACCAGCCTTGCAATGACAGTAAATGGTGCGGAACGCAACGTCGTTCTGGCAATTGAATCTCTCTTCCCCACACTTAAAGATTTGGATATTTGGTTGTGAGACTGAGCTTGCCGCTTCTTTTATATACTCTATTATCCAAGCATTGCTCTTCTATGAAGATGACGATAAAGTTGCAAGATGCAGCAACACAAACACCCTATTGTAGTGATAGTTGGAGTTGCAAGTACGACGGCGCAATTTATGAGCATGACGGTACCAAATAGTGATTTCCTCTTCGCAAGACACATACCATGTATAGGTTGGGCAAAACGATGCCTAGTATTTACGTCTTCAACATTAAATGCAAACGAACATAATACCGACGAAGAAATAAACCCTTTACAAGCATCATACTAATTCATGTGCTCACAATCAATGTCAATTCCTACTTTGGCTTATGAAAAAAATGACAAAACGATAAGATTGTTATATTCCATTGCGCGCCAATTTCGAGCTACTAGGCGGAGAAGAGGGTGAAAAGTTGGAGGCAATTAGCAACATATGTAGCAGTAGCCAAACTCAACTCCACAAGATAAAAGGGTGCCTCGAAAAAGGAGATGACGAAAAAGAAAATACTGTGAAGCTATAGAAACAGCACCCATTGAAGAAACTCCTTCTTTGCTGTATTTAAACAAAAACAGGAAGTTCATAAACCCTGCTGATCCTAATAGCGAGAAACATAAAGCAGAGCAATATCAATATGTACAACGGTTTAAAAGTGTCGAATCAGGAAGAATCAGCTGGAAGAAGTGTTTTGAACAAGGGTATCTTGATGACATAAAAGTAATCAAGTATTTTTGATGTAGTATATGAATTTATGAAGTACCATCATAATTACTTCAAGTGATCTTGGTAGTTCCCGTCCTTCTCTCTCTATCTCTTCTCAGTTTGTCTCTCTGGTTATTACAATCTCACTCAAGAAGATAAAGGATCCAAAAAAAAAAGGTTTTTATATTACTGTACTTTATTTTACATTATTCTATTCGAACAAATAAGAAAAGAATGATTATAACAACCAAGGTCATAAAGCTCGTAGTGTAATAAGTTATCATTTATATTGGGCAAAATATTTTTGGATTTTCAAATGCAAACCACTATTATTCAAATTCCGAGGAGTCGGAAGTGTGATGTCCCCTAAGAGATTAGTGTAGAGTCTTCCCTTGTCTGTCTATCTACTCCTATTTTCATTCAAATTAGTTTCCTTGAATCCACCTCCCTTAAAAGAAATAAAAAAAAAGAGTTCAATTTATCATATCTTCTTTTTCTTCTCTTTCTCTTTCTTTTTATGACAAGAGACGAAGAGGACAGCATAAGTGATATCAGCCATCGAAAGAAGAGCGTATTTTCATGGTCTTCAATCAGCAGCACCTATTCACAAATAACTTTATTTTCTTCACATACAGAAGATATAGATACCATATGGACATACTTGATGCTTCAAGGATACCTTTTACTCGACACCGACCAAAAGCGACGAGAGAAACTGTTTGAGCTGCTCTGTCGACTAGCCTCACAGGGCAATTTGATATTTATACAGCAGCTGGCTATGGATGAAAGAACAAGCAGGCTTGTTCAATTAGATTCTGTAGATAATGAAAATCAGTGGACACCGTTGATGTATGCGTGCTGTTTTGGAAGGTTGACTGTTGCACGCTATTTACTTGATATGGGTGCAAAAGTAGATGCACAGGATCACAGTAAGAGAGTGAGAACATACATATAGATGCTGATATATGTAAAAAAGACTTACTTTTGTAAAGTTGGCTGGACACCCCTGATGTGGGCAGTGACAAATGATCACTGTGATATTGTAGAGACACTATTAGAATATAATGCATCCGTAGATACAAAGTCGTTCAATGGCACGAGCGTCTATGATCTCATCAATATAGAGAATGAAAGAATGATGCGCATCCTGCCTACAGTCAAAGTTCCAGTATCTAGCTTTATATGGGATCAGTGTCTGCCGGACCAAATGTTTGTATTTACTGAGGAACAACTCGACCTTATTCTGACTATAGCCATCACAGAATTTCAATTGCCGATAAAATCAAGGAGCGAGATATATGTACCTGCCAGCATCATCTTTTTATGTGCTCGATATGCTCACTATTATGTAACAAAAGATTTGGTGCACGCTTTGCTCACAAACGCAGTGAACAGGATACAGCATGTAATTGATGTATGTAACAAAAAAAATGCAATGATTGCCTCGCTTACACTTTGTACAATAGAGCAAGAGGCAAGATGTGCATACTTTAGCATTTTGGATATCCAACCTCACTCAGCTGCTCTACTACCTGAAAAGAGATACACAAGTAGTCATTGAGACTGCAAAGTATCAAGTCGATATCTCGGAGCTTGTATCAGAAGCCTATACTTGCTTAATCCACGATTCTGAAAAGAGATTGGAGCATATATTCGAATCAGCCATTTTGGAATACGAACAGCTAGACGGACTTGAAATGGTTCACTTTGCGGATGACTGGCAAAGATTCTTTCGCCGATCGTCAACCGTGAGTCGGCAGTCGATGAGTGAACTAACTTGCTCGCCCAAAGCTGTGACAACCCTCCTGAGTTCTATTCTATACGTCCTTCAGTCCTACGAAGTTCATTCGGCTATCACCATACAAGCGTTTGGACAACTTTTCCACTTTTTGTCATGCGAGTTGTTTAATCGCATCCTTAGCCACCGACGGCATCTCTGTCGGTCGAGAGCGATACAAATTCGTATGAATATCACTGTGATGGAAGAATGGATCCGAGATCGCGATCTACCACTCGAGACTTATTTGACACCCGTCATCCAACTAGTCCAGCTCTTGCAGTGCGTCTCTCAGTCGAGGGATTTGATGGAATTCATTCACAAGATCAAGTCATTTGACCAATTGAACCCTATGCAAATCAAAAGAATCATACTCAATTACAGATACGAGGTAAACGAGCCGAGACTGCCAGAAGAGATTGAAAAGTACACGATGCAGATCGCAGAGGATACGTTGAGGCAGCAGCAATCTGTAGAGTTACCGCCTAGTCGACGTGCGAGTGCGTCTAGTCTGGGCAGCCTGTTTGGGCAAAGGAAACATACAGCAATTCATTATACTGAAGAAGAGCAGTTGTCGGAGTTCAAGGATAGCAAGTACATGCTACCATTCTCTTTGCCAACCACTAACCACATGTTACAAACAAGCTGTTCAGAGCAGTTGAAGCAAAAGACCAGAACGGAAAGAGAAAATAGTGCATGGTTACCAAATATACCAGAAGATTGGCTAATAAAATTAAATAACGAGGACAAAAAGTAATCGTAACAATAAACGTGTGTGTATATATCTGCTTTCAAATACAACTAGGGCATCTTTTCTTCTTTTTCCCTCCTTGTGTATAAGTTTCATAAAGGGAGTATTAATACTGTTTCATCGTAAACTGTCTCTTTCTCTATTGTCTTGGGCCTTTGCCCAATACGGCCATTTTCATGAATATATTTCGTCATACTTGGAAGAATGTCCAAAAATAAAATCCCCATTATCCCCCTTATTCTTCTCATGGCCCGAACTAGGTAATAATCAATCATATATTTTAATGTGTAAAGCTGAAGAATAGGAATTCGCCCGTCTTTTTGTTCTTTGTGCTGACGCAAACAATAACGTGTGGTTTAATCATATGCAGGGTGATTTTAATAAAACAAGTTTTATTCATGCAAGCAGTACGAGTACACACACATAGATCACATCGTGACCAAAACATATTCACGTATACACATTGTGATATTCTTTTGAATAAACATCTTCGATACTAGAAATCTTGCCATTTAGGCTTGATCATTACGCTATAAATCACAAGCTCTCCATTCCTTTTCTCTAAAAAAAGAGAGAGGGAATGAAATGCTTATTTTTCGAGCCTATATCATCAATGCAACTAGAACAATGAAATCTCAAAATAGATGAAACTATAAACTAAGATGTACAAAGGGAAAATCTTTACTGCGGTTACCCATCTTCAAAAGGATTATCATATCACTTTTCACTTTCTGCAAGATACACATATACATACACCATGCACCGAAAAAGAATGAGAATTTAACCAAGAGGATATATTCACAAGAGGCTTCTCCCCCTTACTTACAAAAGAAAGTTTACACGTCGCCCCCCCCTTTTTTTATTATTTTGTTTATTCTCCTTTTTTTATTCTCCTTCTTTTTTGTCTATATAAATAACCTCTGTCCCTTTTTTAATTTTTCTTTTTCTTTTGTTTTGCCTAAGAAAGCCTATATTAATATGGAACCAAATACTATATCAGTGTTTGGAAGAGTATTGCAAGATGACACCCTTAACAAAATAAACCAGACAGATAATAGCACAGTCATTATCACGCCAAGATATAATACAACAGGCCAAACTGAGCTTAAAGTACAATCATGCCCTTTTAGAATGTACACTTTTTTATTAATACACCTAGCGTATGTTTTAGATCGGCCTACTGTTACCTTTTAGCCAAAAAAAGGATAACTTGACAGCAAAGATTGTATGGGGGTAAATAAGTACATATACATAAATGATGTATATATCTCACACTATGTAACCATTAAAGTGGCAGCTCGGCAATAAGAATGGCTATAAATGATATCAACCAACAGCAGATGATACCAGGTGCTTACATCACTCTTATCGAGAAAGATTCCTTTCCAGATACTTCAGTCGATCAAATGTCGGTTACCAATGCTGTTTATTCGTCCATCACATTATTACAGCAAGGAGTGATAGGCGTAATTGGCGATATATCGAGTTCTTGGACTAGTTTAAGTGCACTCATGTCATCAACATTAGGAATACCTCAATGTTCATTTACTGCTAATGCCAGTAAAGTATATATATAATAAGCCATTTGACAACAGACTGATAATCTTTCTTTTTTTTTAAAAAAAAAAGTTGCTCTATCCGACAAATCACAGTATAAATACTTTTTTAGAACCATACCTACTCAAGTCATCATTGCTGATGTTATGCTTGAATTTGCATCAAAAGAAGGCTGGAAGAAATTAGGAGTACTATATACAGATGATCCGCTCGGTCAACAATGTAATACGCACACACACAATAACGCAGAAGAGAGCTAACCATATATATGTTAGTCTATCAACGCACCATTATCCAAGCTGGTACTATGGATATTCGGATCACACAGCATCAGCCTGTCCCGGTCACGGAGGAAGAAGACAGTCTGAATTCGGCACTGACAAACTTGACAGAGAGTGGAGCACGGATTATCATGGTCGCAGCGAATCCTTCTAGCAAGATCATGATTCAAGCTAGACAGTTGGGACTTATCAATAATGACTATGTCTGGTTACTGATGGGCGATACAAGTGAAGATCTTCAAAAACAGATAGATGTATACAACAAGAATCATACAGATCGTCAGATAAACTATGCGACTGATTTTCAAGGTCTTTTCATGTTTGATAGTTGGTTGGCACTTTATGGATATCCACCATTCGAGGCATTCCTCGACAAATGGGCGACTTTAAATCCTGAAGCGTAAAAAACTTTAAAAGTCAAATTAGCTTAGATTCATTCAAATGATTTCTCATATTAACTCTATCTCTAGATATCCTTTTGCTGGTTACAGAAATTTAAGTTACTATGAAGGGTAATAAGACACACGTTTTTTGTTACAAGTCTATTTATGTCTATAATCAGGTTAGCCTATTCTTGTATGATGGTGATGGCCAAAGGCTTTGGGAAATTGATCCAGGATAGTAACAATCAAACAGATCAGTTACTTAAATTGGCATCTGGCGGTTTGGGTGATCAACTGTTACCTCCTATATTTAATATAAACTATGTTGGACCTGAGGGACCAATGGTGTATGATCAAAATGGTGATCTGACCACAGGGTAAGGGAAGTGTTTTGTTCAATATTGAGTGTTGCCGGCATTAAGCCTTTAAGCTAGAAACTACCTGGTGTATAACCTGCAACGCGGCAATAAAGTCACCATTGGTCAAAGCACAGGCGGTAATCTTAACATTATTTCGCCACCCATGTTCTTTGATGGCTCTATTCAAGTAAGTTCATCTTTGGATCATTCCCTTTTCTTTTTCTCTTATCCCTTCGTTAGGCTCCTCTAGATTCACCACCTAGTTTAGCATTGAATCCAGATTTTGGTTCTCCTATTGCTAATGTGATACTCATCTTGTCCTCATGCGGTATCATATTCTCAATCATTTGCTTCATCATTGTTATGATGTATCGTAAACACGAAGTATTCAAAGCATCAAGGTAAAAACTAATGATATACGTACAGTTTATGAGCTTACCATTTGTTATATAAAGCCCAACATTCTGCTGTCTAGAACTCATCGGGTTTATTCTAACTTACATATCTGTTACCATGATGATCGGCATACCATCAGCAACCTCGTGTATCGTTACACCCATTGCATTCAGTCTAGGTTTCTTGCTTGTCATTGGGTACAGAAAGATGCATAAAAAGAACAAGGAACGCTAACTTGTTCCGATAGAAACATGATTGCAAAGAATTACAGAATATACCGAATATTTAATAATATATTTATTACAAGAAATGTTATCACAGACACGCATTTGATTCGATCTGTGGTAGCTATTGTAGGGCTTGATATGGTAAGTACACGACTGTGAACATTATATCTTGCCATTTTCTAAAATATCTGCAAGATTATACTAGTCGTCGGTTTGGTTGTAGCAACACCAATACCTGCCAAAATTGAAGTTTCCTATTCAAGTCACTATTGGACATGTGTAGTCGAGGACAATAGTAAAAAGATTGTCTTTTTGGTTTTAAACACGTCCTATGCTGCCTGTTTACTTCTCTTTGCTACCTTCTTGGCATACAAGACAAGATTTGCTGGTAAACAGTATTACCGATACAGTGAATGTAAACAAATGGGACTATCTGTCTAGTAATTAATCAACACATACCTTTTATGAAAAAACAATAGACTAACAGCATCTTATGTTTAGCAACATTCTTTTCTCGGCACTTGTAGGGTTTGCAGTCATTGTGAATCCATTGGCAGACTTTTATACAAAATACTACATTACTGTGATCTCCATGCTTTGGGCAAACACATTTTCGCTTCTTATCCTCTTTTTTCCCAAGATTCAAGCTTTCTATCAATACAAGCTGAAAGAAAAGAGAAAGAGAGAATCAGAGGAGAAGAGAGAACAAAAGTCTATCTTTTCATTTTTGCAACCTGACGAATCAACAGGAGCAGGGGAACTGATGAACTTGGAGCAAATTTTGGCAGTAGACGGACCTGTAACGGGTCAACGTAAGCCAAGCGCTGTGAGCACTGCCTCTACTGCAACAGATGGATGTAAATTCATTGAGGTACATGAAGGTGAAATGCCCATACGTAAAGTATTTCGATATTTTCCGTACCTGTCACAGTGGGAAATGCATCATGTCATGGTGTTTCCTTGGTTAGGCTATTTTTCACATTATTCCGTAAGTACACTTGGACATTCATCCTCTGTTGTATCTCACTTTTTTTTTTTTTTTTTTTTATATATATATATATATATATATAGAAAGATGCAAAGAAAGGAATGGTCATGTCTTATACTGAAGCAACCGTGTATTCTGCTAGATTAGAAGACTATGTTCTAAAAATCCATGGACAAGGCCTATATGATATGCATATCCAGCTGCCCACACTGACTTCATTACACACTTGGCATCAATGCTTTAATCAAAGGAAACCAGATTGTATCGATGGTGCTACAAAGCGTAAACTAAGCTCCACTACAAACACGGCGGAAGAAGATCAACCAAATCATCATCATACTTTATTGGATTCTAGCATATCACACAACTGTTTACTGCAAAATGAGCATCAATAATTCAATCTTGTAAAATAAAATGCTTACTCTTTTTTTTTACTCTAGTTCATCAGGATTTATTTCCAAGTCTTTTGTATTTGTATAAACGCGCTTAGACTATATATAAAGTGAATATGAATGCACATCTATATCCTTATCCTTATCATCATTTACCACTTTCCAAATCTGAACAACATTGTCTTCTGCACAGCTTGAAATCACCCAAGGTTCTTCAGGATTCCAGCTAAAATCGTTTATTTTGGCTGTATGTCCACTGTGGACAAACTACGTGATTGCTTATTAGAGAAAAAAAAAGTATAAGTGTTTGCACTTACCAACACTTCTGGTGGTCCATCCTCAGCATCGTCAGGCGTCTGTTCTTTTCCAATTTCACGTAAGTCCCAAACGATGATCTTACGATCACTAGCCGCTGAAGCCAAAATAGGGTCCTCATGTGGACTCCATGCCACTTGCAACACCTCTCCCTCATGAGATTCAAACGAATATAATTTATCATCTATCTTGCGAATGTCAAACAATCCTATTGTCTAGCGTATCTGTGTATAAGAAATGGTTCCCTTTTACACTTTTGGTTTACCTTATCAGAACTGCCTGTAGCCAACATCCAATCCTGCTTGGGATGAAATGCTACAGAGTTAATATCCGTCGTATGAGCTTGGACGCTCTGAGCAGGTTGACCAGGTGAACGAGTATCCCAGCTAAAGAGAAAAATATGTGAGCAGATGCTAATGATTATTTCACTAGTACGTCTTACATCATCAACTTTTTATCATCAGCAACAGATGCAAATATACAATCGTTGGTTGCATTCCAGCTCACGTCCTGTTGTTATCAATGAACAAATGCAAAGAAAAAAAAAAAAAAAGATCAATATATGATCCATTACCTCTACGCATGATGTATGTCCTCTGTATACTTGCAATGGCTCCAGCTCTTTATCTTGATTTGGCGTCATTCCAATGTCCCTAAACACTAGACACGTTTATGTCTATACTTGACCAGTTCAACCTTTATGTACCAGTGACAGATCAATTGATCAAATCCAGCGCTCAACAGGTGATTCTTTTTCGACTCATGATGACACCATGCCAATCCATAGCCTTCCATACAATGTCCCTTCAGTTTCAATAAAGGGTCACATATTGCCTGACTGTGATTAACTTTCCTGTCAAACACAAGTACATCCCCTGTTACTGTCTTGGTGGCAAATACGGATGGATCTAGAGGCATATATCGAGCACGATTGACTTCACCTTCATGACACACTCTTTGTGAAATACTGAATTTTGTTTTATCGCTCTTCTTTTCCGGAATGTCCAACCTTAGGAGTTGAGCAAAGTTGGGTTCGAGATCATTGGTATGAGTACCAATGAGCATCTCTTGACTCCACCAGCCATTATCACTTTATATGTATATACATGAGTACATTACTAATACATGTATTATGAACGCTTACAAGGTCTTTTTTGGTAGCCATTGTAAAGTGAGCGATGGCCATGTGAGATTATGTGAAATGATCATGTCGTACAATAAATGAGCAGATTTCTTCCACTCTGCGTATTCTTCCATAATCTTCTTTTGTTGATCGTCATCATCTTTATGTAAAGATTTTGTTTAGTTATAAAAAGGATGGGGATGCTGTGTTAAATACAAACTTGAGGTACTCATATTGTTCTTTGGTAAAGACGCGACTTTAAGAAAAAAAGGGAAAGAAGAAAAAAAAATCTTATCGGAAGCTTAACGCGAAAATAGCTCTCTCTTTTTTTTTTGGAGATAATGTCAACATAGGCTCATAAAGTGGATCCATTACTTGTTTAGAACAAAATAAACGATACTCTCATTATGTTTATTTTCTATATATCGGACGGATTGAAAAAAAAAAAAAAACCCTTACAGTTTCAGAAAATCAAGAAACTCACTTGACAGGTTTAAATAAGCGTTTGTTTATTCTATTATAGACATTAGGCAAGTAGGAAAGTAAATAAAACGGCCATAAAAGTAAAGACACCAACAGATAATGAAGAAGTACCATTGCTGCTTTGATTACCTGATGATGATGGGGATGGTGTACTGCTGTTTCCAAAACTAGTCTTTGAACCATCTTGGTTGGCACAAGCACTAGAATTGAAACTGGGAGCAGAATTTGCAAACGTAACATCAACACACTATGATGGCCATGATTAGTTTTGTTTATGTCATTTATTACAATACATACTTGATATAACAACCCATCACCACCATTATAAACAACTTGAAGGGTAGTATTGGTACCATCCTTGAATGTACTATTTAATTGAATGGGCAAACAAGAAGCTTGAGGATAGCCTCTGCTTCCTTGACCCACTTGAACAGTATCATTACCAGAGATTGCATTAATTTGATAACTGTAAGAGGTATGACCAGAGTTAATTTCAATAAATGCATTCTGAAGAGGTAAAATGACGCGCTGAGCACTAGCTGTATTGAATCCACCACAAGGAGCAACAGACTCTTGATCCTCACTGAAGCCACGAGAAGAAGGATAGGTGAGGGTAAAATGAGCAAAAACCATACTTTGCATGGCTATTAAAGCGATACCGATAACAAGGATATAACAGTGGTACATTTTTACTTTTTTAAAAATGAGGAAGAGTAGAAAAGAGAGGTAAGAAAAGGTGAAATTTGACTTTTTGAATATTTTAGTGAGATATTTTTGCTATTCAGATAAACATTGATTGGCTTTATCCTTTTAAGTGTAACCTCCACTGAAGAAAAACGCTTATTACTTGACCCTTGATTTAAGCTACAAGCTTACAAAAAGGTTATCTTCATTTAGGTAAAGTAATCTCACTTAATAGAGCAACTTAAAGACAAGTGTTTACTCAGCTTGTGATGTAAATAACCAATGGCTTGGTTGCCAAAATAGCTACCATGGGCCTAAAAAATAAGTATGTCTCATTCTCTATGAGAGAAACGATACAACAAAGTAAAGCTTTAGAGAATATAGGAAACCTAAAACCAAGCACCATAGAAAGTAATCACATCAAATTGGCTCAGTAAGCTCTTAAACAAAAAGCTGCAGTCTGTAAAAGTTGAAGACATACATCTAGACGAAACTATATAGAAAATGTATTTTCAAAAGTATCTTACAGTATTATGCGACACATATACTTTTGATGCACAGTAAAACTTACAAATATACTTAAGTTAATTACATGAAAGTTGTTTTATTTCAAAGCTTTTTTAAACAAAAAAGGGATTTTTCTTTCAAGCACTGCACCATGCTATTGAACAGTCTTTCTCTTTTGGAGACATCAGCATCCCCCAACAGACTTTCTGATATAGCCGACGATGGTGCAGCCTTCTTTTAGTAAGTATTATGTGCATAAGGAAATCCACCAGAAAGCTATATCTAGGCACTGCCTTTGATGTGGTCCAACAAAACTTTTCAAGAAGAAAGGTACATGCGTAGAAGCCAGTCCCCCTCTGAAGCAAGTAAGATCCCGACTTTGTAAAATGAGGATAAGTAATAACTGAGCTCTGGACATCCGCTAACCCCCCCCACCAGAGATGTCATCGGCATGTTTATTCACCTTGATTATGCTGAGCAGTTTAATGCTCGTCACATAACCCTCCTCAGAGATTCATCAGGCATCCTATCATAGTCGCCTATTTAATGAATGGACCAACAACAATAATACATCACAATAGGAGCAACAATTGGTTTACAATCAGCCAACTCTATTTCAAAATGCCTAATATAGTCGACTGGTTTATGACAACTACGCCCAATCCTTATATGATTATATGCAATGAGCGCTCACTAGGCTCAAATCACAAACCAGTTCACTTTAGCTTTCAACTTCCCAACACAGTCTTTATTCTAACGCCCGCCCATCAGCGAAATGATAAAATATGTTCAGATACTTTCTGAACTCGTCCATTCTATTCCCAGAAAGTTACTCAGCATCCACCATGCCACTACCAATACAGATGAAGATCACCAACAGCGACATAGGTGCTGCCATCTACACAGCACCTGACTCCAGTATCGGTCGTTGGTGTCTAAACATCAAACTACCACACCCACAATGAATTCTGGATAGACGGGATTCTGAAAGCAGTGGATCACCGCGAGTACTGCTATTGTTATTCTCCTTAGGAGTTGTAAGGGTTGTTGTTAATATAGAGAGTTTTCTTGAGATCTTATAAGTTTAGGTGCTTTAAGTGACCACAAGGTCTTTTAAAGTTGATCAAACTGTGAAGTATAAGTAAAATAAAAGATAAAAAGAAGAGATCAGAAACTTTTATAACAAAAGGTTGTCTGTTTATTTGAATAATAAGATAAGAATATGAATTGAATTCTTTTTTTTTTTTTTTTGACTACTACAGAAGAAGATATTTATATCATTTCATTGTTTATGATCTCAACCTTTCAAACAAAACGAAAGTTTTCGTAAGGCCGACAATGTCACTTTCTTGATTACAACATGCAGAGTACAAGATACTGTAATTTGTATGTCTGTGGGTTTAAGAGTTTTACCAGTAAAAATGTAAGAGAAGTTTCGTGTAAAGTAAGTCTTGATTGACTTGGTAGGATGTTAAGATATTGTAATTTCTTAGGGTTTGGGGGAGTTTATAAGTAAATATAATGATAAAAAAAAGGTTTCTGTGTAAAGTAAGCCTTGTTGGACTTAAATTAGAAAGGAAACTTGTATAATAAGAGTAAAAATAAAGAATCTAGTTCGCTAGTGACCACCAGATCTTCTTATAAGATCAAAGTAAAAATATAAGCAAAATGTAAAGATAAAAAGAAAAGATCCAAAAGTTCTATAAGTGTTTATATACTTATTGTACTAGATTATAAAGAAGATAAAGAAATATAAAAGAAAAAGAGAAGGTTTGATCCCAAGTATTAATGACTTGTTATACTTGAAGGAGGATTGGATTAGATTGGGTTAGCTTGGGTTAGCTTGGGTTAGATTGAGTTAGCTTCTTTTTTATTTTGTCCAAAGGACCAAAGTATTTATAACAAAAATAAATTTAGAAAAAAATTGGAATACATGAGTTCATGTACATGAACTCATGTTCCTGGAGTAGTGATTGACATTGTTGAATATATTGAAGGTGCTTGATTTATGAGTTTTGAACTCAGACATGGCAAAAATTGCTTCAATATTGTTACTGGGTGTTAGTAAGGGGAAAAGGTGTTAGTAGTAAGGTTAAAAATAAGTTTTATAAGTAGAATTTGGTATTGTAGTGACCACCAGATCTTAATATAAGATCAATATAGAGCAATATAATGCTAAGTCTTGTGAGATAAAGTAAAATAAAGTAAAATAAAAAGGTTATTAAGCAATTGTTGCTTAAGATATAAGATAGAATAGAGGTTATTGTGATCTGAAGAAAGATAATTCTTAGATGATTCTTCGATATTGTTTATTTCATGAATAATTTGGGGATATTTATACTGTTTGTATAAGTAAATATGCAATATAAAATATATAATAAATGATAAATGATATATGATATATGATATATGATAAATCATAAATCATAAATCATTAAAACTTGCATTGGGCATGCAGAGTATAAGATACTGTAAATCTTGTAGGCCCTGGGTTTGAGTGTGTTGTAAAAGGTAATAAAAATAGAAGTTTGTGTGTTCGTAGTCTTTTGTAAGACTTGAGGCTCGTAGCAAAAGTGTTTAAAAGGTAAAGTTATAATAAAGGTTCGATGTGTGACCACCAGATCGTGTAAAGTTGATCAGACTGAGTTGTACAAAGTAAAAAGAATAATAAAATAATAAAAAGGTTCCTGAATCCACTTGATTGGATTATTCAGAAGTTAATAAAAGATAAAAATAAAAGGAAAAGGTTGTGATTCAAATCGTAGGTGATTTATTGAATGAATTGAGCTTTTTGCTGTAAACGTGGGTTCTGTTATGGCTTAAGGTTATGTTGTTTGATAAGTTTGTACTTGATAGTTATAGTTTCTTGATAGTAATGTAGCCTTGTAATAAGGTATTTGATGATAATTGGTTTGAT